TGGATGTCGCAGATCTCGAGTAGGTCGAGTACTTTTTGTCATGCTTCTATCTCGTCCTCTGCAGCAATAGCGAGTTGGATGTTCTCGTGTCGTATTTGGACGATAAGCTGATGCTGTTGAAGAGAATAGGAAAGGAGATTGGTAGCATAACTGGCTCAACGCCTCGCCGAAAGACACTTTTTCGGCTTTCTGTCACAGACGCCGGCTCCCCGAAAGATGAGGATTCCGATGAGGAGGATGCCAGAGTCGACGCTACACTTGAGAATGTTGTTGCCGAGGAAGCAGAGATTACCAAGCTTCAGGATGAGTTGCATTCGCTCCAGAAGGAGAAAGTCGCTGTGAGAAGCTGAGCTTCGGAGTCTGATTGAGTGGCGCTCCCGTTAGCGTGTGTTGGACAGCACTGCTCTGAGCAATATGGTGAGAGGCCACGAGTAACCGGTGACAAGCAGATATGCGTACAAGCTCCTGTAACTATCGAGTATCCTCTTGGTAGAGAGTGAAACATGATTTAATCATTATCAGTCCTGCCATCACATGTCTCCGAGCTGGACAACGGAATTGTGTTACAAGTCATTTGCAAATTATCTAATCTGGACCGAGTACACAAGGTCGATTGTTTTCTTCATTCGAGTGGTAGTAGGAACGTGAGAGTGGCCCCGATGCATGCAGCTTCCGATGTCCCCACATCAGGAGCCGGAAATTTCGAATGCAATACACCATACAGACTCAATTTACCCGTAGGATTGCCTGCCTAAGTGGCCAATGCAACGCGCTTCGCCTAACGAATTTCCGCCTTTCTGACAAAAAAGTTTTGTGCGGAGTTGTGATTCGTGACTTCGACCAGCCCCGCGATCGTTCACGTTATTGGTCACTAGGCACATTCTGCCTCCTGTCCTGCTCACTTGTGGTATCGTCGCTCGTGAGGCTTCAGCCTAATGAACCGTTGGGAAGAAGTCGAAGTTCCTGTGGGTCGCTAGTCCGTAGATGCCGGGGCTCGTGCATCATCAACAAATTCAGTGGCGATATCAATCTTCATGAACTACGTGACGAAAACAGAGCACACAATCAACGGACGGAAGTATATCATTCATACTTGTGGTGGTACACTCTATCTTCGCCGCTGAATTCACATGTAAACCTGGCCATCAGCCCTCGCTAGATGCTCTCTTGCACAACAGGCTTCAACCTCACAACACTACATGTTCTGCCGGACAGATCTCTAAGCACCCCCTACTTGTGCGCATCGGCCACTTGGGCGTAGCAATGTCCTTAAAATCGCGCGTAGTCCTGCCAGGAACGGATAATTTATTCGCTATTAATGTGATGTGCCTCTACTTTGATGCACGGGTGTGACTTCCTTACTCTCTAGGTCCTGGCTCGATTATAATGCGTCGGTTTTCGTGGTCATATAAGATTATGCCCCGTTGAGTGTGTCCATACCCTGCCTCTATCAAACTCAGCTTTAAAATCGATTCTGCTGTATAGTACGATCAGGCTCAGTTCCATCGAGAAGCTTATATCTCTCGCAGGACTTACAGCGCTTCCCCTCAGTTCCCAAACTTGTCTGCTCGATGTTCGGACGCATCCTTATCCTGGTTATCGCTCTCTTTGTTCTGGTGGTTAATGCCGTCGAAGACATCATCAACGTTTGGGATGCCATATGCCCTGATACGTGCAAGACCTGTAAATGTTTTTGTGTTGAATATGATGGGGTGCCACCCACTCTGCCACTCTGTAAATGGTTTATACCGGGTTGTGCTCTGGAGTGTTTTAACTTGTGTGTGTGCTGAAAACTAGTAACCAAGCAGATCGCAACCAAGGCTCCATGAGTGAATGAGAAGTTGTATTTGCCCACCACAAGCAGCAGCGGTCCTTCTTTTCTTGACCCCTACAGTAAGGTATTTTAAAGCCTAACGACGCTTAGCCAATCTGAGTACACCAGTTTGAGCTCGGCATCTTGACTTATTATTTTTAGTGCGGGAAGTTGAGACTGGTTCCGCTTGCACCATTTATTTGGCATAAGGATATGGTCATTGCAATAGATTGAGGGCTTCCTCCTCAGACTCGACAGGGCTTTGAGTTTTCTCTGGATATCAACACACTGCAACTCTGTTGTCGTATATCGAAAGAGACTTTCTGTGTATTCACCAGATCTGATTCTGATAGTAATGTCAAAGACATCTCGATTGGAGTCCAAAGCACATCGAATCGTCCAAATATCTATGAAGGAGGTCTCCTTAGCAACCGACTCAGCGGTATCCCCGAGTCCTCAATTCGCATGCTTCTTTCTGCTGATTGTCACTTTGTATGTGATATTGGCTCTTGAGGGCATCACTGTCGGTGTCGGTATTTCCAGAGGCAACAAACCCTCCTCGCATTGCCTTGCGTTCCAGAGGTAACGCGATTTGAGCGCATAAGTCTTAACTCAGCATTCTGTCATATCAATCTCAGAGGCCCGAGAACGGTTCCTCTGAGAAGAGTCCTCTCGTACTATTCATTATCATCTCAAACACCGGTACAATGCACTGAAGACTCAAACTCAATGCAGCAGAGATACCATTGGGATCATCCCAACACAATCTTAACAACAATATAGCAAGCGAATTAACTATCTCTCCACTTCGGTGAGTAACTTCTTAACTTCCTTTAACTCATCCTTCAACCACTGCCTTCACTCATCATGGCACTTGCCCTCGTCCAACTCAGTTCCGCTCTACTCTATCGATGGATGGATACTGCTCTAGCTCCAGCTCCGATGCAGCTCGATCGGTCTCATCGTCGGCTACTGACAGCATAGGAAACAGCACCTGAGCAATACAATCGCATATATCATGATGATAACAACAGAGGATATACTCGTGGAGTGCCATATTTCGAGCATCTGTCTAGTAGGGCCTGCAGCAGCCAATGGTATCGTGTGATCCGGCTCGTTTTAACGGGGAGGAGGCTGTCACCTTTTGAATTTGCTCGGCTGACAGTGTTCTCGAGGGTTTCAGGGCGGACCCAATTTCCCGAGCTCAAGCACAAATTGCGCAGCATCCAGCTGCCTCAGCTTGGAGACGCCAATCTGGCTACGGATATTGGGTGCTTCGAGGCTATACTGTCCCTGTGAAAGGCTGTTCAGCGCTTTGTGAATGATGCTCGTCTTGATTATCTCGAAGAGTAAGTCCTAGTATCAAAATCAACAACTGCGTAAAGGCAGTTGACCCCACGATGTGCGTCGAGGAATGCAGAAGCAGTTCAGTCTCCTAGTGGCGTCGCTGGAAGATGATGAATCATTGATGATCCAAAGTTGAGAGTCGGAAAGGCTGTGCAATTGCATCAACCGATTGCCGAGCTCACATCTTAGACATGACATCTGAGATTGATGGGATGGTGCCCACGAAATACGTCCGTGAAGTCGAAGATACACTGAACAAGCTCACGGATTATATAGGAGGCGCTGCAAATCGATGCAGCGTTCATATCTCCGGATTATATCACGGTGGAAATCTCAGTTCGCAGCACCAGTCATGATTATACGCCTGAGAGACCGTCCTGTACGTGCTCGTCATTCTGAAGATCCATCCAGATTAGTTGTTTTTGACTGAGAAGCGCCCAACTCGAAGGCATTGAGTAGAGATTAAAACGATCGAGAACCTACAAAGTTGTCGTTGAACGCGACTGATACCATCCTGGCTACCAGTCGCGATCCCAGACATATCTGCACTCAGAAATCTGTGCGGTCAGATTCAAATATTTCAAGTCAAATCAATCATGGAAGACATAACGGAGCGGACATCATGCATCAGGCATGTCACAGTCGGCTTCGGACTCGGGCTCTTCCTTCACTTCACTTCACGGGAGCGCCTGCCACAACGGAACACCCTGTCCCAGTGTGCGACTTGGGCCATCTCCAAGCAACAGATCGATAGTCGCGCTCCCACTAGCTCTGATCACAAGCCGGCCTCCACCCGGACTGTCAGACTCTAGCTTCACCGGCAGAATCGTCATCGAGGATTGATTTTGACTGACTCCGATTTCAACTCTGGCGAACTTGTCAGAGCCGGCAGAGACGAGTATCAACGCTAGCAGATCTCCTTGGCAGATCTGATATGCCTTCATCTGGACGGGCTTTCCGCGATTCCACTTCACACCGTCACTGTTGAATCCAACAGATTTCCGACAACTTTTTTTGCCTTGTTTAGCTCCAGGATACTTCCGTCGACACACGCAGCATGGATCATCACACTCAGTTAAGCCAATGCTGAGGTTCCCTTGTAGACTTGCCAGGCGCACGAAGATCTTCTTCTGCCCTTCAACTCGTCCTTGTGACCCTTTTAGCGTGAATTCAGCACCGTGCCAGAGAAGAGGCTCCTGAGGATCGACATTACCACGATAGATGAGCCTCCAACCACGATTGGTTGAATGCTCCTGGTAATTGACAGTCTCATCCAATCGGCTGAGGACCAACCAGTCGTAGACTCCAAAGTAGTTGTCCAAGGAATCTGGGGGGGACCATCTGTAGCCGCTATATCGACAGGGAGTTGTACGTTGGGCTGCGGGGAGATATTATACACAGAGTTGAAGGACAGTGAACTACTCACTGCTAGTAATAGTACTAATTTATGTCGTGTATACGCACAAGGCTTGACCCTAAACGCTTGCTTTGGGTAAATTCCATTGATATCCGTATGGTCATTAACCCAAAATCCCTTGTTTACACGAGAGTGAGCAGTAGGGCTTCCGAGCCATGGATTCGTGTGCGGAGTTCAGCGGATCATGAACCCTATTCAAGTCGTCAGCCTAATGTGTCAGAGAGACGCCAAGAAGGAACCGTGGGCAGAGAGGGCAAAATTGAAAATGTAAGAGATGAAACACTCCGCTCCGTCTGAGATCAGAGCGCTCGCCCACGAATTAAAATTCCCATCCAGTATAACTCTATCTTCGACTAGTCATGGGGGAGGCTCCGAGCAAACGATCGTTTTGGCCGCCAATTCAATAGAATCGATGTCCGTTTCAGTTGCTAGTTTTATTCAATAGATAGTTTCTGAACATGTCTGGTAAAGGCAAGGGAGCTGTGCATGAAGGAATGTCCAAGGGTAGTAGTAATACGGAAGGTCAGGATCCTCTCACGACCATCGAATGTACATCGTCAGACCGTACGAATGAGGGCATTACTCATACTTGTATGGAATTCTAGAATATATCCGCTTCTACTTGAGCATAGTTATGATTCTTGTAGAGCTCTTCTCGAGGGGAGGACTCACGAACCCTGTGTCTCCCAGATAAGAAGACTCGGTCCGCTAAGGCGGGTCTGCAGTTCCCCGTTGGCCGAATCGCCCGTTACATGAAGCATGGCAGATACGCCAAGCGTGTTGGTAATTACAGGCGAGTTCCATTAATTTTCCAGGCGTGAATCCATCTGGTCCGCTTTGTTGTTCACAAATTCCTTGCTTGTAGGCGCCGGTGCTCCTGTGTACATGGCTGCTGTGCTGGAGTATTTGGTTGCTGAAATATTGGAGTTAGCTGGTAACGCTGCACGCGACCATAAAAAGAGCAGGATCAACCCTCGGCATATACAACTAGCAGTCAGGAACGATGAAGAGCTCAATGAGTAAGTTGAATGATGGTTTTCCTATATCGGCTAGGAAGAGCCATGAATCCTCAGATTCCTGAGTAACGTCACGATTGCCTCTGGTGGCGTACTGCCAAATATTCACACTAGCCTACTTCCTAAGAAGAGCACTAAGAAAAGCATGGAATACTGAGTCGTGTAGGCTCGCACCGTTCAAGGTGACTATGTGATGTGATATATTCGGCGCTGTTCCTCAGACGACTATCGTCCCCATCGGGGAATGCCCGGTTTCTACGGAAGTTACTTCTCACCGACCAAATATAGTCTCGCTCCAAAACTCTGATGTACACCCGAGCTTCCTCGACGAAGGAATGCCGTAATCCTCACAATACAGGGACACATAGGTTTCTGACTGAAAACCCGTTATAGTGTTGTCAATGATGACCGTCACTGTCTGATCTGAGGTTACTGTTAGGCCACTCTCGGCAAAAGGAGGGTACGCGGTGAGAGACGTGGCTGAAAGTTGCCAACAGAATCGCGGGGATCTCGGGTTACCATACACGGAAGCACATGCTTCCGGGTCCTGACTCTCATTGCGCATTCATTCAGGCGATTGAGTAGACGATTTCAGAGGAGTCGTAGTTGCACCGTTGGCGGGCACGAGTAGGTTCATTGGATTCTCATTCTCGTCACTGTTGTGGTCAATGATATAGACTAGAGCGAGGGAGAGGAGAACCCACCCGCTCTTTGGGTCCTTTCCGTTCTGGTTCGATAAAGCATTCTCATCGGATAGGCGTGTGGAGTTTATGAATATGATGGTTACCAGATAGTTAGGGTCCTTTGATCTGCTGCATGAAGAATTCGTCTGCGAATACCATAGGGCTCGCTCGTTCACCATCGGCGGGTGGGTTATCCTCCACTGCTAGCGGTCTCAAACTACGGGTTCAAAATGTCGCTAGGACCCTACAGGTATGACCGCTCGCTCGACTCGACCTAATCTTGGGAAGCAATCGAGCGTTAAACATCAAGGCTCGCGTGTTTCATGCTGACTGCGAGGCATGGAGTCTTTTCTCAGAATCAAACGGATGCCCTAGGCGAGGATCGAACCCGCATCGATCACGTGAAGTCGACGGCCGCATCTTCTAATCACGGCCTCAATAAAGAGCTAGAGAATACCCAAAAGTACTGTATTCCGGGAATCAAGCTCGGCGTCGGAGGCCGCACTCAGATTCTTCCAAGTTGAGCTACAGCAGATGGAGGAGGACTTCAAAGCCAAGGTGAATTCACTCTCACATGCTCACTCAGTACGAAATGAGTCTGGAGTTCCGCTGTTTCTCTCACTCGATTAGCGATACTCGTCCGTGCTATCTACTATGCAACTAGGGCCTACAGGTTATGCGATCCTGCGCAATATGGTCGGCATGTTCAGGTGGGCGTTCAGAAGAATGAGAACATTCGTCTACAGCAATGCCTCACTACTTTGAAGAGTGAGTTGGTTATCACGGCCCTCGTGATTGCACGAAGTTTTTCTGCATTGGTTTCTCCGACAGCTGAGAAGACCATGCTGCATCAGCAAATCATCGCCATGGAGCATATGGTAGATGAGCTGGAGGAAGAAATTGGTTCGGAATAGCGGCGAGGTGATCGAGGACCCCTCTATGGTGAAGAGGAGTTGCACTCTCTAATCGATGGATACATACGACCGAGGCGCATGTGTCACCATACAGATGCCAGAAGTTACTAAGCGCATGCTGTTGTCTGTTGACACCATAGCACGTCTAATTGTCGCGTTTATCACAGTTCATGGAGCTCTTCATGGTGAGGTATAGACGAATCCTTACGACTGGGGAGTTCATCCATGGACCAAACTTCATCAGAAAACACGAATTAGTCGACGATGACATTCTGGGCCCAAGGATGCTTATCACAAACCTTGCGCAAGATGTTATTGGTGGAGTGAAAAGCAGAGTCTTTTTGGGAGTGAAAACTCTCGTTGAGGGATGATAAACGAGCCTGCCGAATGTCTCACGCACGAGGTCTGCATCACCCGGAATCGACCTCGGTGTTCTGTGAATGGTGACTTTCGCTAGGCATCACTCACAAGGCGCTGAATTGCCTTCCACAGGGACAGCATAGCCTCGAAGTATCCACTATACGTAGCCAGATTGGCATCTTCAAGCTGAGGCAGCTGGATGCTGCGCAATTTGTGCTTGAGCCCGGGAAATTGGGTCCGCCCTGAAATTCAAAAGGTGACAGCCTCCTCTCCGTGAAAACGAGCCGGATCACACGATACCACTGGCTGCTGCAGGCCCTACTAGACAGATGCTCGAAATATGGCACTCCACGAGTATATCCTCTGTTGTTATCATCATGATATATGCGATTGTATTGCTCAGGTGCTGTTTCCTATGCTGTCAGTAGCCGACGATAAGACCGATCGGGCTGCATCGGAGCTGGAGTTAGAGCAGTATCCATCCATCGATAGAGTAGAGCGGAACTGAGTTGGACGAGGGCAAGTGCCATGATGAGTGAAGGCAGTGGTTGAAGGATGAGTTGAAGGAAGTTAAGAAGTTACTCACCGAAGTGGAGAGATAGTTAATTCGCTTGCTATATTGTTGTTAAGATTGTGTTGGGATGATCCCAATGGTATCTCTGCTGCATTGAGTTCGAGTCTCCAGTGCATTGTACCGGTGTTTGAGATGATAATGAATAGTACGAGAGGACTCCTCTCAGAGGAACCGTTCTCGGGCCTTTGAGATTGATATGACAGAATGCTGAGTTGAGACTTATGCGCTCAAATCGCGTTACCTCTGGAACGCAAGGCAATGCGAGGAGGGTTTGTTGCCTCTGGAAATACCGACACCGACAGTGATGCCCTCAAGAGCCAATATCACATACAAAGTGACAATCAGCAAGAAGAAGCATGCGAATTGAGGACTCGGGGAACCGCTGAGTCGGTTGCTAAGGGGACCTCCTTCATAGATATTTGGACGATTCGATGTGCTTTGGACTCCATTCGAGATGTCTTTGACATTACTATCAGATCTGTTGAATACACAGGAAGGCTTTCTCAGAAAGCCTTCCTGTGTACTTTTCGATATACGACAACGGAGTCGCAGCTAATCCAGTGTGTTAATATCCAGACAAAAATTTACTCACGAAACTCAGAGCCCTGTCGAGTCTGAGCATGAAACCCTCAATCTATTGGGATGATAAAATCGTAATGGGAAATGAATGGTGCAAGAGAGCCATACTAAACTCCCCGCACTTGAAATAATAAGTCGAAATGCCGGGCTCAAACTGGTGCACTCAGATTGGCTCAGCGTCGATAGGCTTCGGAACGCCTTACTGTAGGGGTCAAGAAAAGAAGAACCGCTGCTGCTTGTGGTGAGCAAATACAACTTCTTATCAACTTGGAAGAGTTGGTCACGATCTACTCTTTCTTGCAGCACTTACATAACGTATTACACAAGCTGCACGCCAGTGGACAATGTGGCCTAGGACATGGCTTATGCGGCCCATAGCATCTGCAGTTACAGGGATCGCACTGAGCAGGGCATATGGCCTTCCAACTGCGCGCGTGGGTGGCCGTGGTCGTCGTCGTGGTGGTGGTGGGACGGGGTACGTCTTCGGCAGCCACCAGAACAAAGAGAGCGATAACCAGGGTAAGGATGCGTCCGAACATCGGGCAGACAAGTTTGGGAACTGAGGGGAAGCGCTGTAAGTCCTTGGAGAGAAATAAGCTTCTCGATGGAGCTGAGCCTGATCGTACTACACAGCAGAATCGATTTTAAAGCTGAGTTTGATAGATGCAGGGTATGGACACACTCAACGGGGCATAATCCTATATGACCACGAAAACCGACGCATTATAATTGAGCCAGGACCTAGAGAGTAAGGAAGTCACACCCGTGCATCAAAGTAGAGGCACATTAATAGCAAAAATAATATCCGTTCCTGGCAGGACTACGCGCGATTTCGAGGACATTGCTACGCCCAAGTGGCCGATGCACACAAGTAGGGGGTGCTTAGAGATCTGTCCGGCAGAACATGTAGTGTTGTGAGGTTGAAGCCTGTTGTGCAGGAGAGCATCTAGCGAGGGCTGATGGCCAGGTTTACATGTGAATTCAGCGGAGAAGATAGAGTGTACCACCACAAGTATGAATGATATACTTCCGTCCGTTGATTGTGTGCTCTGTTTTCGTCACGTAGTTCATGAAGATTGATATCGCCACTGAATTTGTTGATGATGCACGAGTCCCGGCATCTCCGGACTAGCGACCCACAGGAACTTCGACTTCTTCCCAACGGTTCATTAGGCTGAAGCCTCACCAGCGACGATACCACAAGTGAGCAGGGCAGGAGGCAGAATGAGTGCCTAGTGACCAATAACGTGAACGATCGCGGGGCTGGTCGAAGTCACGAATCACAACCCCGCACAAAACTTTTTTGTCAGAAAGGCGGAAATTCGTTAGGCGAAGCGCGTTGCATTGGCCACTTAGGCAGGCAATCCTACGGGTAAATTGAGTCTGTATGGTGTATTGCATTCGAAATTTCCGGCTCCTGATGTGGGGACATCGGAAGCTGCATGCATCGGGGCCACTCTCACGTTCCTACTACCACTCGAATGAAGAAAACAATCGACCTTGTGTACTCGGTCCAGATTAGATAATTTGCAAATGACTTGTAACACAATTCCGTTGTCCAGCTCGGAGACATGTGATGGCAGGACTGATAATGATTAAATCATGTTTCACTCTCTACCAAGAGGATACTCGATAGTTACAGGAGCTTGTACGCATATCTGCTTGTCACCGGTTACTCGTGGCCTCTCACCATATTGCTCAGAGCAGTGCTGTCCAACACACGCTAACGGGAGCGCCACTCAATCAGACTCCGAAGCTCAGCTTCTCACAGCGACTTTCTCCTTCTGGAGCGAATGCAACTCATCCTGAAGCTTGGTAATCTCGGCTTCCTCGGCAACAACATTCTCAAGTGTAGCGTCGACTCTGGCATCCTCCTCATCGGAATCCTCATCTTTCGGGGAGCCGGCGTCTGTGACAGAAAGCCGAAAAAGTGTCTTTCGGCGAGGCGTAGAGCCAGTTATGCTACCAATCTCCTTTCCTATTCTCTTCAACAGCATCAGCTTATCGTCCAAATACGACACGAGAACATCCAACTCGCTATTGCTGCAGAAGACGAGATAGAAGCATGACAAAAAGTACTCGACCTACTCGAGATCTGCGACATCCACTCCAGAAGAGTCATCATCGCTTCCACTATCCTCGCCCATGGACGCTTTGCGTGGCTTGGGGGCGAAGACAGGTCGCTACGACAACCACGCACTACTCCTCACCGACATGTAGTACCAACCTTATATTCGTTCTTCTCAGACTCCGATACATGAGGCACTGCAGGCAGTGCGAAAGGATCTCGGCTGGCCGAAGCAGGCTTAGACGGCTTCAGCACGGCCGTGTTCCGTACAAGGTGGATGTTCACCCACTTCCCTTGCTGGTCCATCAGGCGCTGGCAGACTCCCATTAGTTCATCCAAGCTGATCTCACGCTCTGCAGCAGGGAGAACGAGTCAACCTTCCTCACGAAGTCACGTCATACCTTTCAGGACACGAACGAGATCCCGATTTTGCATCTCTAGAATCTGCATGCGATCCCTGAGATCGATGGAGTACAAAATAATGGTCACGATCCACCTCACCTGTCACGCCGAAGAGCATCGATTAGCCTTCCTTGGCTAGAGACGATCTGCTTCAGAGCATTAACCTTGAGACATTAGGATGCCTGATGGAAGATACCGAAGCTAACGATGGTTACCTGCGCAACCTGGCGTTCTTCCGAGCCACGAGAAGGCGAGTCCTCAGACGCGGGGCTGACCGACTGAATAAACGAGTTTCTACATAATGCAGTACCATACCAGGAGAACCTTCATCATAGCTCTGCGTGCTTTGGCTTGCAGCTCAGGAGAGGAGGCGTCATAATTGTCAGATGAAGCATCTTGACTATCATCTGTGATGGACGAGTCATCTTCAGTCTCTCCAGTCGGACAGAGCATATGCAGAGTTGCATACCTGAAAGCAGAGAGGGACAAAGTACAATAATACTGTACTAACCATGCTTTGAAATCTTCCACGCCGCTGCTAACGATCTCGACATATCGATCGTATTTAGGAATGACCTGTCTCAGGCAGTAAGCAACTGAGGTATAGTTGTCGGTGACTGTGTACTACTAAGACGACCGAAGGATAGTTCTCGTTGAGACAGACGACTAGTCTGCCAGAGCTTAGTAATAAAGCTCGCTGGATGGGAATTTTAATTAGCGCGCGAGCGCTCTTGTGAAGAGTCAGCAAAGCGCTCCACACCAAGACCGACGCAAGATCGTTGAGGTCGACGATTCCCCGAATCCACTAGACTCAATCCGGTAGACATAGAGCAAATAATTACCGAATCTTAGTTTTTTGTGTTTATCGTAGCAACTACTGGAGTGTATCTTACCGTTACTGAGCAAAATGATTAATGGGCGAGCGATAATCAGAACTGCGCTGAGCAGATGATTAATGGGCGAGCGATAATCAGAACTGCTCACACTGGGGGGCCCAGCGACAAGGTGAATTAACGAGCTACTATATACGATATTGCAGAAGGAAGATAGAAGATGTCAGCAAACTCTTGAGATAGTAAACGATCAATCATCATGATCACCTTCAGCTGCAATCATCCTCAGGGTAGCCCTAGTGATCCGACGTACCACCGTTAGAGAAGAGCGTAGGTCAATTACTGTCGGTGAAGTGTGGTCGAGATAGGAATCATTAGCCAAGTACTCTTCGCCATTGCGCACGGGTAGACCATCGGACCTTCGACAGTAGGGAGCGATGACGATGATGGGTATTTCCTCATCTAAACTGCTCACCAGATCCTAACAGGAAAGGTGCGTTGGCAGGGAGCTCCTTAAAGATAACGTTGTTAGAGGCGCAGAAATGGGTCCATTGGTGTCCTCGGAACGTCGAGTCGCTAGCCAATATCAAGGAAGGCCAATCAGTAGAGTCGAAGAGGGCCGCAAGCTTGAGGAGAAGTGTAGCACAGCTCTTATCAGGGACAGTGACACCTCGACAATATCGTGTGGCGACGCAAACGATAGTGACAGCGTAGCGATCGTAGGATGGATCTTGTCCATTCTCATATGGTCCACTATAGTCGATCATAACAACACGGAGAGGCCCAACGCCCCCACACCACGGAACCGAGCCGAGTGAACATCTGGCAATCCTGTCTCCTTTAGCTTTGGCACAGGCATCGCAGCGGTTAACATAGCGCCTGACGTAAGCACGCATGCGTTTCCAGAAGTATCGAGAGCATAACAGTCGCAGAGTACCACCCTCGCCACGATGAAACGCGTCATGCGCCTTCTCGACCAACTTGTGCTTTAACGGTTCAGATCCAACCAAGACCTGCTCGATCCTCTCGACCACAGGGGAATCCTCATCACTGATCTTGGCACTCAGAATGCGTACCAATAGGCCATTGACACCGATGCGATACCAGTTGGAGAGACGTTGACGTGTTGGGTCTTCAGTCTTTGTAGACAGCTTCTCCTTGATAGTTCGTATGGATGAGCAGGAACTCTGATCGGCCTGAAGCTCTTCAACGGAGACGAAACCAACATCAGTTTCGGGGCTGGACACTATGGTCACCAAATTGAGCTCACAACTGGCCTCGCTGTCGGAATAGTCGATCAGAGGGAACGGATCGGGATCTAGATCGTCACCATCATTCTCGGCCGGCCTCGAGGGGAGCTGTCGAGGATAAGTGAGATCTGAAGTGAGTGATGACGACACCCCGATGCTGATTTGGTCTGGCGGCAAGGGCGTCAGCTCGACCGGTTCACGGAAGGGGCGAGTACAGGGATCTGACGGATTGTAAGCACCGGCGATATGCCTTACGTGAGTAACGATACCCAGCTTTTGAGCTCGGGTAACAAACTCACGAACACGGCGAAGACGTCGACGCTCGAAAATACCCAACTTATTGTCGTTGGCAGTAGACCTGAGTCGATGGACGGCTATGAGGGAGTCCGTAAAGATATCGCACGAAGGTGGCAGAGGACCATGGGCTGTGGCCACATCAAGTAGGCGCTCCAGGAGTGTGATAGTGCAGTAAAGACCGGACAGTTCTTTTTGTACGATGGAGTGTTTGTGAACGCACTCCAAGGAGAACAGGCCAAACCTCCCACCAATCCTAGTGAAGGGGAACTTGCCCATGCGAATATCACAGCAGAACCCATCATAGCTTGCGTCCGAGAAAGCATACAAACCATCATGTAGACCCGCGAACCGAGGGATCCAGAATTCCCGAGGGATGTAAGAGATCCACTGGTTAAGGTTCTTGACGAGAATGTTGTCCAGGGGAGCATCCCACGAAGGACTTTTGGTATCCGTGGGTTGGGAAGCCAGGCGAGCAAGACCTCTCCCAACTGCGGCGAACTCCATGAACAGGTTCAGAGGATCATAGAAGGAATTGACCGCACCAACCAGTAGACGTCTAGTGCATGTCTCCGGGCTGTAGGTAGGCTCGAGTTTAACCGTGAGTGACAGAGAATCCGATCCAGGATCATATCGATAGCCGAGCAAGCCCTTGATGTTGGTGGGATCATGGGACGGAGCTGGATGCATGTTGTCGAAGGTTTTAACCTCGTGGACAGGCATTCCCGCATCGTCGAGTTTGGAGTAGCAAAAGAGAGACCGATTGTGGACGTCGGCTGGACATTCTCCGCGGTTCACAAGGTCGTCGACGTAGATGACCAAATCCAACCCTTTGTCGACCAGAACTTTGGGGACGGAGCAGAGCGGAACGGCCTCAGGTGGGGCATCGAGAGGACGGGTACCGGGCTTGACGAGACTACCGTCGGTGGTAGGGTACAGACCGTTGGAAGGCGAGTGTCGGGGCGCTAGCTGTCGACTCCATCGCAACTGCAGATCTTGTAAGACAGATTCGAGTCCGAATCCGCTACACGATAGGCCGAACGGGAGTCGGCGGAAACGAATGGTCACAGATGCTGCTACACATCCTATGAAAAAGCTATCAGAATCTTGGATTCCGACCCGTAAAAAGGCAGTTTGGAGATCGGCAGCACGGAAGAATCCACAGTTGCGGACAGCTATCAAGAAGAACCACAAACTTCCCGGACCCACTCCCTTGGTAGATATGTTGGCAATGTACCGGTTGAGCTCACGAGCATCCAAGCACACACGACAGCGATGCGTGGCCTTATCGGGCCGAAACACAGGTAAGCCGTTGATGTAGTATCCACACTGCTCTGGATTCTCGACCACTTCAGCGAACCCCGCGGTGACCAGGTCAGTTACGGCCTGACGGTAGAGTCCTTGTTGCTCTGTCGTGAGTCTCGAAAAAATAGCTCTGTCACGTGCATAGGCGCGATGATAGTTCCACGCAGGACGATGCCTGTCGTCACACCAAGGAATGCCAATATACGGACGTCCAGCAGGAGCGGATGGATCAGGTCGGTAAGAAACCGGTAGGAAGTGGCGACCCTCTGTGGAAGAGACATCGTGGTCGATGGGATCAGCCGAGTGACAGAGATTCTCCGACTCATCTTGAAGAACGGAGAACTTCACCGAGCGTTTGTGAGTCGGACTCGGAGAGTCTCTTGCCAGCACCATACGGAGGCAAGTCGTCGAACCCGATGCGGCTAGAGGAACAAAGTGCTGTTGGACGTGCCCACCGCCGATGAATAGCCGATCCTCGGAAGGAGTCTCACCTATCACCCACCTAGCACCACCAGCTTGTCTCAAAGCTGTAGTAGGAAGTATGATACGATGAGTGAGGTCTTCGAGAACAAGGAATGATGCCAATATAGTGGTGCCAGTGACGAAGGTAACACGCAGCGGAGGAGTACGACCCAAGGTAGATACGGAAGCACCGTTGGCAACTTTGACCTTAGTGTCATCGGGCAGAATAGGGAATTGTAGACCGGCAGCACGCCATGACGATAGCTCATCAGACCGTAAGAAGAAGGCCTCGGCTCCTGTATCAAGGAGACCCGGGCAGAGTACGGTGGCAGAACGAGAGTCATCATTCATGGAGATCTTGAGGCCAATGGCGATCAGCGACGATGTAGCCGTAGATTCCTCGGAGACACAGTTGACTTGTGCTGTACTGGATTGGAGCTGCTCACGGGGCTGGCCACGTTGGGGCTTGGGAGAGGGGCAGGCGCGGCACAGATGCCCAGGAGTAGAACAACGATGGCAGATCGCCTTGGCACAGTGGAGTACCGGGTTGGGGGCAACGTCATGGTAGAGCCCACATTTGTCACAGCGAACTTGTGACATGAACATCTTCTCAGTTCCACATTTGCTTGTGGAATGGTCGTGTGCCAGGCATCGTTGGCATCGAAACCTCCGCACGAACTCGATGGTAAACTGCTTGGGATCGACCGACGAGCTTCCGGCAGGGATGGATGGACGCAGCGCAGACGGATCGAGATACTGAGCTGTAGAGCCCGGACCTTTGCGAGAGGGTTGAAATTGGCCTGCTGATAGAGTAGGCACCGCGTGCTGAGGCAGGGTCGTGGCATGCTCGGATCCAGTACGAATCGCCAGAGTTGGTGCAGTCGCATTACCGGATAGGAAGGAGGACGTAGTCGTACCGCCGGGTAGGGAAGGGGGCGTAGTCGAACCATTGGGTAGGGGAGCAGATGCAGTCGTGCCAGAGGATACCGTATACGATGCGTTCGCCACGTTGAGCTGTGCTGAGGGGCCAGATCGGCTTGCCGCATGGCGATGATCACGATGACGTTGCCGAGAGTCTTGCTCCAACAGCTTCCTGGTGAATCGTCTCAAGGAAACTCGATGATCCGTCAAGTAGTCGTCGATTCTATCACGTAGTCTCTCGCTATGGAGCGCGTCGAATATCTTGCGCTTCATATCACGATCGGACGGCTCAGACCCAAGATTAACAAGCTCCACTCTGATAGTCTCGGCCCGATCAAGGAGGCTAGCAACGTCTTCATTAGCAGTTTGTTGGAGGTTGTGTAGTTGATCTTCGGCACGCAGGCGAACCTCCTCATTGTTATAGAGAGTATTCACGCGCCGGTAGAGGCTTGTTAGGTGGTCCGAGTAGTCCGCGTGGCACATAGTAGGGGCTTTGCGGCCGGCTGTGATGTCACGCCACACTGAATCATCACAGTTTAGTTCCGCCCACAGGTAAACAGCAGCATCAGGATAGCCCTTCATCGTACGCTTGATGATGGCAACCCACGTAGCACCACTGCGTCGATCCTTGTGACCCAGGAACTTGTCAGCGCCTTTGCGTTTTCTGGCGATGTTATGGAGAGTGTTGAGATCAGATAGAGAGATCTTCTGACGACATTTACTCCCGTGACATGCACCACACCATTTACCATGACCCACACGACGTTGATGATCTGACTTACCGATCGAGCGAGGCCTCTTATAGTGTCGACGATCACGGCCAAAACGCTCAGACTCAGAACCAGAGGAAGATACGCTGGCAGAACTCAGCGTACGGGATATAGAGGAACCAGAGTCGGACAGACTTGACGATGGCGACCGAGAGAACCTTTTTCGATGACGCCGACGGGATGGATGATGTGGTGATCGCTTGCGAACCTCAGCATGAGGCTTGCCAGCAGTTGTTGGTCTCACAAGATTCGCCGCCGGGACGTCCCAGGGAGGGGTGTTGCTAGACGACCTGTTTAGGCCAAGCAGTGACGACGATGGTTGCGGTGGTTGTGGACGATGTTGTTGTTGATGACCGATGCCAAATGATGGGGTAGGAGGATATGTCATCATGCTGCCAGACGTTAGGTGTGACGGTACCGGCAGTCCGACATGATACACCGGCTGTTGATAACCATAGGAGTTGAGATCAGGCATGGCGAACGGCGGATAGAACGACGCCAGCTTCGCAAAGTGCTCGGCTGGGGTCTGAACAGAATGATTGGCACTGGCAGAACCGACCTCACCGACATCCACATATGAGCGATGCGGGATGCTCTGAGACAGTGGCTGACGAAGATGCAAATCACTGCCGTTGGCATGGATGGTCTCACGCATAGCATCAGGAGGAGGCACCCAAGTATCCGGCGGAGGTGGAGATATGAACAGGGACTCGTCAGAGGGAGAGCTCCTATGATGGTTGCCGTCCTCGCACAGAGAAGGCATACTCATCGCATCACCTCGTCTGGATGGAGAGGAGGTCGCATCACGATGACTGGACTGAAACGCAGAGACGTCGTCATCCTGACTCGAGGCAGTACCGTCATCGACAAATCGTGGAGAACCATTAGCGGGGTTGTTGGGGTGGTCGGCGTAGGGAGCAGCGGTGTTGTGATCACCGGTGCTGAGAGCTTGATGTATCCCGGTAGAATGTGAAGAGTCAGCAAAGCGCTCCACACCAAGACCGACGCAAGATCGTTGAGGTCGACGATTCCCCGAATCCACTAGACTCAATCCGGTAGACATAGAGCAAATAATTACCGAATCTTAGTTTTTTGTGTTTATCGTAGCAACTACTGGAGTGTATCTTACCGTTACTGAGCAAAATGATTAATGGGCGAGCGATAATCAGAACTGCGCTGAGCAGATGATTAATGGGCGAGCGATAATCAGAACTGCTCACACTCTTAGTTCAGACGGAGCGGAGTGTTTCATTTCTTACATTTTCAACTTTGCCCTCTCTACCCACTGTTCCTCCTTCTTGGCGTCTGTCTGACACATTAGGCTGACGACTCGAATAGGGTTCGTGATCCGCTGAACTACGCACACGAATCCATGGCTCTGAACCCCTACTGCTCACTCTCGTGTAAACAAGGGATTTTGGGTTAATGACCATACGGATATCAATGGAATTTACCCAAAGCAAGCGTTTAGGGTCAAGCCTTGTGTGTATACACGACATAAATTGGTACTATTACTAGCAGTGTGTAGTTCACTGTCCTTCAACTCTGTGTATAATATCTCCCCGCAGCCCAACGTACAACTCCCTGTCGGTATAGCGGCTACAGATGGTCCCCCCAGATTCCTTGGACAACTACTTTGGAGTCTACGACTTGCACAAAGCAAATGAACCTCTGTCGGTGTCCGATAAGAGTCTTTTCGTTGGCAGTGCGGTTGTGATGCACAAAACGGTCGACGAGAGCATGCCATCGCCGTACGAGGCGTATTTGGCTCCGAAACAACGGCAAGGTGGGACGTACCGGAATACTCTCGTTGTTGAGCACCGCGAGCATCGCGGAATTCTGCTCGCTTCTCCAATATCGGGTCTTAGGTCAGTGACGTCTCTGCAATGTTATGTGAGTAGTCGTTGAGCTCTGTCCTTATCCATGGAGTCGTTATTGTTGAGGTCTTTCAGGAGATAGGAGCTCCTACTGTCCAGTTTGGTGCTGAAGTCGATTATGACTTACCTGAGTTTGGCTTAGCGGCGAGAATTGTGGTACGTATCATGCTCTCGGTCGCTACACATATAAGCGGGATTAAAGGCTATCCCCTCGATTGTAATTACGATGGAGAGTGTACTCCTGCTTCTGATCGCAATGGAATTCCACAAGACAAGTTTCATTTCCTTTTCCCTGTCTACTGTGCAGACACCATTCTTTATAATGAGCCTGATGATCCTGAACTTCCGGACATCTGCCAGAGGTCAGACCTTCTCGGTAAGGTGCCGTTGGATCATGTCTTCACTCCTGGCAAGGTTTACACATTCTGTTACTATTCAATGTACTGTGTTTTCGCCACTTGGGATATTCGGAAGGTCTTGGGGGCATCTGGCACCAGCCTGTGTCGCATCATCGGGCCACAACCTGTTCACATAGTGATGAAAGATATGGTAACGAATGAATATTATTTTGATATGCTTATTGCAAATAAGTGTTTATCACCATGGTGGGAGTCGACCGTGCAATCGGGTCATCCTCTGGTCTCCCGATCACGGTCTCGCGGCTCTACGTGGGGGGGATATACCATTCTACTCTGCTCGATCCCATGTGTCCGATTTTGGAACGGACTATCCTTTGCTGACCTCGACACGGCGATCGAGTACTGCACCGGCCTTGGAGTACACGCAGGATGTTACCACTTCTCGCGTGTAACTGATATCTTGGAGTTGCTGCTATCAATTCATGTTGGGAGCGTATGGTAGATGATGATACTGGTTCTCCCATCATCGTTGTGGTAGCCTATCAGACTACTACTATGAGTAGCAATGCGATCATTATCGGGTTTGAATATGCCACCAACTCGACCTAGTATGATATCCCCAGACTCCCGTACGTCGACCCCCTAGTCTGCGACACCTCGGGAAGGCTAGTCGGCTGAAGTATCACCGATCCGTTAGAGTGGATATCCCGCTTGTAACGAGCGGGGAAAATGAAAGCTCAGCTGTGGTGGGGCATGAGTTCACCAGAGACGTGGACATCTCTTCTGAATTGGTGCGTTGAGCGGAAATTAACAAAAGCCAGGCGAATGGCTGAAATTCTCCCTCATCCATGTGTGTGCTTCATACGAGGCGGGCCATCGGTGGTTCATCACAGATTAGGAGCATCGGATCCGTAACCTGTTGTGGATATATCTAGGCTTGATAGGAGACCTGTTGGATTCTCACAGCCAATGATTTTATCCAGTTGAAACTTTTTTGTCTATGCATGGCTATGTGTTCGCGCTCAGTGACCTCTACATACTTGGAAGTCCAGAGAGGCGCGAGATGCCGGTTATTATAGAGCGCCATCTAATACTGGATCTATTAACAACTTTTCGACATAGATAGATCACTTCGAAAGTGAAGTCAAATGCCTAGGAACCAGGTCTGTTCTCAAATATACAGCGAGAGAATATTGTTGAGTATACAAGAATGTAAACGCCTTGATACACTATTTCAGTTTACAAATTGTCATGCCTGGGGATGCCTCAATTCTTCTGAGTTCAGAAGAGTGTTCCTCGGTGAGCTATACGAAGTATTTGCGTCCGTGGAATCAAGTGCCGAGTTGGGAACAGTGTCGCAAGGCGATCAATGATGCGGTTGAGGATGCATCGACCGCAGAAGTAGAGGTGGAGCTGTTGCCTCCAAGCAGTCTGGGTGGCTTCGATTGGCGCATTTTCGTGGCCAATCATGAGTGGCGTGAGGAACTCCTCGGACATGGCGGAATAACCAAAGCTGTGGCACGAACGCATAGGAGAACCAGGCACCAGCACCTGCTGTTCTCCTGCGTCGATGGCTCAAGTTTCATGCTGACGAGAAATACTTTGAGAAGATTCGACAGCAATGGTGAACAGCACATAGTTAAATCCAGTGAGAAAGCAGTGAAGGTTGCTTTTCGAGAAGCTCTCAGCGGAATCCGGAAAAGCGGCAAGCGCGGTCCTTGCGACAAGGAAGAAGATGACGTTGTGGCCCAGTTCAATGCGTCTCTCAGAGACATGATGGCCTCCTTCTTTAGAGATGTGCTCATTGGCGTTCCCTTGGGGAGTTCCAACAGCTCAGAATGGATTAAATTTGTTGACAATCCTGAGGTCATCAAGGTGAAGGAAGACGCACGGATGGTTCCACAACTTGTTGATGAGGTAATTTCACAGCTTGTCGTTCTTGCTGTATGGCCTCGAACTCTCCGCATTAGAAAGGAGTATAACCAGTCTTTTCAGGAGCTGAAGTCGAGATGGATCGCTTATGTACGGGAGAATTTCAAGGTGATAAGGATGAGCTCGGCACAGGCTGCGAGGCTCGGACAGTTGAAGAATGATGAGATTCAGGAGGCTTCCAGAGCCACAGGGGATTCCCCAGCCATAGCCGCTAAGGTGTGTATTTTTGGCTCAGATCATCGGAACTGACTGCTTCTTCTGCATTTACGGAGTGCGATTTCCCTCCCGCTTAAGCTCCCAGGTCATTGTCGCTCTCTCAGCTCCGCCGGGAAGCAGCTCTTCTCCCACTCGCGAGTATAGAAGCTCAGAGCTCCTCCGTCTTGCTCAAGTCCGGTACGGAAGTCTCAATCCGCCTACAAGCCGGGGTGATCGTTTTTAAATCTTTTTCTTTCTTTGTCAACGTGGCTACCGATGCATCTTCTGGGTATTTGGAGCTCTGCCGAGCTCCCTATAATACAGAGCCTCTTCTTGAGAGTATTTCGGAACCCTCTGATGGGGCGGTTCGCCGATATGAAGCGTCCGATGCTGACAGGGCTCGAGTGCGCGAGGCACGACCGCATCAGCTCCCTCGCCTTGACACCCCAACCATCATTGGCGTGGGGGATGTGCCTGATCTGAATCGTGACGAGTTAGTCCTCAGCCGGTTGGATGAGACTGTCGATTACCAGGAGAATTCAACCAATCGTGGTTGGAGGCTCATCTATCGTGGTAATGTCGATCCTCAGGAGCCTCTTCTCTGGCACGGTGCTGAATTCACGCTAAAAGGGTCACGAAGACGAGTTGAAGGGCAGAAGAAGATCTTCGTCCGCCTGGCAAGTCTACAAGGGAACCTCAGCATTGGCTTGACTGAGTGTGATGATCCATCCTGCGTGTGTCGACGGAAGTATCCTGGAGCTAAACAAGGCAAAAAAAGTTGTCGAAAATCCGTTGGATTCAACAGTGACGGTGTGAAGTGGAATCGCGGGAAGCCAGTCCAGATGAAGGCGTATCAGATCTGCCAAGGAGATCTGCTAGCCTTGATACTCGTCTCTGCCGGCTCTGACAAGTTCGCCAGAGTTGAAATCGGAGTCAGTCAAAATCAATCCTCGATGACGATTCTGCCGGTGAAGCTAGAGTCTGACAGTCCGGGTGGAGGCCGGCTTGTGATCAGAGCTAGTGGGAGCGCGACTATCGATCTGTTGCTTGGAGATGGCCCGAGTCGCACACTGGGACAGGGTGTTCCGTTGTGGCAGGCGCTCCCGGCAGTGAAGGAAGAGCCCGAGTCCGAAGCCGACTGTGACATGCCTGATGCATGATGGTCGCTCCATTATGTCTTCCATGATTGATTTGACTTGAAATATTTGAATCTGACCGCACAGATTTCTGAGTGCAGATATGTCTGGGATCGCGACTGGTAGCCAGGAGGGTACCAGTCGTGTTCAACGACAACTTTGTAGGCTCTCGATCGTTTCAATCTCTACTGAATGCCTTTGAGTTGGGCGCTTCTCAGTCAAAAACAACTAATCTGGATGGATCTGCAAAATGACGAGCACGTACAGGACGGTTGCTCAGGCTTATAATACCCAGCGTATTGGCAAATCGTTTTGTATACGATGCTAATAATCAGTGAATTGCCGAAGAGTTGGAAGCGTATTGTTGGCAGTTTTGGTTGTTTTTACTTCTGCATGATGCCCACGGACGAGTGACACGGTTAGCGAAACACGAGCCTCATCATGAGATCACTGGCAATTATGCCAGTCTGTTACTACCGGGGCAATTATGCCAGTCTGTTACTACCGGGGCAATTATGCCAGTCTGTTACTACCGGGGCAATTATGCCAGTCTGTTACTACCGGGGCAATTATGCCAGTCTGTTACTACCGGGGCAATTATGCCAGTCTGTTACTACCGGGGCAATTATGCCAGTCTGTTACTACCGGGGCAATTATGCCAGTCTGTTACTACCGGGGCAATTATGCCAGTCTGTTACTACCGGGGCAATTATGCCAGTCTGTTACTACCGGGGCAATTATGCCAGTCTGTTACTACCGGGGCAATTATGCCAGTCTGTTACTACCGGGGCAATTATGCCAGTCTGTTACTACCGGGGCAATTATGCCAGTCTGTTACTACCAGGGCAATTATGCCAGTCTGTTACTACCGGGGCAATTATGCCAGTCTGTTACTACCGGGGCAATTATGCCAGTCTGTTACTACCGGGGCAATTATGCCAGTCTGTTACTACCGGGGCAATTATGCCAGTCTGTTACTACCGGGGCAATTATGCCAGTCTGTTATAATTGCCCCGGTAACATGAAATTAAAGTTCCGAACGACGAAGCCGATTTTCCAAAAGGGACGAAATTGAAGGTCTGATTCAGACCGTCTGAAGGTGTACTCCACGAAGTTGAAAGTTCTATGACGAACTCAAAGGTTAAAAAGTCGAAATTGAAAGTTCTATTAACACGAAGTTGAACTTCCTATCGACTTCGGACCAACTGGAATGTTCTATGACGAAGTTGAAAGTTCTAATTGTGAATATGATCTTTCCGTTTCGGATTCGTACCTCTAACTCCTCGCGTCCCGACAGAATTGATGGTTTTAAAAACGAACTAGATGTTTAAAAGGTGTAGTTGAAATGCTGGGATCATTGCGTAGGGGAGAGCGATGGGCTTTACCCCGAGGCTCAAGTTGATTCTTGGTGGTAAGCTCGAGAGCAATCCGGAATCATCATCAGTGTACGACTAGGACTGTTCCCTTTGTCTTCGTTTTCGGGCGTTGTTGTTACAAATGGCGTCTATGGGTCATGATCCTTTCGACCCCGAGGTTATGAAGGAGCTGAGGAAGGATATCACTCACGAGGAGGTAGGCTTCTGGCTTCTCATCCTAGAAAGTTTACACTAAGGACATTATTATGGTTCATAGTATTATATCGGCATGGAAATGGGTTATGAGGAATCATGCATCAGCTGACTGGCGATATCGTACAGTTGGAGAGTAGCGGCTTTTAGGTCAGCCAGATTACGAGAGCGATGAAGAGGCCTGAGTTCCAGGAACACTTCAAAGAGTACATCGACGAAATATCGGACCCCAAGAATAAAAAGGTTGGCAGCAGTGACATGGCCGCGCCGCTGTACAGGATGGAGTTTAGGAGTATGAACAGTACTTAAAGCAGCTCGAGGATGCTGGGGAAATGCCAAAAGGCAAAGTCCTACTGAGATGCCAACCAGGTGGTGACAAGTACTTGCTGTAGTTAGATCACCTCGGCTCGTCAGGTATATGTGTGAAGACTTCGATAAGGTTCCCATCGGGGCAGGCGCAGAAGCTCTTTCTGAATATATGCTATACTGATAAGCTTGGGGATGTTCAGTTTAAGAAGCAGGGAGCCAAGGCGCATGAGGAGTGCTGAGGAAAAAGCTCAGCTGGAGGACAATGAGGATGTTGGTTTCTCAGTCCTGATGCTACAGCCCAAGCGCCTGGATATGCGGTGTCGTTGCCGTACTCTGCCTCTCCTCCTAGGCCCGATAAGGATAAGAGGGATAATCTATGCATGGTGTCCGATGTGGCAGTGAGCCAGGTAACTCAAGCATTGGCGAGAATTGTTGGTCTCGTCGCACTCAGCGCACCTTCGTCCAAGCGATTCAGAACGAGGCCTTGTTGAAACTCGTCGTTGATACCGTCAGTGAAGCCATCACTACTTCGTGCCTAAAGGGCGGCGAGACGGTATCTCGGGACTTCAAGGTGGACGCGATCTCCAGTTTGGCATTGAGGAGGGCGTTGTGATGAAGGTGCTGCAGAAGATGCGGTGTAAGGGCGGCACGCCGATGCCTATGAGCGTTAGCGAAGATATGCTGCTAACAACTAGGCTCGACAGGAGTAGCAAAAACGCAGCAAATAAAGTAGGCGAAAAGTTAATGCGGTTTCTATTATGCAATAGGCTGACGGAATGACGCCGGCGGAGTTGCGGAAGATGCAGAAACGGGCCAAAAAGGATCAGAAGGGGAAACAGCCGGTGGCGGCAGCATCCAGTTCTGAAGCCGGCGATATCAAGGTGAAGCGTTGTCTATTGAATCGCTCGGCTTCACTAATGCTAGCTGGTGCGTATTGACTTCGTTTGGTGTCATTAGGAATCCGGTGAGAGTAGTAAAGACTGTGCCGGCGGAACAGACTCATCAAACGGGCTTGTGCTACAGCCCAAGTTCAAGATAGTGGAAGTTGGACAGCTACGGGACCTTACGAGTTTCATGGACTCCTCGGCTGGTAGGATACAAGCTTCAGCGCTCGCTGTGGATCCGGTCTTCACAGGCCATGCTTCCGCTCCGTCTGTTCATTGGACATTACCTGAGAAGATACGCCTGGAGGTGGAACTGCCTGGAGTGAAGCATAGCAGCGACATCGATGTCGACACTGCCGGGGTCACTGGTGGCGTTATAGTTCAGACCAAGAGGTGAGGTCCGTGCGGTATGCAGTTCTACTCTGTGGTAGATGTTATTCGTTACGGCTTCTTGGACATTGACCCGTCGCTTTGAATGTGATAAGCAGCGTCCCCTCGGACTAGGTGGATTTTGATGCTCATTAAGCTCGCATTAGTGCCTCCATTACATCTATCAACCTCTGCAGCAAACCTTTATCTACTTTCGGAGTCCTCGGTAGTGTAGGCTACATGGTCCTGTTCATTCTAGGGACAAGTGCTGATCTGAATAGTGCGCTTTTGCTCAGCATCTTGTTAAGTCGGTATGTTGCATGTCGGGGTCTTGCGTGATATTTATATCAGTGCTATTGTTTTCACTTGTTCAGAATCGATCAGATACTATTTGGATATCGCCCTCCCCTACATCGTGGACAGTGATAATGCAACGGCCCGGTTTGATAAGAAGCTCCACAAGCTCTCTATCATCTACCCCGTTACAAGTGAGCTATTCTCCGTCTGTGTAGACGCTCTCAGAGACGGTCCGTTATGGCAGACCGGAGATCTCGCGGGGATGGGACTAGTGATCTGGCAGTCGCTGCACCAGATGAGAGCTGCATAGCGGTGGAAGGCAGCAGTTGTCCAATGCAAGGCGAAATGGAGTCGGAGGGCGTCAGCGAAGTAGCAGGCTCGGACCCGGAGAGTGTCGATGGAAGAAATAACGATGATGATGAGGAAGTTCAGGGCACAGTAGTGGAGAGTCCGGTCGATATCGATTCTGGAGATACGAGGAGTGAAATTGAGGCTTTTACGGTAGAGTCCGTGGATAACCGTTCTGGTATTGTTGAACTCGGTTTTAACACAGAATCGCAACGGAGTTCGGAGACGGTAAAATCTGATACAGACTTTATGGCTAGTGATTCGTTCGGAGGCTCGCGTGATGGGTACTACTTCGGGAGGGGCGACCAGGGTCTCGGCTACTATAGAGACCAAGCAACCAAGGGGGGATCCGAATTGTTGGAGTTGGGTACCGGTGAAAGCGTTGCCTTGTATGATGACGGTGAGCTCCCAGGTGGTGATGGACAGAATATCGGTTGTGAACTTTTGAAGGAATCAGAGGCGGCCGTGCTCGATGTCGGATCGGGTGAGCCCTCGGCCGATGCTGAACCCACTGCCGGCGTTGCTGTTGTTGAAGAGTTGGGGGTAGAGGCGCCTTCTACTCAACAGACGAATGAAGATGAGTCGGATCCAACAGCAGCCTTGTTCGGTCAGAGTATACGATTGGAGTCCTCTCTACATTGGGTTCTGTTATAGCGACATGGAGCCACATGCGAGGTGAAACATGTCAAGGTGCTATTTGTCTCCTATCTGAGTTGCATTGCTGTTGAGTACGGGTGAAGTGGTGAAAGGCAATGACTGGACTGACTCCTGACTAATTGGCATCGGTGGTGGCATTCGTAGGATAATTTTTAATGTCATATTCATATCTCTTCAAATACATTATCATCGGCGATACAGGTAGCAGTCGTGGCTATCGTTCCTCCTTTGAGGTATGAGTGCTCGTGTTAGGTGTTGGTAAGTCTTGTTTGCTCCTACAATTCACCGACAAGCGCTTCCGACCGGACCATGACTTGACTATTGGCGTAGAATTTGGTGCTCGACTGGTGGGTGGGGTGGAAGCTAATGAACGATTGCCTTGTGATCTGGTAGAGCTGTCACTCAGGTGAATGTTGATGGCAAACAGATCAAGCTGCAGATCTGGGACACGGCGGGACAGGAGAGTTTCCGCTCAATAACGAGGAGCTATTATCGCGGAGCCACCGGAGCTCTTCTGGTCTACGACATCTCAAGGTAGCGTATGGTCGGAGCTTCTGATTCCAATACGATCCCTGATCAGACGAGACACGTTTAACCATCTAACACGTTGGTTGGAAGAAGCAAGGCAGAACTCCAACCCTAACATGGTTATAATGCTCATCGGCAACAAATGCGATCTCGAGAGGCGAGAGGTCTCTTACGAGGAGGTACATTAGGGAAGCACTGGGTTGGCGAGCGATGGTCTTTGGATGGAGAGATGCGAATATTGAGCAGATCTTGAACACTTCCTGTTTCCAGGGTGCAAAGTTTGCTAAAGACAACAACCTGATTTTCTTGGAGACATCGGCGAAGACGGCCCGGAATGTGGAGGAGGCATTTCTGCAAACAGCCAGGAAAATTTACGAGAATATTCTCGCTGGCGTTTACGATCTATCCAACGAGGTGAGTCGTGCGTTTTTATAAAACTCTGGGGACATTAAGAATCTAGAGATGAACATAGTGAGGTTTCTCGCGTGCATCAGCGCTCTGATTCTCCGGCGAGCGAGCCGAATGATGAGCTGTTAGGTCGCTAGTATGAGCTGCTTTTTGTTAGTCGCATGGCATCAAGGTCGGTCTCCCTGCAAGCAGCACAAATGTTGCCGAGCTGCAAAGTCAGAGATTTACTCAATCACAAGGAGGCTGTTGCTCCTGATTCTGTGTCGGCTTGTCTTGTATAAGTACTCTGATCAAACACACTTGATAACTATTCTTCATTTCTCGATGCAATAGCGCTTGTAATAAGATTTTTGGTGATACACTTCTAGTCAGTGAAAACAGCTACCTCACACGGTTTGCGTTGAGTAACGTACCTTCGGTGGTGGACGTCTTGATACAATGCGATATGTCTTAGTATCAGTGGTACGTAGTTCATCGTGAGACTTTCGCCCAAGCTGTTCAATTGTTTTCCTTGGTATCCTGCCCCTCAAGTAGGAGTAACTCTGTTGAATAGTCCACATGAGATTGGAAACTAGTATCCCAGCGGTCCCGACCGATTACGTACTTTGTGATTCCTCAAAAGAGACTCACTCCAAACTTTCGATATGATGTTGAGATTGGAAATCCAACTCGGGACCTACTTCGTATTAGGCAGGCATGATCACCAAGTAGTCCATTCTAGCAAGATGATCTACGTTTTGGCTGATATATCTCAACGAGCTGGAAATTTTTTCGAAGGTAATGACGCATCATAAGATTTGCCAAGAAGAATCGATATAATACTGGAACCGAGAATCGAACTCAGGACCTACTGCGTGTTAGGCAGTCGTCATAACCAACTAGACCATTCCAGCAAGTCGATTAACATTTCCGCAGAGATATCACAATAAGTTCGATGAATGGTGTGGGCGACAGTTCCGGGGTTCTCAACGCAAAACCACATCTCTCGATACAACTCAGTCTCGTTAGCAGCAAACTCATGCGTCACCACGTCTAATTTCATCGAACAAGTTGTCAAGAGCACGAAGATTGGACTTATTGCAATCAGTTCGGGAAGTGGTGACATGCGAGATTGGAACACTATCTCGCTGCTGAAGCAAATGAACGAGCAGTGCTATGCAATGCGATAAACGAGGGCACCTACATCGTGGGGACTCTCTAGAGCCCTACGCTGAAGCAAGGCACTCAACATGGGTGTCTCTGCAGCTGGGCGCGCCGTCACAGGGCCCGTGTTATAGTTCGGCTTGGACGAGAGTCGCCCTGCACTGATGTTCGCCCAAGACGACCAAAGAATGAAGCATTGGGAAAAATCACCTTTCCCCGTAGACAATGTAGTTCCAATACGAGAGAGACTCTTGAGGTACTGTGCGTGTTTCAACGCCTGCATTTGTTTCTCTTGGTGTCGATTTGCGGCATCGACAGCGTCAGCCACTACTCGTTCTCGATCGTGTTCCATGATCACCGATGCGAACTGATCATGTCGAACCACCCTCAACAAAGGTTGGTCGCGAATCAGAAGACAATAGTTTCAGCTGCTCACGAATCGATCATCAGATGAATCAATGGCTTTTCAGAATTCGAGGAAAGTCCAACCTGTGTCCGGCTTAGACGGAGTTCCTCCATGAGGGATCGATTGAGATCCCGCTGCTCACGAAGCATCGTCAGAAGGGTCGCAGGAGAATCATCTAATCGGTTCTTGGTCAATAACTGACGACGAGCGAACACGGATGTCCACCTGTAGTGGCAACGGGCGGCTTTGAAGTAGGGATAGAAGAATCGTCCAGTAACTGACGATGAACAGCAATCTCAAGAGTCCCTTGAAACCCATAGCTACTGCTGAGAATGGAGTGATGCTGGGTCGAGAATCTAAGGGAAGGCATCGAAAACTGTCATAAGCTGCTGGACTAGGGCAGCCAAACTATCTACCAGCTTTGAATTCGTAAGACTCGCGCACCGCCTCTTGAAGTGGTTTCGGCTTTGCATTTTTAGGCGATAGAGATCCATGCATTACAGTCGGGGGGAGGTCTAACATGTTTCTCGCCTTACCAGCTTTGTCCGCGAAACGATTCTCACCTATGTGGAGAGGAAGCCTTACTTCTCATCGCGAAGAGAGTTCGACTCACTTTCAGTTGGTGAGTGGTTGTATTTGTTGGGGGAGGTGATTTTCATTGGCACAGGGCTATCAAACTCACTGTCTGCAGGTCCCGAAGATAGTTGTGAAGGGAGCTGGAGAAGCAGTCTGAAGGACAGAATCGAAACCAGGGATAGCAGTGAGCTGTGAGGAACGGTGAAGAATAATCCTTAGTTTCTGACCCCCGTCGGTGCTACCGGCAGGAAGGCAAAGCGTTGCTCAGGATGTTGACTTCGTCGAGAGCAGCTCCTTTCCGAGTGGTCACGGATACTAAGGAGATCACCCATGCAGATGAAATTTGGTAGGACTATGAAAACTCACTCGCCTCGGGGCTTGTTTCCCGTAAAGGTAACTGAGAAGCGAGAGTACGAGACCTCGCTAGTCTGGGCTTTGTGCTGACCCTCAGCTCCTTCGCGAAACTGACAACGTTCTCTGCATCTAGTTGCATCACTATCCTCTGACATCTGCTGAATCCCTCCGCCAAATTGTAGCTCAACCTGAGTGACCCTAGCTGGATAATGACTGTTGCTCAAATGCTCGCTAGGAAGCAGTCGAGCCCGTAGGAATAGCCGATAGAATAGACTACTGAGCAGGCAAGCGTTCAAGATCTCACCGATCAGCCTCGAGTACGAAGGTAGATCCTCGGCTTGAGAGTCGGTCTACAAGAGTGCAGAAGCGCTTGGCCAATCTCGACCAACTCATCGTCAGCGTCCCATTAACATCTTCTTCAACTACTCTAGCCACTGTAATTGTGTCTACTGCATGAAGGTTGTCTTGGAATGGACCGCAGCTTGGGAGCCCACCAGTAGAATTAGAGGAACCGTCGCGTACAGCTTCAATCACGTCGTTGAGGCGGCGAAGTGAATAGTCCGACAGCCAGTTGACATCCCTGCAGAGCGGGGACCAGCTCGCTCTGGAGTCAATGGAGAGACGATAGACCTGAGAGTATTATCTATGATCCAATCCAGCACGCCCAGTGTTAGAATATATGTTTGCTGTCCTCAGCTGCCGCGCGAGTTTTCTCACTAATCATCTACGAAGTCGGATAGAGGTGTACAGAAACCAATAAAAATTTCCCCAAAATTTCCCCAGAGTTTTCATACTCTAACTAGCACATGTAGTTGACCATGTGCATATTCTCCCAACACTGAGGACACCATCACCTCAGCAAGGACAGTCAACGCAGCTGCATAGGTCGGTCCCTGATCCCCTTCGTCACGCCTCGAGGCAGACTCGATACTCTGAAAAATAATAGAGTTGATACTGCAGCGTACAGATGACAGATACCAGTGCTAGAGAGGACCATAGCGGGAGTTTTTCATCTTCGAAAGATTCATTTGGCCTGCGGAACAACACTGCGTTTCAACGCTACCATAGAATAGTTTCTGTCGATGAGCATCTCTGACTCGGCAATATCCTCTTTCCCCGTCCCCACCTATATGAGCAAATACCGAAATTACTAAGTTTTTACGACCTACTTCCCGAGATGGTTGCAACAGGGAATGCATCACAAGACAACATATGATATCATCTGTGGTGGGAGTCTGTGCAGGTCTACTGAGCTGCTCGAATGCATCACAGAGCGCCGAGAGAATTTCTAGACAGACTGCTTCCTAACAGAACTGCGGTCGGGGAAGTGTCATGACCCAGCTTACTCGAGTCGGGCTGTCGACCGTCTCACAGACCCTCGAGCGGACAACAGTCTTGAGAGGCTTGGGTAGAGCCCTCAACGCCTACAGTCAATGTGCAGCTTTACTGTTGCGACAACAATTCTCACGTTTTGGATCTCCAATGCTAAGTGGTTCTGCAACCTGGATCCTAGCTCGAGAGTGAGAGTTTGGGTGAAAATTTTGAGCAATGTCGGCCGCTCCCTGATTTCCAGTGTTCACAGGGTGTTGGGAATGAGGAACCTCACTTGCGCCTTGTTGATTTCCTACGAGAGCTCTCTGTCGACACTCCATCGATACCAGCACATTTGATATGCTGTATGAGCTCGAGAAATTCTCCACAGCACGCCGAAAGACGGAGTGTAGATGTTGACAACGCCCGCACTTCGTTCACAGAGTCTCTGAAGCCATCATCCAGTTTGACACGAATGAGATGCCGCATCGTGAAGCGTACTGTTTTGTAAAGGCCGAATTGAGAAGCTTCCACCAATCAACGCTGTACCGGAATGTAACCTATACTCAATAGGAGACGTTATCGATGATACTAGAGATCAAGGAACTCACTCGCTGGCCGGAAAGCAACTCGGCCACGGATAGGTTTATCTTATGGTCGCGCATGAGACCCTTAACGGCAATCCATCCCGGATGCGTGGACGTTATTCGCTCCGGTGCCAAGGACAACCTACAGGGTGCAATACAGTTGAGTGAGGCTATGAAGGTGAGCCCTCGTTCACCCTGATTGCCCTACCAATAGGATACTATACGTAACGTGGCGGCGTCGACGTTCAAGGACCGGAGGATTCCAGCCTTGAGAGCATAAACGATCTTCCTCTCAATCAAAGCCGTACCCAACCTATTCGCCAGCAACCTGGCAATGTAAAGTATCAGAAACTGGGCCGCACATGTAGACATAGGGTTGCTCATATCCCCACCTATGGACGACTTTGGGTGGATGCATGGCTTTAGTCTTCGGAGGTTGCCGGCCCTGTGACAGCAATGTGGTGATGAGTGCATCGATGCTTGTTAAATAATGGAGCTGTACTAATGCTGCGTATTGACAAGCCTGTTAGCCTCACGAATTCATCGGCAGTTTGCGCTGTCATTGCCGTGCCCTGCCAGAGTACATCTCCTACTGCACGAACGGTCGCTCCTAACCAGGAGAAATGGCATCTGCAGTGCTACTAGTGGTCAATTACCGACGAGATCATCCAAGCACTGCATTTCACAATTATTGAGGATACCGGCCCACTCGATAATGCTGGCGAAGTCGACTGTAGACACCCCCCTAGCAGATGGATACGATACGCGGCAAGTGCCTGATGATGATAGTCTCCCATCTTGAGTACGTTTCTTGCTGACTACGGGTGATCCTTCTAGCGAGGCGAGTAAAAAGGTCAGGATCAACAGACAGGGTTGTCGAGTTGCTTATTCCGCTAGGAGCACAGGCACCCATGGTTTCAAGGAGGGGTTACTAAGACTATTGATGTGCTGACCTATGTGATACGAGACGGAGGTATCATACTGGTGTAGTCTTCCTTTTCATAATTCATTAACTAACTCAAGACTAACACAGAAACTAGCGAAACGTTAGTGATGTCTGCGATGCTTTCAGAAATGACACCGGCGCCTGAACCAGGTTCACCGTTCCATGGCCAAGTGATGAAACATCGTTGCATATCGCTGAGTGGAACCATCGATAGACAGAAACACTGGAAAAATGAAATTTGCCGGCACTTGTATATTTTTTTATGTCGTCATAGCTCGTCGACGATGGTGAGTGCAGAATTGATTCAACTACCATTAGAGAGAGCTTCAAAATGGTACCTGAGTCTGTCTGGTATTCACATGTTCCAAAAAATTACGACGGGCGGGCCCTTTTTTCGGTCACCCTGTATATTCACTAACACAACAGTATCATGCGATATCGTTGACGACTAGAACAATGCTCTCCTATTCAACAGGGAGTTCATACTCGCGGAAACAAGACGCACAAACACTGATTTCATAAGCGATAAACGACGCTCGAGTATCCCCAGCAGATGCTGAGACCCCCTCACTGACCATGATGAACCCCTAGAAGGCTAGCTATACCGTGACGATCATCACACGGTAGAAAGAATCAGCAGTCATACTAGAAGGGACGGTTATGAATCAACAAGTACATCGCTCTGATGATAAGCCTGCCGATTAGGATACGAGGATTGCGGATCGATTGAGTACGATCCGATAACACTTATAAAATCGCAGAGGAAAATGTACACCCAAGAAATAGTAGAGTCGTATCAAGGCGTCAAGAGCATGCCACCGTTCACTCGGCTGTAGACCCCACACTCTCTTATCGCGTCTCATACCTCTCTTATCCTGAGATTCAGTGGGATACCAACAGGGCCGCTCACGCCCAGAATGAACAGTAGAAATTTAGAATATAGTTGAAATCAGAAAAAATAGTTGTCAACTATGAATAAACATATAATAGAAGCCGATGCAGAGACATCCTAGACAGGAGAATGACAACAATAGCAAGGGGGAATAATCGGACAGAAGACAACGTAATATACAGGCGCTGCTTCCCGCAGCAGCCATGTGTCGTTGACCGACATATCGGGTAAATACTTCGCCTCAGTCGCTCTTCACATTAGTGCTTATTAGACGACTATACAGCGCTTACCCTCATTCACTCTCTGCTTGCTGTAACAGTGGACGGAGCGTAGTAATAAAGACTGCTCCCATTGTCACACCCGACTTCTTCCTCGGGATTGATGCCTGGTGCCCAAGAAGTCCTACATACAGGACAGCGTATAACGTCGCCTTTGGCATCTACAGCAGTCGGACCCCAATGGTCGGTGTAGACCTTAGCACAGTCTCGATCAAACTTGTGAGGACAGTAGACCGATTCCACCACCCTGGACTCCTCGACTTGTACCGGAAGCTTCTCCTCGCTTTCGGTGGAGTCTAGCGAATCACCATGAATGCTCTTCGAGCCGCTCATATCAGCCAGACATATCGGGCAGAGTTCGCCCGTGGACGGAGTTGCCGGCTTGAACATGGTGCTAAAATTGGGCATCTTAGACCTCGGCTTTCGGCGCTTTATAGTAGTTCTGAACACAGAACTTCGCCGTCTCCAGAATTGCAGTAGAAGTGGTGGAACTATAGCCCAGACAATGACCACGAAAATGGGGAACCTGAAGGTTGCGGAACCTGAAAGTGAAGGAGACCTACTGCCACAAGCAAACGCAGCTGTTAGCTTGTCTCACCTGTACTGGCGTAGATGGTGATGCCAACCAAAGCGCCCAGAATAGAGAACCATGCAGTAACGAGTGCTATGAAAATCCAATAAATTCGATAGTGTCGATCACGAGCACTCATTTGTCGGCTTGAATGTGATACCATTGAGAATAGATGCGACTCCATTAATTAAATTGGCTACACAGAAGCACTCACTACATCAACCAGCGAGTAACCGATCGACAACGAAGACCCGCTCACCCTCAGGGACCCTCCATACCCAGGGACCCATGCACCTGGGACCCTCATGGGACCTCATGGGATTAGTCGGGAGGGTCCACGCAGGGTCCCTCAGGGACCCATGCATAACACAACGACTGAGCTGATCTAGTTCATACACTTATATGCGTCCATCAGCAAGCAAAACCTGTGTCACATGAAACACGGCACTAGATCAACGACCGAAAGGCCGCATGCAGCTCAGCGCATTCGCTCAGCGGCTACCACCTGCAAGCAAACAACTAAACCGATCATCAGAGAGATTACCAAAGGCATACAGTTCGGTTCTCGATGCCGGCGTCCTTTATACTCGTACATTCACTATCGAACACCCGAGGAGGCATTCTCGAGACCAGGTGATAATTCAGATCCGCCTGAGTGAAGTCTTGGACGCCACCGCCCGACACTGTTGATGCTGCTCGATCACGATCATTGCATAGCCCGGAGTCCATCCAGTCATACAGGTCGGCTACAGGCTGACTACCTGGCACCAGCATCCTCCTGAGGCCGCTGTGACCCTCCTCGCCTCACCAAGGAATGCTCTTTGTACGCGTTTGCCATGGAAGAGACGAGCTGCGACCTGCATCCAATAGGACTACCTATGCATTCAAAAGTACATCATCTACCCACCTCTACTCGGCCCGCAGCTTCTGAAACACCCTTCACATCTTGGCCACAAAAAGGCACTGAAAGCTCATCTCGGACCAGGGTCCCGCCATGAACAGAAACTGTATTAGCTTCTCGTCCTTCTCTTCAATTCCACTCGTCGTTGGAATTATCTGCTGCTTGTCTCCGCCGTTGAGCTGGTGGGGAGACATTAAAATAGGTAATACAGAAACAACTATGTCAATACTATTCTGAAACCAAGCATATCAACGAGGCAACACAGCACGAACATATTCATCATTAAATTACAGCACGACCATGCATCCATGTTGTATTGCTACTTCTAATTCACTCGGCAACTTTCTTTCCAATACTACTAGCTACCACCACTGGCGCCTTGCGTTCGTTCATCTTGAGATGAGTATAGCTGACGATACCCAGGACCGCCAGAGACACTCCTATGAGGTTCGGCAGAGTGTAGGGCTCTCCGAAGGCTAGGTAGCCACTAGAGAGTATCACCACCAATTTAGCATGGCCAAGTACATTATACGACACTGGAGATGTCTTACCAATTACCAAGAATATAGATAGATTCACGAGGAAGGCCATGATGCAGGAGGCTAGCACCAAACCACCAGCATAGGTCCCCCAGTCGAACTCTAGTAGAGTGTGAACATCATCAACTGCTGGGACCACTGACAGCAGCATGATCATGGACAGAGGAGCTTGGTACAGTAATAGCTGCTGACTACTGCACTTCAGCTCTTCCTGCTTAGTCTTCACCCATATCTGATACAGACTAGTGCTGAGTATTCCGGCCACACCAAAGGTAATGCCCAATAGATTCACTTGAACACTGGTCGCTGTAGCCAAACCGACTCCTATGCATATTGGGAGCAGAGCCAGGAGCTGGTTCAATGGTAGAGTAGTGGAGTAGAAGATGTATTGTATAGCCACAATAACGGGAGTAGTCATTACTTTCATCAACTGATATGTTCCTACTGTATTATACTGCAATGAGAGATTATTGAAAACGACAAAGCCACAAAAGCTGACACAGAGTGGCAGCACTGAGGCTATTGGCAGTCGTTCGTGTGTGAATTGCCCAGCCATTATACATAAGCAGAGACCGATGAAGGTGGCCAGGAAGTGCAGAACCGTGAGCGTTGTCGCCCAGGTAAAACCGTTATTATACGCCAGCTTATTAATCCAGATAATGCAAGTAGCACTAAGGAAGTTGAGTGCCATGTAACCGCATACGGCGACGAGGGACGGAGAACCTCCACCTTTAGGAACGGCTACCATAGCAACTACAACGACAAGACCGATCCCGTCTCCTGCTACTCGTATCGAGAACTCCAATCGATTGTGGTGATCACTCCGAGGAAACTGTGATTCCATATGATACTGTAGTCGTGATGTTGGCATTTCCGACGATCGTTGCTGTAGCTAGTCTACCCTCTTCTTAGCTTGCATCTCGATATCGCTAACTGGGCGAACTATGACTGCTCGCGGAGGCTCAGGACTAAGACAAACGGCAAGCAAATGAACTCCCTCCTCTACTGACAGTCTTACCTCTTGGGACCGTTGTCGAAACAGTAGCTGACACCCATAGCCAGACGGGTACCATCCGGGGAGAAGCTCACGCTCGATACTCCTCCAGAGGCAACCTCATCCGCGGTCATCCTCCACAACCGCTTCCGAGCCTCTCCGTCCCATACTGATACCACACCATCAGAACCACACGTGGCGAAAGTGCCGTGCCTATGAAAGCACCAATTTCGAGTTTAGTGGTCCAGTTCCGATCACTACTTGGGGTGGAAGGCCACGCCGTTCACAGCGCTGACGTCCTGGTCATCCGAACCGACGGCTGAATGGGATTAGATGCTTGATCCGATGGTCGAGACTCTGGCGGGGTCGACGAGCGGGAAATTATTACATTTCTTATGATGACACTTGAACGTGTACTTCCCCCTCACTTTATCCGAATGCTCAAAGGGCTCCCATGCTGCCTTCCCTTCTTGACTGCCGCACACGAATCCTGGACCCGACACAGTTCCGGTAACCATAAAAGATAAAGCACTACCAGTTCCCATCGGATGGATGGCCATGCACCGCATAGGCTGCGAGAAGGGAGAGTCCCTCACTTGGACAGGTGTAGACAGGTTACGTATGTCCAATATCAATACCTGCCATGTACTCTATCAGAAACCGAGAAGCAACAGCAGTAGGAGTAGTAGTAGCGGGTCACCTCTCTCATACTGGTTCCGGCAATTACTCGAGTACCATTGCTAGGGTCCAAGGCCATACAGAATATCTTCCCTTTGGCTGCAGTACACTTTGCACTTTCCTCCCTCGTCCGAGTATCCCACAGACGTATGGTACGGTCCCAGCCTCCACTGACCACCAAGTCTTGGTCCAGAAGACACTTCTCGACACAGGACGCTGGTAGCGAGTGGAACCTATTTTAAAGCTGACAGCCACGAGCGAGCCCAGCCATTCCCCACTTGTCAACACGATTAACCTCTTTCCCTCCTTGGTTGAAATCTATCAAGACTAAGGCTCCCCCCAGGGTAGCACATACGGCCTGAGACGGATCGCTGAACGTGACGTCTAGAAGCGGGTAGTGCTCCTTCCGCGTTGCCAACAACGAATTGCGATTCGTGTCGTACAAACGGCAAGACTAAAACAGTAAGAGGTAATTCGCTCAAGGCTGAGTCGCAGCTCACTCCATCCCAACTCGATACGGCCAACAAATGGGCCGGGATATTGCCCACTCCATAGGACCGAGTCGCCTGTACCGGGAATCGAACCCGGGATATGGCATCCAAAGGAGGGGACACCAAAGTAGTTGTGGTGCAGAAAGCCGCAGAAGAGGAAGACATCTGCCCAAAACCAGCACTGGGTGAATCCCACCGACCGTCTTCCCTTCCTCTCAAAACTCGACACTGTCACACGAGCAAAGGCTGGAGAATGTAATGAACAAAAAATATGGTACAAATACGACCGATTCTGAGATGAGCCATCGCGACTGGATGTAAACCATGAGGGAGATATCTGGGGAGCAGAAAACGACTCTACGAGATCGAATAAACTAAATAGTAATACACCTACCATCATGATCATCGGCGGTCCAGGCTAGGATACTCCCGAGATCCACCTCCTTTCACGTCCTTCATGAGGTATCGACCTCTACTGCCACCACCAGCAGGAGCAGCAGAGGAACTTGTCGCCGATGGAGCTTGTGAGAGTACTGCACCACCCGAACGTCTGAATTCAACAACACCATGATTGATACGATACTGCACATAGCTCTCCAATACCTCTGCCCGTAGCTCTGTCCAGGTCCAGACCCGCCACTGCCTCTATTAGTAGACGGGTTATCCTGATAGGATCTCTGCCATGGAGGAGGAGCTGGATCGCTGTAGCCTCCTCGGGCCTCCCATGTAGACTGCGCTGGAGCCTCCACTCGCCTCCTCTTGGGCGATGACTCAGGTCGTTGATAATAAGCTTTCTCCACAGGCATTGAGTTCGCACCAGTCTGGGGACGATAGTAATAGCTGTTCTCCTCTTGATAGAATCGTTCAGTAGGCACCCCTCTTCTGGGCGGAGGAGATGACGAATCTCGATAGCCCTTGGTTACTACTCCATACGGGGATGGCTCTCTCCTCCTCTTCTCCTGCCATGCTGGTCTCCCTCGGTCCCCAATACTACTGTCACTAACCCTCTCACCACGATATGCGTATCGAGATGCACTAGGTGGCACTGTCTGCCTCGGTGGCGCTTGATCACGGAATGTACTATAACGATAATCGTCACCATAAGGGAGGGATGACGGAGGCCCGCCACGCGAACTTGATGCTCGTTCGACGCGAGGTGTCTCTCGTTTAAACCAGGTATCCCTAGGAGGTTCCGCTCTAGCTGGTGAGCTGACGGCCGCCCAGGACCTATTCGATAAGAATGGGCAATATAGCTTCAACAAAACGATCTACCTCCTCATCGGCTCCTCTCTTCTCCTCCTCCCCCCTGAAAACTCTTCCACCTCATCCTTTTTACGCCAATTGCCCCACCGGCCCTTCTCCCATCCATCCCAACTACTACTACCTCCATCATCACCAGCTCTCTGCTCCTTCTTCCAGCTGCTGCCCCTACCACCGTCGTCCTTCCAACCCCAATCATCCTTCTTACTACCCCAGCTCTCCTCCTTATGCTCCCATCGAGCGTCCTTCCACTCTTTCCAGTCACTCCAACTGCTACTGCTGCTGCCCTTCTGATCCCCTCTTGACCCATTCTGCTGCCATCTGTTGGCGTCGTGTTTCCCATGCCACCTTCCACCACCTTCATTGTTACCCCATTTATCACCATCCCTCCACCTATCACCACGATCCTTCCACTTCTGCCCTCTGGGGCTTTCCCTCCACTCCTCTGCCTGTTCCGAGCCATGCCCCCCATCCTCCTTCTCCCATAATAAATTCCTAAAGGCGCCTTTCAATGCCACCGCAGCCGCGTCCCGCCTCCTCTCATCTTCACCGAGTACCATCACCCGTATCCTAGGCAGTTCCTCTATCTGCGCATCGATTGGACGATCGGCTGCCAACAAGCACAGCGTTCCAGTTTGGCTACTTATCATCTTCAACTGCTTCTGGCCCTTACCCGAGCCAGTCTTCGGAATAGTCATCTCGAGGAGTCTGAACAAACGAATTGAACACCAATTGCCACGAACTGCCACACATATTACCGCTTTTTCTCTTCTGCCGAATTATCCTCGAGAATTCCAATTTCTGTAATATCGCCCCTCTCTTGTAAAGTGGCGCACGATAGGACCAAACATGCCCCGAGAGCTTCCTTCACTCGTTCGACTCGGAGGTCCTCCTCTTGCCAGGGCTCCAGAGATTTCACTCGTCTCGCACCATGACGATCACGCCTCTCCTTCTCATCTTCTTTCTTCTGCTCTTGCTGATATCGAGACAGCCTTCGCTCCGCTACTAATAGCCACTTTATGTACTGTTCACATCGTAGACGCTGTTCACGGCCACCCTCAACGAATATCATGGGGCCGATGACGGCAGCAATAGCACCCGAGGCAGTATAAAGGGGCACGTCCATCAAAGCCTCATTAAATCTGTCCTTTCCTTCCTCTCCACCCAATTCCGGCAGCCATAGACGATCGCATGCGTAGCCACCCTGAGGAGGAGGAATATAGCAACCACGAGGGCGAGTTAACTAGTATTCACAGTAAACAACATGCCCAGTCTAACATGCAACACCACCATGGTACTCCTAGTGGAATTGTCAGGTGTCACCACAGACACCAACAAACCTAGTCACCATGGTCACCATCACAGAGGGCACCGAGTCGGCGTAGGAAAATGAACATGAAGTTGGTGCCCTACCTCGACCTCATCATCATCAGCCAGCCTTGCTTCGATCGACGAGGTTATCCATCCCGGTATGTTAGCCTCGATCTTAGCCAGTATCATGTACATGCATTGCCGACGTCTCGCCCAGGGACCAACAACGAAGAGCGGCGTCGTAGTCGTGGGTGGAATGGCCGGGGTATCAGCACTCGGGTCAGAATCGTCACCACTCTCTACGGAGATGACGGGAGTATTCTCACACAGCACATGAGAGCTTTGCTCTTTTACCAGCATCAGCAACGAGAGTATCCTCTGATGATTCCTTGCCGAGTAACAAGAGACATTCGAACTTGTCCTGTAGCTGACGGACTTCTTGTTGCCGCCGTCGCCCTTTGCCGAATAGCACATCAATCATCTCAGTGGGGATCTCAACCTCAGTGCCTACCGTATATCATCATCAAGGATGCCCACAGACCAACAACAACAACAGCGGCCTCCTTGTGGTAGAACGTCCTCTAGCAGTTCTACACTTTACTCTACAACCGACCAACCGGACTCACTCAATCCCCTTCTTACAGTCATCCCTCTCTGCCGCGTCTTCAATAACCACGGCTTCACCGAGAAGGCCGGCCACTGTCCATTGTATATACTCTCTTGCTCTCTCACGCTGTGCCTTGGTGCCAAAAACATCGACCTGCAAGCCACCACATATCCCCGATACAGCACGAAATAACTTACGAAATTGGAAAGCCGGCAAATAGTGGCACCACTGAGCTCCTCCAGTTTCCTCTTCACCGAGACATGATCCTCAAAGAGAAGAATGGCGTCAGATTTCTGACCATACCCAAGTCGACAGACACTACGACCCCCCCAGGTCACTACATCCATCTCGATGATATCAGACACCTCTCCTTCCTCGCCGCTCAACGACTCCTTCATGCGTCCCGTATAGAATCCATGGACCTTCGCATCTACCAAATTCCTAACCTCCATCTCGCAGTGCTTCCGAGCGTGAGAGTCACCAAAAATGGCGACCACCACTCTGTCGGATGAGACCTAATACCGTCATCCTCGTACATTCGGACCACCACCCATCTCTAATCTCACCTGACTTTCCCCGGGCAGAGGTTCCAGATTGCCCAACAAGAAGGCCATGGTCCCCCACTTGTCCTCTAACCCTCTCAACTTAGCCCCTTTACTCCCCAATATCAATGCCACGGCACTCCGAGGAACATCCCTCATGACCGTCAAATCTCCACCATCGTCTTTACTTAAGTCCACTTCAACCTCTGCGCCGCGACGAGACAACACTATCCTCATATACTTCGCTGCTCGTTCGCGTGCAACCTTAGTACCCCTGAATACGACTGCTGCCTTTTGCTCCTTATCACCATCCTAACAACACAGCCCTCTCCACATTATCACGTAGATCAACCTCACCTTTTCCAAATCCTCTTTCACAGTGGCCGATTCCACTCCACTGGCACGCACAATTTTTTTCTGAGTATTGCATCCCTTGCCCAAGAAACGCGGTATGTCTTCAGAAGGGATCTGTACCATCGTTTCGTCGACATCCTCCTCTTCTACAGCGGTTTGGACTACCACACTTTCATGAGCTTCCAAGTAGCAACTTCAGTGTTACCTTGATCAGGAGCGGGGAGACTTTCCCAAGATACGACCAGCCGTTCGACGGTTGCAAGTCGCCGTGGGTCATCGCATTGAATCGTCTCTCTCGCCGTATCCCCCTTGTCGAGCAGTGCCCTAGGCCCTTCAACAACAGACAGTAGGGCCTCAGCCTCGGGGAAAGGTCCCCTAGGGATAGTCTGTGTATCAGGTTCTCCAGCCTCGCCTGAATATGCAGCCATCAAGGACAGAACAAGAAAGTCTCTGTCATGGACCACCTCCATCATGTCCTGGTGACTCCTCAGGTGACCTTTTCTTCATCCTTCCCTCTTCTTTCGAGTGTGAAGCATCAGTGACCTCCGACTGGGATTGAGTCGCCGATGGATTGCCCTCCTTAGCGCCCTGAATCGAGCCCCATCATCCCACCCATCTCTACCAGCATTACCACGTTCTCTTCGGGTAGCCCATTCAAAGGCACTCCTTGCTCATCATCGCCAGCACTGGGGTCTTCCTGGGTACCGTCAATAGCAGCAGGCGACTCCGTACCGTCCTCTGCACGAGCCGAGCCTTCCTCTTGTGCTGTCTGGTCGTCAGTGGTGGGGTTGTTGTCATCTGGACTCGCTGGAGCTTCATCACGAGCTGGCTCTCCGAGGCTGTTCTGGTCTGTGGTATTCATTATATCAACAGATTGCAATAAGTAGCCCTGCTTATTAATTCTATCAATTCAAAATGCAGTTGAACAGAAACTAAGCATTTTTCGCGCACGCCCTCGTAATCGATTCGCATCAGAATCGGACCGAATTTAACCCATTCTGACGGTACACACACAGTAAACGCATTGGTCCGTCGCCTATTAGTACTAAAACGCAACATGTTATTGTAAACACTGTATATAAAAGTAAAGGTGTTGGGGAGAAGTATGCTGGTGAAATTATAACAATATATTAGCAATGAGGAATATTCAGTGTGGTAAATATATCACGATAAACCAAAGCCTGCTTTCGCATGGATAGCAGTTAGAAGTTTCCTGTGGAGCTTCTCCACATTAGCACCACAGTCCGGCAACTTAAGTAGATTAACACAAGTGCTGGCGGTTGGTAATCGCTCAGGGTCATCCACTCTCGCGATTGCGAAAAGAGGAGATAGTGTTTTGAAACCAAGCAGGGGCGGTCTTGAGTTACTCGTCACAAAGCGGAGGAGCGCATCTCGATCAGCGTCTGTGAATAGGTCTTTAACAATGTACCAGAAGGCTCTGATGTTGGGATGATCGGCAAAATAGCCGTTGGAGTATTCAGTGTGCCGTTGGAGATCATCAACATCAAATCCACGACGCTCTTCTCCCGATACAAGCATGTTCAATTCTTCCGGACAGAACAACTGAGAGGAGGGAATGCAACAACCCACCATATTAAGACCCTACCTGCAGCCACTGTACAGGGATGATGTCGCCGACCCCTTCCACAAACGCTGTAGTTTGCTGCTCTATTTGTGTGCATGCTTTGAACTTGGTCATCAGCAGTAAGTAAAGCATTCGGTTATCCGCAGTGACCGGAGTCTAACACTGACCATCACCCGCTAGCCTTTATGTTGGGAAGTTACCGTGCTTCCACCGGGTAGAAGATCCACATCGCGACCTCCAGCGGTGACCGTGAAGTTGAGCGATAACGCCGCTACCTCCTCAGCCGAGCAGTGCCGCAAATACAACAGACTCCTACACACCTACAACAACGAGCTCACACCGATGATGAACAGGAGAGCCGCACTTGTTTATCGATAGTTGCAACTTCGTCAATGGAGAACTGCAATCCCAAGAGACGGTTGAGGAAGACGATGGAAAACCTCGTATCGATTAGGATCTGAGGAGAAGTCCCAACGTGACGAGATCAAATCTAGTGGACGACTGACCAATTCGTATATGGCCTTCCCAACTGCTCTTCCAATATTGCGGACTTGGTTCAGCTCCTCCACAGTGGGGGTGGCGTTAGGGATGGGATAAACGCCTACGACCAGCGGGCAATCGCGTAATGGGAAGAAAGCGGTAGCATACCTCCTCGCTCGTCAACGGTAAAGAACTTCCCGAATGCCTCTGTTGTCCACAGATTGAGGAACTCCTTGAAGAGCCCGCCACCGTCTATACCAGGCTCCATGGCACCTACATAGACGAGGAGGAGCTCGAACTAATACCAACACAACAACGCCTTACCGGTCTCATCGACCCACTCCACACGCCATCGGGCATGGCTCGATCCTGATGAGGACATAGTCTCCATCATCTTAAGTCCGTCCTTCAACAGTAGATCGGGATCTGACACAAGGCGTGACGAGCCGGCTATGGAGCAGAGGTGTCACCCCTGTGGACTGTCTGCAGTGTCTCATTGCGTCGTGACCTCATCATGAACATCAAATCAGCATTCCTTCGCTCGCCGCCACTATGGTCGTTCAATAAGACGGTGTGGAAGAGTGCGACACGATCCTTGAAGGCCACCTAGACACGGGATGCCTCCAAGCCAAGAAGAGGAAGGGGAAGACACCTTACGGAATGAGGGAGTTCAGCAAGGACCGAACTAAGCTGTCGCTGCTCAGCTTCATGACCTCGTGTCCTTCCATTCGACTTGGGCGTAAAGAAGTAGTGGACAGTTGCCAGCCCAGTGCGCTGTGGTTCCCCAACGGTGGGCCTGACCACAACGTAGGCGGCATGCACACATGCCGCGCCGGGCCTACCCAGTTTGGGTTTCCTCTGCAGCTCCAGAGTTGCCCTCGTCCTCATCCATGTAGTCGACCTCCTCCATATCTTCATCCTCCTCATTATCCTCACCCACTGCTAAGTCTGCCAACTTAACATCAGCTGCAGCCCGAAGTAACGGTCGGGTAGAATGAACAACCCAATACTCAGCAGAGTCGAGGCCGAGGGTCGACCTAAGACGCGCTACTGCAACAGCGACCGACCGAGCAAGACAGGACCTACCTCCGGCCATGCAAGGAACGACAAAGTCTACATACTCGACCAACGATGGCTTTGATCTGATCTCCGCACTCTGGTTGAGCAGTGGCTGTGAGCAGTTTAAATGCCACCAGGTTCAATACAGGTATAGCCGACCGCAAAACCTGAATGAGGATGGACCCTTGGCAAGCGCCCGGCGCGGGGGAGGCGGAAGAAACCACCAGAAGGCCTACATCAGGATCCACAGGGTTGCGATCTTTACTACGCAGATCGTCAGCGTCCATAACCTGCAGGGCTGTACTGTAGAGTGTAGCCGATGCATTCAAGCCGACATACACAGACTCATCGCCAGAAAGCACCTGATCAATGAGATGGTGAGTGGACCTACACCTTTACTCGATCTAGTAAAGACTCAAGTTTTAAATGCAAAAGCCGATTTAGGGCCCGACTGTAGTTTTCCTTGATCGAGGAAAGGCGTGGTCTACACCAAGTCCTACCCTATCAACGCAAGACTGAGCCAGGGCCTCCTTGGCGTTATCCGTACCGCTAGGAGGGACCAGACATGGCTGTATGAATCGCCGTACGACGACCTGGTGTATCCTCGGAATCGAGGCTAGTAACTGCAATGGGAATACCAAGGGGAGATGAGCTGAAGAATACTACCACTCTAGTGTCGCTGCCGAGGACGACGGAGCAGTGACTGCCAAAGTAGAGGCCCAGAAGGGCCCAGATCGCCTCATCGTCCCCTTGCCGAGCCAACGCCTTCATAACATGCGGGGATAGCAGCAGGTCATTGGAATTGCCCCGGGACCGTGAGCTCCACCAGACAGCTCGGACCACTGCACTCGATATACCGCTGTTGGCTGAAGTCTCGATCCAGCGGCACAAGTTGCGCGATAGCAATGACATTCCCTCATCAGTAGAAGCTTCTGCAAAACAGCGGGAGAGAGTTTCCTCGATGTTAGGGTAAACACTCTCTAGGTGACGGACTGCTATATTCGTGATTTCCTGAAAAAAAGGTAGACAGTACTACGACGCAAAAACAGGAGGGCGTCTTACACTGAACTCTGGCTCATCCCGGTCTACTGTGGACCCCTGAGCGATAGTGACCAACGCAAGCTGTCCGCCTATCTCGGGGTTATGGAGGAGTTTCATCGAACGCGATGGGTCTCTCCAAATGCCCACAGCCAGGGCGCGGACCCTAGTGGGTGTTGTGGCTGCCTTGGCTATCTGATTCTGGGGAAGAACCAGGGCCAGGTCGAATCCGGCGGGCACGTCAAGGTCCAACAGGAGTGATAAGAAGCGTGGTAACTGAGAGAGTAGACAGCACGTCGGAACACTGCCTACCACGAGCTCGCCACGTACCAGGCCTCGTGGGTAGCAAGATAAGAATGGGCTTTCAACAGAATCAGTGGAAGAGGCCCCACTGAGCTGATGGTGTCGGACGACCAAGTTAGCAGTGGCCGCAGCTATTCGTCGGTCCTCAGCTCGGTCCGATCGTATCTATAGCATGTGCGAGTTCTTAGAAAGATGGTATGAACATGGCCACTGATCCTCCCTACTTACACAATGAGCGAACAGCAAGCGTTGAACTTGTCCAGGAAGTGCCTTGCCGAGGAACTTGCCGATGACAGAGTCATCCAAGCCGAGTGTGTCCATTACCTGAAAGAGCAGTGACGAGACGATATAGCCCACGCCATTACCTTAATCAAGTCACCGTTACGCTTGTCTACAGTAGCCCGGATCTCGCGGGCCACTCGTGATGCCTCGCGCCGGCCACGATATACGCGCTGGATGAGCCCCGCTGCCACGACCCTCCTCCGGTCCTGCTCCCGTCTGAGATATCGATACTGCTAATAACAAGGAGGCAAGGCATGTCATTCATATACTACACACTTCTGCCTTTGAGCCCGCTGTTGTTGGAGGAATCGGGCCTTGCTCAGTCCTGATGACCGACCAGCCAAGTTAACACCACCACCGCTGTCGAGACCGTTCCACATAGGATAATCGAAATTAGTAAATGTAGTGTCTAGAAACAAGGAAAGTTCCTATCCAACTACTGAACAACAACACAAGCCTCTTTGTGTTCGTGGAAAGCTGATTAATACAGTACGATCCTAAGTGAACTCTCGTAGTCCTATTTGGGGCTCCCAGCCGTCCATACGCGACGAGGCTGAGCGGCTCCTCACTCTTTATGGTCAGATCTCAGCACTAGTCCAGTACCTTTCACTCGAGTCCATCACCACGTTATATGGCAGCTAGTCTGATCCAGCAAGCGTATAGACCCGCTTACTCCTGGTGGAATCGAGTGAGATAACCTGTCGTGAATTCAAGGCTTACAAGCCTAGTGACACCTGCCAGGCGATTGTAGACCCGGGGAATAGACCTCTATAAGAAACGAAGGTGTACACAGGATGCACGCTGTGCTGAAATCATGAAGTAGCCCCGAGCTGATCTATGGACCATCTCACAGGTGCTGCATGCACACTTCCATATTCGCAACACAACAGTGGGAAAGGATAACACTCACGTGGAACGAGGCAGAGTTCAGAGCGGAGATCCTAGCAGTGATAGTGGATAGTATGATCAGTTGCTGATGAATGAACTTCTACACGTAAGGTGTTGTTGGCCTTGCATAATACTAGAGCTGAAGATTGGCAGTAGGATGAGTTTTTCATGAACTTGCGACTCCTCCCCTGAAGGCATTTTCGAAGCTACACAATAGGCTTCCTACATCCGAGAACTCGCTGTACCCTGGTGTGGATACCTCCCCAAAAATGAGATCAGTACATACTGGAAGCTAAGCCCCACGGTGCCCCATAGCCCCATACCACTATTACCAGAGAACTCTACCATGATCCTCAAAGGCGTAGTCCATACAATCCTCATCGTCTACTAAGTTCCAAGTGAGTACCAGCTGGAGCAGGGACACGGTGTCCCGGACACCAGTCAAGAGCTTCGCAAGAGCACCAACCGAGTATTACGCAAATAAGAGACCGATTATGTGCCGTGTGAAAACTTCCGTAAGATGAGTGTTTTAACGCGGACGTTTTGAGCTCTCCAATTCCAGCGCACTTTACGAATGATCACCCATTTGGTAATGGACGCTCACACTTTTGACGTTGCATTGAAGTTCTGTGGAGGCCAAGGCTCCACCTTGAGCCCGCAGGAAATCCTCACAATTCGGGCTGGACTCGATCAGCTCAAGTACGACGGTAAATTCGATAAGGTAAGGCGATTGCTGGTCCTGTGCCCCTATCCTTCACAACAGGTATACTTCTGGGGTCGTATCTCGGGCACTAAGGGCTACTACTACATAGCTTACGGGCTCAGGTCAAGCTCGGATGCTTTCCCCAAAAAGGAGTTTTACTTCAGCACTTCTACTACTGCGGGTGGTACCCGATGGGCTTCTGCAGTTCTGAAACCCGTTGCTGCTCAGATTTCGTGGAATTGCCTCAGCTGGTGGAGGCTGAAGAAGATATTGTCAAGTCGCTGGTGGACCTAAGCCTGCCGTTCATCGGGGTCCCCTCCATGTACGTTACGTTGCATGGTAGTGCTGTAACTACCGTTGGCATCGTTAGGCTCGTTGCCACCGAGAAACTCCCCAAGAGTGTTGAAGCTGGAGAGGAAGAGAAGGAGAACGCTCCCGAGCCCTTGAAGGTGGGCTCTATAGGGAACTCAGTTCAACTTCCCTACAACAGGTCACCGATCTGCAACGTCTGGCTTTGGTGGTACCGCGTATCGATGCTGAGACGTCTGTGGTACCCGCTGGGGCCCACTGTCTTAGTGACTCATACAAGGTGAAGGAGAGCGCTGCGTTCAGGGGTAAAGCATAAGCACTTGCTTGGGGCCTCCTTGGGCAGCTGTGTTCACCGGCTTGTCCGTACAGGTCTCAACTTTGCTGATGCGACATCGATTTCTGCTTTCCGCCACTTCCGGCCGTCCTCGAATGCTGCAGCTCTTCGCGCATTGGTAGCAGCCGATCTATGGGTTGTTGCCTGGTCGGTGATGCATTCTTAGGTCGCGGACGATGCTGTGTTTATGACATCTTCCAATTTCCTGGATACTCTCGAGGAAGACTTCCCCAAGGGGTCAGCATGGGTGGTCAGGCCCAACGTTCAGGCCCAGCAGGTTAGGTCTCGCCAGCCAACCACCGCTCAACTACTCCTCTCAGGGTGCGACTGTGTTGAGGAGTCTGGTATGGCCTGGATACACTGCATTCCACGTCCCGGGGTCTACTCTATATGGAGGAGTCTATCTTGGGGATGGCCTCAGGAATTCGGACCTTCCGTTCATGCTCTAATGTGTGGTCAGTCTTGAGGTGTGGATATTCTCTCTAGGAGTCGCGTGCCGGGGGTGGGGGTGGCGTTGTGCCGATGGGTTATTCGTAGGCTTGCTGTTTTCCTCCCTGCCCTTATTGTCTTCCTAGGGCAATGTCTAATGCCGCTACCCATGACGTATTATCCACGAGAACACTGCTGAGTATAGCGAGCCTGCTGAGAAGAAGCCGTGACCAGCGAGCCCCCTTGGAGGTCTCTATCACTACTTGGGAGTATCTGCGGCCGTCTATTCGAGGCTTCACTCTAGACCGACATTATGATGTCGATACAGAGGATGGCAACATCTATCCGGTGTACACTAGGCTGGGTAGCAGCCACCTGGTGTGGGTTGCCTATCCCTCTGATCAATACGTACTCGAGAGTCTCTCGCTTACTGGTACCCGGACCCAGCTAGCAGAGATCTCTTTGCCTTATGTTCACAACTCCATATGTGCCCATATGATGAAGAATCACCCTTGCATAACGTTTGTATTCAACACCACAGTCACTCAGCTCACAGGGTGGTCAGTATGTGAGGAGTCGCCTCGAGAGGACCTACCTGTTGCTGACGTCAAGAAGTCTGCTGTTGTCGTTGATCTACTGGTAGAGTTGATGACTGTAGATCCCTACTCTGAAGTGTTCTACGGCATCGCCCCTGGTCTGGGGTTTTCGGACAACTTTCTCATCCGAATGTCCCCTATGGATGGTATGTGGGCATGCGATTCCTTATGTAGCGTACCGGAGCTCATTCAAGGCTTTGCTATTCTGGAGTCGGAGATATTCATCTTAGCTGGGCTGGAGGCAAGGCATGATGCTGAGGAAACGGTCTTGCAGCGACGAGAGGGCCGAGGGTGGGAGACTCTCCTTATCATACCCCGACAGTGTACTTCCATGGACATCGATTATAAACGTAAATGGTTATACATTCTCGGAGGGTCTCCCGATAAGGCCGATTGGAGCCTTTGGATCTACTCAATCGACATGAGGGCTGTCCTCTACCGATTCGAGCTGCCTATGCTTGGCACGGCTCGGGGAGGTACTGGGATTGCCGCTAATGCGGCCAATATCACCCCAGAGAGGGTATTCCTAAGGCCTGATGGAGGCCTTTGGATAACACGAATCCTCCAGCCTGATCCTGAGCGTTTAGACTTCGACCACAGAATAGAGGTGTGGTACCCTATTGTGGACTGAAGTAGTAGCGGTAGTAGTAGTGTTCTCGTGCGAACTAGAATATTAATAATGATTGCTTTTCCTCTCTAAGTATTGCATGATGTCATCTCTTGCTGCTGCTGCTGCCCATGCTGTGCCCTGTATTGCTAAACAGCTGTTGGCCGTCGATTGAACTGCATAGCATCTCAACCTTAGGCTATATCACTTGATAATAATAACAACGAGAAGAAGGACAACAATGAAGCTTTATGCCTACAATCTATGTTGTGTTGTGATGTAGCGGCATGAATTGGGGGGCTCATTAGGAATAGTAGCCTTACTTGAGGGGATGTTAGGGTGAGCTGATAGGAAGGGGTATCCCTAGTGGGGTATCTAGATGATCATGATAGGTATCAGGACGGCCACCGATATTATGAGGAGTCCTTAAGGGTCAGAGTGATGTGTGGAAGGTCCTCATTAGCTCGTAGTTACTTAGCATGTGTGATTTCGATGCCTGTCTGGCCGAGGTGGACCTACTTCGTGGGATTCCTATGAGCAACATGGCCCCGATGGACCTGAGGGCCGTGGGCCGGAGGAAGCGGCAGCGCCGAGGGCTGCAGCTGACTACAGATGGGGGTGGCCGAGAGAGCCCGACGGGGCAAGCCTGGACCTTAACGGGCCGCTTTGCCTGTCAGTACACGCCACATGTGATGCAGAAGAGGAAGCGGTACCAAGAGGGCTTCATAGGTCTACACGATGCTGGAGTCAGCCTGTACAGTCTCGAGGCCGATGAGGCACTTGACAGTGTCATCTGGACCTACACACTGAGGCGGGACTGGAATGAGGCTAGGAACAGATCGGCTACGTTGGAGATGCTCCTGCAGCGGCATATTGCTCGAATACAGTTCGGCTCGGGAGAAGGAGGGCTCGTTCAGGGTAGCGGCTGTGTAGCAGCAGGCCATGGTGGGGCCACGGAGGGCCGGTTCAGTGTTAATGTGGGTATGGTCAACGGTGATATGTTTCGCTCCGCTGGAGCTATTGAGGGCCATGCCTTCGGGGGCATCTGCAGGCCGTCAATCGGTCCTGTTGAGGACAACGAGTTTGAGGCTATACTGAGGACAGCAAAGACTAAGGCGAAACCTGAGGTCGAAGATGAAGGGGCCGCTTTGCTGTTGCAACCTAGCAAAGCCCCACGACGCGCGCCCCTGCCCATAATGGGCTCTATTGAGGAAGCTCAGAGGGACTCTGCGATGCCGGCTTTCCCTCCGTACTGCCCTCCGAGGACTCCTTTCGACTTGCTTGATCTGGAATTCGCAGTGCCCTCTGAAGGTGGCGACAACTCGACCCAGCTGAGCTCCACTCATGTGGCCATGTCGATGCACAGCTACACCCTCCTCCATCTGGACACCTTATATAGGTCGCTCTACTTCGGCCTTCGAGACCTCGCTACGGGATCACGGCTGGCACGCTCGGCTCAGTTCAAGAGATGCCCTTTGGGTTCCACGTGTAAACTGAAAATGACCGACAAAGGCGAGGCGAGGCTCTACTTCCCTGCTCATTCCCAGGCAAACAGTAAAAGGAAGCGTGGAGGGTCAAAGCTGTTCTTCAAGGCATCTAGCATGAGTGGGAAGGAAACGCGGATGGAGACCCCAGACATATTCCTATTCTCCGTGAAGGGCGCTTGGGTGGTCTATGCTAGTGCATGGAGAGGCCTCAACCCTCAGGGCCTCCTACGGGTCGAGCCTCTCACCGAGGCGACCAGAAGGGTACAAGACGGCTTAGTGGTGGGCTCGACGACTGCCTGTGATACGCTACACTGCCTTGAAGGTGTCGGTCAGCGGCTACAGTACCTAGAGACTTTACGAACGCTGTTGTCCACCAAATGCGAGGAGGGTAGTGACCATGAGGGAGATGCCTTCAACGTTAGTTCGGGCTCTCGGGCCTCTTTGGATCCAGGGGCGATCTGCTGTACAAGCCTGTGCCTCTTTGGAGGTCTGGTCAGCGGTCACCGACTGCTGAACCGCTCCCTCACCCTGCCAACCGCTGTGGATCTGGATGCTTGTATGGAGGCTACAATGGAGTTGTTTCCAAACCTCAACTCCGACCAAATAGCAGTCCTGAAGCATGTACAGGCATGGTTTACAGACAACACTGCGGAGCCCCTGATCATGGTCCAAGGCGTCTACGGCTCTGGCAAGACGACGGTTTTGGCGGCAGTCATCTCGCTACTGTGTGAAGTCCTTGTGGCTTCCTGCGGACCTGTGATACCAATAGCTCACCGCAGAGTCGGACTGCTCTCCCTCACAAATGTCGCTGTTGACAACGTCCTGCTCAAGCTCAAGTCGAAGGGCTTTGAAGACTTCGTCCGGCTTGGCGTCTACGATAGGATTGCGGCTAACCTTCGAGATGATTTTTTCGCCCGGACGCAGAGTCGTTCTCGAATGGAAGGTCCTCCGGGGCTGTCGGCCTTGGACTGGAAGGCGAGGGCAGTGGTGGCGGCCACGCTAGCATCGGCGATCGACTTGACAGTAGATGGAAGGACAGCTTACGAGTTGATGGTGTACTTATTGTTAAGGTACCTTGCCCCTTTGTTGTGGTCGATGAGTGTGGCCAAGTGACGGAGCCCACCCTGATGCTGCCTTTCATGCGCAGTCTGCAGCCGATTCGAATACTTATGTTTGGCGATCCAAAGCAGCTACCACCCCCACCAGATGATTGCCCTATCAAGTCTCCCTCGGGGTCTACGTCGGTGATGACCCTCATCACGAGAAGGTAGGGTGTCACCATGCCCTATGATGCTCGTGTCACCATCCCAGACACGAATCCCATCATGGAAGACGGCTGCTGCGTCGACTCCAGCTGAGGACACAGTACCGTTGCCATCCTGATATCTCCGCGATCTGCTCAGCCCTATTCTATGATGGACAAGTGCTGCCTGCGCCGTCCTCGGATGGAGACTTCCTAGTGGTTTTGTAATCGTCAGGTGGTCACTCAGTACACCTCTCCCATCAGAGGGCCCATCCTACCTAGTATGGCGCCCATCATAGTTTTACAGCACAGCAGCTGCTCACCTCCACAACGCCGAGGTGGGTTGATGAGAAGGACGACGACGAGTGACATGGGCCCAGGTGACTCGCTGTACCATCCTGGCGAGGCTGACATTGTCGTACGCCTGGTGGAACGCCTCTCTCGCCGTACCAAGGATATTTGTGTCATATGCATGTATAAAGCGATGGTGCAGGAAATGAAGGATCGAGTGGGTTCACTACTCGACGTTACCTATGCCTATTTCGTGTGGACTGGCCATCCTGGTGACTACACTTCAGATTATGGACCCGATAACTGTGGCAACAGTGGACAGCTTCCAAGGCTCCGAGGCGAGTGTCGTCATTGTCGTCCTCACTTACCAAAGATCTTCTAGCGGCCATTTTGGTATCACTTCCTGCAGCATCAGCTTTACCACATATCAGCATCAGGCACTTTCATCTCGGACCCTCAACGAGCCAATGTGGCCATCTCCCGAGGCAAGGACCATCTAGTGGTCGTCGGCCACGAGTCGGCCTTCCACCACAGCAGTTCAACACGCGTGTGGTCCTTCGTGAGGGACCGAGCTCAGGTTGTGTTCTCGCCGGAGGACATCAAAATTTAGTTCCAAACTTGACTCTAGTCTCACGGCATGGTTATGGTGGGACCGTTTCATTCAAGAGAGGTTGGTAGATGTTGTGTTGGTAACCTTTAACCTTGAGATCATTAGAAGTTCACTGTAGTACACCCACAGATGCTTATCATCAGCAGCATTTTCTGGTTTCCATCATGTTTTCAGCCTTGTAAATTGGCTGTGTCAAGTGTAGATTTCACTATCACCCACTAGCACTCAACATCAACAGATACAGCACGGCAAGCATCGACTAGCATGTTGTGAAGTTATGTACACATCAATGCACGATATGGCGAGCCACCTCGGCTAGAACTCCAGGGATGGCACCAACAGCATTAGCAGCCTCACTGCGGAGGGATTGGAGCTGAAGGAGCAACATGGTTTTCGAAGGCAAGAGAGTTGCAGGAGAGACGTCTCACCTCAGCCTTGGTCTTAATCTCATCGCTAACAACTAAATCCTCGACACGGTTCAACAACGACTTCGCACGTTCTGACTCAGGGTTGCGACGACCGGTTTCCAAGAAGGAGGAAAAGTCCTCATTAGCCGTGTTGGCTGTAGCCAAAGATATTTCCTAGACCATCGAAACTACGAGTGCTATCACTGACCTCTAATTCCTCACCTTGTGCAGTTTCTGCAAGTCGCTACGCATCTCATCCTTCATTTCTTTGATCTTCTCATCGTCCCTGGCATCCCTCTCTTTCTGCTGCTTCATCATAGCCGATAATTCTTCCTCTTCTGGACCTCCAATAGGTGCCTGGACAAGAAGCCCCTCCGTCACCCCAAGGGGCAAGTTGACTAGACCCTACATTCTTCAGCTTGTCGGCCTCGGCCTCCCACCTCCTGTTGAGCTCCTTTATAGCCGCGGCCTCCTTCTGGGGATCGTAATTGGAGGTCTCAACGAAGCTGCCACTACTGATGGACCCATCGTCCAGCGTCGACTTCATATGCTCGTTTGCCTCGAGCTAAGAGAAAACTGCATGGGGTGAGCGAACTTGAACATTTGCGCACATCAGCTTGAGATTCGGCCAGTAGAGCAGCACTCTGGTCCTTAACCTTCTGGAGCGACTCGGCGAACTCCTCCTTCAAGCGAGCCACATCTCTCTTCTCTTTCTGCATATCCTCACTTTCCTGCGACACCAAGGACAGATAGGGAGGCCACGTCCATCGCACAATAGCTGACGTAAGGGGTTTTTAGTTTCTTAGGGGGCAAATTTGGAAAATCAACATTTCTCGTCAACTGTTCGGGAGCTGAAGCTTACAGCGAAATTGAGAGGGGCCCATTGCAATAGGGACTCCTTCTCCTTCGATTTCGTTATCTCAGTGCTGGAGCTTCCCTTAGTTCTCTCGTCCCTCTTCTCTTCCTTATTCACAGCCACCTTCTGCGTGGAATTGACAGGCAGTGCAGGAAGGCCGGCCGCCGCCCTAGCCTTGTTCAACTTAGCCCTGAACCTGCATCGTATGATAATCAACTAAGGCCATCCGGGGTGCATGCAGTAGAACCAACTCTACCCTACTACTACTACTACTACTACTACTACTACTACTACTACTACTACTACTACTACTACTACTACTACTACTACTACTACTACTACTACTACTACCTCTGAAGCCAGGAGCTCAGTCGTGCTCTAGAGGCAGCAGCAGCCGCCGAGCTCGCTCCACTCTGGGTCTCCAGGAAGGAGAGACCAGGCAGTGTCTCAGCGTCCTCCAGGGGGTCGACTTGAGGAGTATCCGATGATGCCAGCAGAGATCCTTGAGAGTCCACGTTGAGTTCCAGCTTAGCGGTAGATTCCTTTTCCTTCTCCAGCTCGTCTCGCTCGGTGGCCAACATCTTCTTCTGAGCTGCGATGTCAGCATCGAGCTTACTGATCTGCCATAACAACAAGTGACCAACTTCCATCGCCTTGCACACCCCCACCCCATCCTGAGCCAAGCTGAGGCCTCTCTCAGCGGCATCGGTATCAGCATCCTCCGTTCCAAGCGAGGCAGCATCGCCAAGGAAGTAGCCAACATCCTTAGCCTCGAGGAATGACGACGAAGAGTTCTTCCCCTCGCCAGGCTGCCCAGCGTCTCCAGCAGAGCCTACGGAACCGGTGACCTCCACCCGTAGTGTCGGGCCCTCGTAGCCTCACGAGCGAAAGCGACGGAACTGTTCATCAACTTCTCCGCGAACTCCCTGGCTTTCTCGGCAGCCTTCCTCAAAGGGGCGATGAAGTCTCCCTGGCCGTTCGCATTCTGCATGAAGCTGCTCATCACCGCCTCTGACAGGAGCATTCGATCAATCTCACGTAAGCCCAAGACTTCCCCAACCTGGAATTGCGATTTTTTCAGCAGCAATCTCCTTCAGTTTCGACTCGGTATTCTCAAGGGCCCTACCAAATTTCCACTTCATCGTAGGACGCCCTCAAATTCCGGGGGTCTCACCTATCTTGGAAAGCCTCATCTTGCTTAAGCAGGTCCAGATCCTTCTTCTGCTCTGCCGCACTCTGGTCGAGATCGCTGGTCAACGACCGTATTTGCTCGTGGAGCTACGGCAGGCGAAGACTAAGGAGGCTGAGGCGAGGACTGCAAGCCTACCTCATTGAGTAGCTCCTCTGACTTCTTCTTGCTAGACTCTATAACCTTCTCGGCCAGGCCCATTTTAGCGCCCGTTGCCGCGTCCACATGTAGGCCCTCTGCTAAGGAGGTGATAGTAGTGAGAAAGATAAGTAACGACCGCATAGATGTTTCGAGTGTGTACAGGGTATTTGCTGCGAGACAACACCGTTTCCCTCCGGAGGATCCGCCAACACCAGAACACACAATGACAGAGCAACACCGTCCAAGATGATCATGATAGGACATATCCAAGACTAGGAGGGGCTAGTCCCTTGGCTCAGCCGCTTGGCCAAGGCGTCAAGTCGAGCCATCGCCTGTACGAGGTTGTCGGGAAGTGTAGCCTGACAGCTGCGATCATCATCACGACCACCCGTCCATCTAGGCTACCTTTCCCTTTGTCTCCTCGAGAAGGGACTGAGACCCTCCAGCGTCCTTCATCGCTTGCTCGATTTGCCCTTCCTTCTCCGCGTTCTTCACCATATCAGCATCTAGCTCAGCGCTGAGCTTCTCGAGGGCTTCATGAGCCCTCGAGCGAGTACCGAGTTGGAGGAAGGATGCTCCCCTGTTACTGCTGGCCTTAGACTGAGCCAAGATGTCCTATAATGCAGAGACTGCACAAGAATACAGAGCCGGCGCTGTTACTACCGATTTCAGCGACACCAGGGCATTCTTGAAGTCCTCGTCGACCTTCTTCACATGCTCATCAGCCTGAAGCGCCTTCCTCTTCATCTTCTCAATATTGCTGTCGTCGAGGGAGCTCCCGTCGGTGTTAGGGGCCTGCAAGACCAAAGGCACACAGCTGGTCGGGACCTAGTCCGAGCGACTATAATAATCGTACCGAGATCCTCTTGGCCTCCCTTGCCCACTTAGCCTGGAGAGCCCCAACCTCCTCCTCGGCCTTCTCCAGGTTGAAGTGATGGGCCTGGCTTTTCTCGACAAAGGACGGTCCCTTGCCCTACAGCCCCACGGATGCCAAAATAACGGGGGACTGCCAAGCCCTCACCTGAGGGGTCTTCTTTCCATCACCGGCCTTCTGGACTCGTTCGAGAATTTTTATGACGTCTCGAGTTTTCTCAGCCTCCTTGCGAATTGCCGATCGTACGTCCTCAGCACTCTGAGCATCCAAGCATGACCATCCCCTTGAGGAGCATCGACTACCATAGAGCTCTCGAGGAAGGAAGACGAGGCCTTATCCTCATCATCGTTGTCCACCAGCGCATTAGATGGAGTGGTTTTTGAGTCTCGGGCGGCCAACACCCTTTGACGATCCTCTTTCATGTACCTCTCGATCCTGACAGGAATCCCTCTGGGCCCAGTCCGAGCCAGGTAGAGCCCTACTTGCTGACCCAATCGCCGTGCGAGTCCGACTTATCGGCGAGCTGGAGGAGAGAGGAAGCATCATCATCGTCATCAGCCTCAGAGACCGAGTGCTTGCTCCTTCTATGGGAGTCGCGGGCGAGGAAGCTCCTCCACTTCCGGACTTGGCGATCGAGACTGAGAAGGGAAAAGTGTGGTATAGGGAATGCGATAATGAGACCTGTACTCAGTCTCCCAGCCGGCGTTCTTCGTGGAGGTGGCTTCCTCAAGGAAGGAGAGGACATCGTCGTCATGCAAGGTGGACTTGTGCGCAGTATCGTCACGTTCCTCGAGGGCCAGCTCCCTCGACTCGTCTTGAATACTGCGTTGAAGGGCATTTAGCTGATAGCATTGATGCTCACAATGAGAGGGGCACATCCTACTGCATCTGAGGCCTTGGCCAGGTGCTTGTCGGTCCGGGAATCATCAGCCGCCTCGGCCTCCATGGCGCTAGCTACCTCACGGGAACCAGCGTCCATCCCGCCGACTCCCTCCTGTATAAGGGAGAACCCGGGAGGAGCACCTGAGGGCATTCAAACACTGCCTAGCCTCGGATGATGACAAGCCTGACCTCTGCCGTTGGCAACTGCATCGAGATCCTCCTCCTGCTTTTTCATCTCATCAGCGAAGCTCTGGGCCTTCCTCGCGCCGTCCCTCAAGGGCTCAAGGAAGTCGGGTAACGGGCCCTCCATGAAGCTAGAGGCCGCCGCTGAGGTGGAGCTGATACTCCTGCCGCTGTTGATACCTGAGGCACCCTCATTGATAAAAGTGACATCACTAGTCGGGGTCAACCGTACTCGGCGAATCCTGCGTGGCTTTAGTCTCGAGTGCCTCATAGCGTTTGTCTGCGGCCTCGAGCTTCCTAATGGCCACCAACAGTGTGCTAAGACCCTCTAGCTAGAGTTGCCTACTTATCGTCATCCTTTTTCTCTTGCTGTAGCTTGGCCATTCCTTTCTGCTCGTCGTCCCTGGTCTTATCCATCTGGACGTTCAAACTCTTCATCTCCTGTTGGACCTGGGCCCAGACCCGAACTCCCTAGCCTTCATGTGCGAGGCTTACCTTATGGAGTATCTCATCCGTCTTTTCTCGACTGACCTCGAAAGCCTTCCTCGCCTCAGCCACAGTCATTTGGTGCTTAGCATTGTGAGTGACTCCACCCGAGAGCTGCAGTAGGGAGCTCGGCTCGGCAGGGGAAGAGTCGGTTTGATAGAATAAAATAGAGGTGATGAGGAGTAGTGTGCGCATATTTAGGTGGATAATAGTGGTATGGTATTAGCTACAACGGTGACGAGTGAAGAACCAGTCGTGTTCCTGCCTGCGATCGGGGAAGGTTGCGCACATACCGTCACGCGCCACAAAACTAAGCGCTTGCCTGAGGATAATTCCTCCGAAGAAAGTGCGCAGGTCAGTCCTCCTCTATGATGCCCGGTCCGAATCTTGACCTTAGTCATCAGAGCTCGTGAATGAACTCACTGCATTTATATTGGAGGAGATGGACGGTATTAAGGTAAGGGAGACCAGAGGAGGTGGAAATGAAGTTTAGATGATAACGAAAAAGGCAACCTATAGCAGTGCCTACAAGAGGCTTGTACGTTGGAGCAGATCTCGAATGAGTAAGTGAAGGGCGCCCAGCGAGATGGAGGTGACGCTTGCTACTGTTATCGTGGGCATTGTATACACCTGGCGAGGGCAAAGAGGATCTGCTAAAGCTGTTGGAGGCGCTGAGGAAGTTAGACTTGGGTGGTGATGGGGAGTTTATACAGGAGATAAATAGATTAACCAAGGGTACCGAAGGGCGACAAAGGCCTATATGATGAGCTTAGTAGGATTGCCTCACATGCGAGGTGGTAAAGTGACGGTATACATCCTCAAATCGTTCACCGTCATATGCTCTTCTCCAGCTCCTCGTAAGAGTATCTCCTCCGCTTCTCATCGCTGTAGACAAAACCAAACACATCAGAAAAGTACGCTAGGACGGTAGTGGCTAGATTCCTATTCCATGAACGAATTTTTGTCCTCTCTAATATGAGTTTATTACTACCGAGTTGAGTCGTCCAATCCACCACAGAAGGGGCTTGCCCTACCTCAGCAATCCCCACAGGATTCCCTGCCGACCTCCATGTCTACAGTAACAGCAGCTGAGGGGGAGGAGGCTCCTCCGCTCCCTGATGAGCTCATCTCGAAATTGATCGCTTTGGATGAGGATTACACTGCGATCCAAAAGAAGCTGGAGCGGTAGCATATCTCTTGGCAGCATTGGTGGTACTGACTGTTGTCAGGGAGATAAGGGCGTTGGAGAGAAGCTACGACAAGCAGCTACTCCCCATCATAGAGGCTAGGGGCCGACTACTGTCCACGGAGGGAGGATCGAATCGTGGCAGGGGATTCTGGAAGAAGGTGGACCAACGGAAGAGCGATGCCTTTGGGGTAGTTTTCTGTCAGGTGTTGCACAACTCGGCAGAGTTCGAGGACGATATCGAGGAGTGGGATCTGCCCGTGTTGGAGTACCTTGTGGACGTCAGAGCAAATGTGATCATATCTAGGAGTAGGCTGGGGAGGAGGAGGTCCCGTCATGATCCCATCAGTGGACGGCGACGACCCTCGGGGCTTCACCATCACTTTCGTCTTCGAGGAGAACCCCTACTTCAGCAACGATGAGTTGACCAAGAAGTACCACTATGGGGAGGGCAAGGACTTCTTGAAGGAAACCCAGATAGTTGAGATAGAAAGCGATGCAATTCAATGGAAGCCTGGCATGGTAGGCCCGAGGGTTCGCGATAGCAAAAGGGAGCGGCGGCGATTCAGGACGTGACAGTGGAGACCGTGAAGAAGAGGAAGAAGGGCATGGTGAAGACTGTTACGCGTGCTCGCCCGAGCTTCTTCCAATTTTTCACGTATGTTGGGTGGTAGAGGTTATGCTGATAGATCTCGGCTTCAGCTCCCTGGGCCCTAATCATCCTATTCCTGAGTGGCTCGAGTCCATGTATGAGGAGGAGGAGGAGGATGGTAGTAGACTGTGTAGTGGAGTGTACGGTGAGGTAGGGGAGTCTCAGACGACGATGAGGTTGACCGCTTACATATGGTGATGGCCGATGATTGGGAACGAGCTGAGATGTTGAAAGACAATATCATTCCTCATGCTATAAGGTCTCTCTCCTTATCGGCTCTAGGTGTCTGCTATTGGCTCACTGTAGATGGTATACTGGAGAGGCATGTTCTGAGGACGAAGAGGACGAAGAGGGTTCCGAGTACACCATTGAAGAGGATGATGGTGAGTCAGCTTATGCGAGGATGAAGATATTTCTCGTGCTGCCTTAGAGGTAGCTGTCATCGCGGTGGCGGAGGCGAACTTCTGAGTGTTGTCTATCCCTGTATCAACGTAGTCCTGTACCATGCTTGGTTTCCATCCTCGATTCAGTGTTCGGTGTCAGAGGGGAGGTATCGGGATCGATCCCTGGGTCCGTCATTTTTCGACTTGAAGGTTGATATGTTCGTAGGTCGTGTTTACCTTTCACCCCAGCAATGACCAGGAAGCTAGTGCAAGTCTCACGTGCTGATCTCGAATTGCAGAGTCGGGTGAAGGCGGCAGCTCAGAAGGGCGCAAGGAGCATCAACAAGCTCATAGAGGAGGAGATCGATAACATGTCAGCTGTGAGTTCAGTACGCCTCTTCTCTCCTCGTTCCAACCATCTGTGTGTGGAAGATACACCTCTGTACCTGCCTCCATCGGCTGGCCTCTTCCCCAAGGGATCGCCTCACGCCCAAGTCCCCTGTGGGCTTCATACTCAGGCACATCATGGACAAGGCAGATGAGGTGCCGAGGGAGCAAATACAACAGCTGCTCGCCAACACGTCCTGGGCGGCGGCGAAGCTCGAGGCGGCCAAAATGTAGGTCCGTCGTGGTTGGACACTCTAGTCCGAGCTCAGGTCGTCGGACTCCATCGATCGTACCGACCTGAATGAGAAGATCTATCGATTCATCGGCCAGATGGACTCACGCCACCTGTCCTCCGTCCTGTGGTCGATCGCCTCCGCTCAAAACTGGCCCGTCGATTCCGAGGTTTTCTCGCGTATTACAAGGAGTTTGTTGGACATTCCTCGACCCCTACATCACCAAGAGCTTGCTAATACACTGTGGGCGTTGGCTCGAGCCCCGGAAAGGTTCCGGCCGGAATCCCGCGAGGTGGCCATCGCCCTGATGACAAAATATGTTGACCGAGCTGACCCGAAGTTCCGCTTTTCCGATCAGCACTCTGCCAACATATTGTGGGCTATTGCTAAGCTGGAGATTGATCCAACGATGGCTAGAGGCGTGATAGACATATGCATTGCCTCTATCATGGAGACCTGTGGAGAGTACCGTCCTCACTCCCTGTCTCTCAGTGCATGGTCACTGGCCACTCTGGGTATTCATCCGGAGGTAGTTGATCGTATCATAGTGGAAGCCTCAGCTAGGAGACTCCGGGACTTCGAAAGCCAGCAGATTGCCCACGTTGTGTGGGCTGGAGGTACGTTGCTCTCGGCTTGGTCGCTAGATGGCCTGCCTGAGCGTCTTGCTGTGACAATAGATAAGGCTAAGCCTCAGAATGTTGCCAACGTCATGTGGGGCCTAGCCCGTAGTGGCCCGCCGCTGAACTCCAAGTTGGTTCGCTTTGCCCAGGCTCACATGGAGACATCATCTAAAGCGTACCTCCCGGTGGATCTCTCCTCGATGCTGTGGTCCTTGGGCACCATGACCAATCGAGGCGACCCCTCGGAGGGTCTGGAGAGCCTCGTGTCGACCATCTACACGAAGATGAAGTCGCAGATGGCCTCTGAATGGAGCGCTCGCCATATCGCCTCGGCAACGTGGGGGATTGCCACTCTGGCTACTAACGGCATCGGTCGTAACGAGGCGTTGCCATTGTTGGAGGACATGGCGGCCCTCGCGGGTAGAGCCGAGGTAGGGAGCTTCACTGACCAGGAGGGGGCTGGCATGTTCATGTGGGCTTTGGCGAAGGTCGAGATACGGCCTACTAATCGGGTGAGGAATGTGATGCATGAGTTTGCGGAGCACTTTAAAGGGAGGGCCCGTGTCTCTCGAGCCAATACTCTCTCATTGGCTGCATGGTCTGTATCAGCTCTGAAGTTCAAAGACGAGGAACTACTACGGGTGGCGATAGAGAGTGTGAAGACCGATGCATCGGCGAACTATGCAGATTTTACAGCGATATTACACGCAGCTGCAATCATGCAATCTGAGCTCATGCCGCCAGCGGTGGTTGGTGCCCTTTGGGATAAATGTGGTGTGATGACTGCCCCCGATACCCAGCTGGCGATCTGTGGGTGGTCATTGACGGCCCTAGACCTCGGCAGGGGCCTCTACAGTGATAAAATTAACGCCATAGCTGATAGGCTTACGGCGGTTGATCTTACCAAGCTCAACCAGGCTGCCCGTAAATTGGCCCGGACTGTGCTGTACGTGAGTGGAAGGGTTGTCAACTTGCCTCGAGAGAGGCTTGACTTGAGATCCTCACAGGCCCATCAGAATTGGGTGGGGGCTCTTCGGAAATATGGTGTTCATGGAGTGCAATCAGAATTCGAGGTCATCCCAGGGATGTTCATAGATATCGCGTTGCCTGCGGAAAAGGTTGCCATTGAAGTCCAAGGCGATTCTCACTACCTCGCGGATTTGTCTACTGGTCAACGCATTGACACCACCGGTAACACGAAATTAAAGCGGCAAATGGTGGAGGTTAAGAATTGGATTCTCATTGAAGTGCCGGTTATGAGACACATGCCGACTAAGCAAGACATAGATAAGTTTCTGAAACCGTTTCTCATGTGAAGATCGCAAGTCGTCGAGTTTGACAGAGTTGGTGGATGTGAATCCATTTTACTTGTGAATTCACCTTCCTGGAAAGTTATCCCTACAATCGGTACAAGTGACCGGAATATAATGATAAAAAACGTATCGGGGTCTCATGATGAGCCTCTCATCCCTCGCGACGTAACATCCTTGTCATCTTTCAGTTTACGTATAGGTAACTATTCTGATTACAATAAAAAAGTAAGTCCAGTCTCCCGCGAGACACTCGACACTGAACTACGAGATTGTCTGAAAGTACGAGTGATGATGTGAGAAGTCGATGATAGTATACCCCCCAGGGACCCATCAAACTTTGAGAAATAACGCTCCCAAGGATTTGATAACAACGGGGAAAATGCTCCTAATGTGATGATATTCACATGGGAAGCTAATAGAAGAATGTGTTCCTAATCATGTAGAAAATTCTAATCGAGTTCCCCCCGGGAACATTATAAGTTTCTGGAGGGTCCCCTCAGGGGACCCCCCTGATACCCCCACTCGATACACTCAACACACCAGAGTCAAATCAGAAACCCATCAATCTCGACGACATGAGCATTAAAGACCGATATCTCACGGTAGTCGGGTACGCGGGAAATACTTCAGACGGCCGCTGTGCCCACGAAGGTGTTTGAAGTTCTTCCTGAGCATGACGTATTCGGTCACTGTGATTGAGAACTCCTTACCGATGTCGTGGTCTGTTACACCAAATATCCAACACTCTCGGCATGCCGGGAAGAGGACACAGCCGATGCAAGATAAGCCTCGACCCGATATCCCTGAGCAGACCATCACCGCAGTGACAGGGAGTGGCTGCCTACTTGGGAATCAACATCGTCGTAGTAGGCACATGGCATAAGTTGTACATGGTAGGGAAATGAGGATCTGTTGCGGCAGTGTCAGACATCGCTGTAATAACACAGAACATTGCTGATGCAGAAACGGTAACAGAAACATGAGTTGTGACAGTCATGTGTGTGATGGATTCCTCGACTCGCCTGAGCGCTTGCCAGCATCAGCCTCGCGCTCCCGTAGTTTGGCCATCTTGTATTGATAGGTGAACATGTTGTCCCATCGACCGAATCGCCCGGTAGTCCTAACCCTCTCACGTTTCCGTTTGAGTTGCTGTTTCAGATCGGTAACGGCGTCGTGCACAACCTTCTTCCTTTCTCTTATCAGACCCTGAGCTTGCTCTACCTGAGATCGGGCATCAACCTCTTCCCTAGTCATCGCTTCCTTAGGTATCTGATACGCCTTCCCAACAAGCTTCCTGCGCCTGGCCCACTCGACCCAGTGTCTCTTAGCCTCTCGCCACGTCTCATCAGATGCCTTCTTCCTCCAGTTTCTCGGGTGAATATCGGAAGCATTAACAAGGTCAGCCATGTCAAACCTCCTCTTGGGCTTCAACGGTCTTACGGTATCCGGTCTGCCTAGATAGGTCCACTTCCAAGTGCCCTTAGGGATGACCTTGGGGTTCTTAACGTCGATATAGCCGGTGGCAGTGCGAGGCTCATACCACTCCTTCTTCCTACGTCCAGGCCCCTCTTTCGGCCGCCTAGTCTTACTAGGAGTATCATCCACCACGTCCTCCTGTGTGGGAGTGGACCAAACCTCCTCGTCCAAGATATCATCCATCTCTGTTCGCCACCTCTTAGCAAAGCCCTTCTTGAGCTGCTCTTGGTAGCTTGAGCCCTCAGGGAGAGTATCCTTCCCTCGATACTGCTTTATGCCGGCCATTGGAGCACTGGCAGGCGGCGCCTCAGACTCCTCTCTTGTCAGGTAGCGACTAGGAAATTTGCTGAAGCCATCGTCGCTAAGCCGCTCCTCTTCCTCTGGCACGGTAAACGCCGAATTCGTGGACTGCGTTGTGGTGCCCTTAGCTTTAACGTTGAAGTCCATCACAACTGCAGCAGCCCCAGCCTCCCTCGAGGAGCTCAAGGACCGAAGCCAATCAGCTCCCACAGGGTCAGTCCCACTGCCTGACGTGAGGCGATCCTCACCCTTTCCAACATTCCAATGATGAGCTGTGGCCACCACTGGACCAAGGGCCGGCAGACGGGGGCTCTGGGCCTCAACTTGAGGGCCGTCCACAACTGCCTGTCGGGGGACATCCTCCTCTTCCTCGTCGTCCACCTCCTCTCTGTCGTCTTCCCAACACAGTAGCGCCTCCGTAGTCGAGGAGAGGTCCTCCGCTACAGCGGCCTCCGATACAGGAAGAGCTTCATTGGCAGCCTCCTCTTCCCCCTCGTCCTCACTAAGCATGCCCATCATATCATGCATCAGATCAGTGGCCTCTCGACGGGCAGTAGACTCCGGTCCACTCCGAGGTGTCGGAGCCGCCTCATGCTGTTGTTGCTGCTCTTCAAAAGCTACTCCCCACCTGTCAACAAACCATCATTGCCAATCGGACCCGCCACATACTTCTTCAAAGCATCACTAGCAGCATTCCTATTGAGCTCCTTCTCTTGCTCTGTATCGGTAACAACAGCAGCAGCAGCCCGCACCATATCAGCGGCACGTGTCAGGGCCAGTCGCTCCCTGAAGAACCGAATGGGGACTGATATCGCTACCTAGACTACCTTCTAGCCGTCAACCGCTTGTGTCGTTTCTCTACCCTTTTGACCCTCTTAGCCTCCCGCATGTCCAGTAGCCTCTCCTCGATACCATTAACAACAGTCCGTCTATCCAGCTTCATGCTGTTAAGGACCTGCCGTTCGAGTTGGGCCCCCATCGCCATGGACAAGGGGAGTAGTACAATTCTGAGTTCATCCACACCTTGCTTGGCCAGAGCACTCAGAGGTATCATGGGCCCGACCGAGCCCTTGAATTCTGTATCCAAGATCTGCTGCATTATCACTAGCCGCTTAGCGAGAAAGCGAGGCTTCAATAAATCGCACTTGGTGACAATAACCTGACGACCATATCATGATCAACTTCGCGCGCCACGAAATTATCTACACATATCCATCTCTGCATCTTTTACCTGCCATTTAACACCATACCGCTCCAGAAAGGATATCATTTCCCGATCCGACTGCATGAGGCCCCGACGGGCATCGACCAAGACGAGTACACGCTTGAGGTTGCTCCGGTGGGAGAGGTAGAACAAGGACAGCTCAGTCCACTCTGTCTGATAGGGTCCTCACATGCCATCGATACCCACCATGGCAGCCTCACCCGCTTCTCCTCTCCTTGATAAGCGAAGCCGTAGCCAGGCAGGTCCACCAGCATTAACACTGGAGGCTTCCCCATCTTCCAAAATAAGAGTGACTCAGTACTTCCTGGTATCTTGGAAGTCTTCGAGTTTTGTCTACCAGGCAAACAACTAACGAGGGTCTCCCATACCTAGGTTTCTACCTCCCAGCGAGGGTGTTCACCAGAGTCGACTTACCGCAATTGGATCGCCCTACTACAGCCACTTCTGGGAGGACCGGCGGAGGGATCTGCTCCCGCTTCCATACGTTCTTGTGCAGCTTCATCCCTGAGATGCCACGAGGACCTCTTAAGACCGATCCTACGGGCAAGGACCGTACAGGGCTTCATCTGGTCCAGGAACATTGGAGCGAAGTTTCGCTTGCCGTTTTGAAACCACATGAACTGGCGGTCCTCCTGTGTGATCGGAGCGCCAATTCGTCTGAAAAGGTGGAACATTCCAATCCTTGCAGCGTACTTCGACATCAACATCACCCTCAGCGTTGGAATCTATGTCGCTTGTCTCAAATGAGTTTAGGAATTTCCTCACTAATGATGGGAGTCTACACAGGAATCAGAGTAAAAGGGTACGGAAACCAAAGAATTTCCTCGGAATTTTCCCATTGTCACTAAAGCACGTGGCTAACCATGTGCATGTTTCGTGCACACTGAGCGTACCTCTTTGCAAGATACTCCCGGACGGCCTGTGGGGGTCTGCTGGCCTTTTCCCATCCGAGCTGCTGCTTCGTATAGGACACCGGCTCCACTGAAGACAGACCGACTGAACCCTCGCCGGCCAAAGAGGCAGGTAGGAAGAAGCATACCTTCCCCCTCCAAGTGTTCCTTCATTTGGTCATACAGATGCCTCCTACGTTGGATAAAGGACTGTTGCATTCGAGCCACCTTGCAATGGTAGGATCTCATCGAAGACGAACCGCCCAGCCCTCCTGATCTACACAGAGTCAAAGTCACATAGGAGTAGGTGCATGCAAGTCTATTAAGAGACATAGCATCCTATAGGGAACAACTACTTCATAACAGCCCCGCTGAGTGAACTCAACAGAGGTGGTAGCGATTGTCAACACTGAAATACCCGGATTCATTAGAAAGATTTCGCAGTCGCGATGAGCAACACGCCGATGGATAAAAATTTAGAGATGCGAGGACAGGTTCGAATGATACATAACGAACGAGGTACTGCTGCAACCAGCGAACCGCATCAGACAGACCGTTGGACCACGAAAACCAGGCTTATTGCTGCCCCTTAGTGTAAAGATCGTAGTACACGCCTCTTTGGGAGATGAGAGTATCATGTGGTCCTTGTTCAACGAGCCGCCCATCGGAGATAACAAGGATGATGTCACTGCGTTTGATGGTGGAGAGCCTGAAGTTAGATAAGACGGTAAGAGGGCCGGATACGACGACCAACCTATGAGCTATAGTGAAGGTAGTCCTCCCAACGGCTGCTGTCTCCAAGGCATCCTGTACTACCCTCTCACTAGCCGAGTCGAGGGCTGAGGTGGCCTCGTCGAGGAACATCACCTAACGCAAATTCCAATCCCGACGTACGCCCCCACAGCAACGACTCACCGCCGGATCTCGGACCAAGGCCCTTCCTATCGCTGTCCTCTGCTTCTGCCCGCCTGATAGCCTCGACCCCCGAGGGCCAAGACCATCATCCCAACCAAACGGGCCCCCAAAGGCAGCGGCGAAATCCATTTTGGACATCTTCGCTACCCGGATGAGATCGTCATCGGTGGCCTCGGCTTTCCCATACCTACCAAACGATCGCTTGCCAGACACATCAGATGGTCGAGACCAACCCACCTAAGGTTCTCGGCCAGAGTCATATCGAAAAGGACGGGTTCTTGACTGACCAACCCACAATGCCTCCGCCACCACGCTACGTTGAGCATGCGATGGTCCGTACCTCCTACAGCGATGCTCCCTCCGGAGGGGTCATAGAACCGCTGCAGGAGGGCAATAACCGTCGACTTGCCGCCGCCTGAGGGGCCAACTAAAGCCACCTGCTGGCCGGCTTCGACCTTAAATGAGAGCCCCTTGAGAATAGCGACATCAGGACGTGTGGGGTACTGGAAGTGGACAGACTTGAACTCTATAGAGCCATCACCGAGCTCTTCCACAGTGCCGTCAGGATGGACGGCATTGATCTTGCTTTCTGTGTCCAGGATCTGCAGCACATCATGGGCAGCTACCTTAGCGTCATCCAGGTCTGGCAGGAAGGCGAGGGCATTGCCCACACCGATAGAGCCCAACATAACAGCCATCAGCGACTGCAGCATCTCTCGGAACCCAACCCCCTGTTCTTCTATTAGATAACCACCATAATAGAACCCGGCGGCATAGGCTAAGAACATCATACAAGTCGATGTACCGTAGGCCAGGCCAGTGAGAAGGGCTCCGCGGGATGCCCCAGAGGCAGTCCGGTTGATGTAGCCAGTGTAGAACTCGACAGTCCATGCCTCAGCGACGAAGGCCCTCACTGTCCTCATATTCTGAACGGCCTCTGAGGCCGTCTGGGAAGCCTGCTTCAAGAGCTCATCATCTAGCTCCGACCCAGTCCACCACAGCGCCGATCGGATCTTCCAGGAGAGGATCAGCAACGGCAGTATACAGGTCATGACCAACCCCAGCTGCCATACACCAGTGAGGGAGATGAGGACTCCTCCAATGAAACCAGACAGTGCTTCAACATAGAGTCCCAGGCCTTGCCCTGTTAGAGCCTTCATCTTCAAAGCGTGGGTCGACAGAGCTGCTGTGAGCTTCCCTGGGGCATGGGCAGGGTCATCGAAATAGCCCACGTCCTGCTCGAGGAGCTTAGCGAAGCACAGCTTCCTCACTTTGAAGGTAAAGTGCTCGCCAATGTGAGCGAAGAAGTATTGCATTATAGAGCAGCTGACGAGGACCCCAACGGCCAGACCAACGTATTTGAGAGCAGTCTCCTCCACAGCGTCCTTCATCTCCTCCCGGTCCGGCAGATAGAATGCATCAATAACGCCAGATACGATAAGAGCATGCAAGGGCATGCTCAGCCCCTTCCCAGCCGCTCCGATGCATGCAGGGATGTAGTAATACCGCTCATCACGACTGAATTGGAGTAGGCGACGGTAGGGCGTCCTATACGATTTCACAACCTGAACGATGACAGTGAAGCACACCAGGCGCGTGGAGGAAGGGCACGCACCTGTTTCTTTCTGGCTTTCTCTATTGCCGCCTCGTCCTCTCCCAGATCCAGCTTCATGTCAGCAGTATCAAGAAAGACCTCAGACGTGGCCACAGACGAGTTGCGCGTCGGCTGTGGTAGCCCACTATCCTGGCCGGGTCGAAGGTCCTGCTGCGAAGCCTCCTGACTTAGGGCAGCCTCCTGGGCTGACACCTGAACCAGGACCAATCCAACTGTTGCCTCAGAGAAAGGAGGATCTAGGAACCTACCAGGGCGCGGTATTCCCCTTCGTTTTGCATGAGCACACTGTGAGTACCGGTCTCCACTATCTGGCCCCCCTTCATCACAATTATTCTATCAGAATTCCTTATAGTCGACAGCCTATGCGCTATGGAAATGGTGGTGATATTGAAATGCTCCTGTAAATGGTCAATGGTCTTCTGTACCATCTTCTCACTTTCGTTGTCCAAGGCCGATGTAGCCTCATCTAGCAGTAGAACTTGAGGTTGCCTCAGCAATGCCCGGGCTATGGCGATCCTCTGCTTCTGCCCTCCAGAGATCTGCCCTCCCCCAGCACCACAATACGTATCGAAGCCATTCGGTAAGGACTGAATGAAGTCAAGGACCTGGGCCTTACGACACGCGTCGACCAAAGCCTTCTGGTCCGGAGCTCGAGAGCTAGGGATGCCATATGTGAGGTTGTTCCTAATGGAGGTGGCGAAGAGGAAGGGTTCCTGGCCGACGTAGCCGTAGATAGCGCGAAGATCGTAAACGTGCATCCCACGAACGTTGTCGCCATTGATGAGGACCTCACCCGCAGTAGGGTCATAGAAACGCTCCAGGAGCTGTACCGAGGTAGACTTGCCAGAACCAGATTCACCAACAAATGCTACTTTCTCACCAGCCTTAATCGTAAAGGAGACGTCGGACAACACCTTCACCTCCGGCTTGGCAGGATAGTGGAACGAGACGTTGCGGAAGGCAATAGTGCTCATGGTCAACGGCGTAGCATTCTTCCTCGGACCCTCAGACAGAGGGGGCTCGATACGGTCTGGGGATTCTTGTACCTACCAAAAGATGCTGATCTTTGGAGAAGTTGCTGAGGGAGTGGTATTACCTCAAACAGAGGGAATATTTTAGCCCCGGCCGTTTTGCCTTCTACAAAAAAGGATATATTCGGGGCGATTTGCCCCAAGGCGAATGTCGCCATAATGCACGCGAAGTAGACGGTGATGACATCACCACCATTATAGGGTTCCCCAGAGGAGGGGTTAATAGTACCATCGTAGATGAGGACCCCGCCATACCAGAAGACCAACGCGTAAGTGAGGAAGATGGAGAGGAAAACAATGCCGGTCATCACTCCACCCTGGAAGCCGGCCTTAATCTCTCCATCTCGTGCCGCGATCAGTTTATGATCATACCGCTCACTTTCGCGTTTTTCGGCACCGAAAGCGACCACGGTTTTGATGGACGACAGTACCTGAGATAGACGCTTACAATGATGACCTACGGGGGGAGGGTTCACAGGGACACAACATACGACGAGAAATGATGAGCATAGCCAGCTGACTGACCTCTTCCGCGACGGCACCAGCCTCGGCGTAGAAGTCCTGGGCCCTCGCTGTCTTCTTGGCAATCCTCCTGGATAGTACAGCAATAGATGCTGCGAGCAAGGGCATCGTCGACATCATCACTAGTGCTAGTTGCCAGCCTCTGTAGAGCCCGACGCTATAACCGCAGACGAATTGGGAGAAATTGGCAACGGTAAGGCCGACGCGATAACCAATAGCCTCGCCTACTTTGAAAACGTCTTCGTTCATCCTCGATGGCAAGGCAGCTGGGGTCTCCTGGTCGAACCAGGAGATGTCCTGATTCAACACCGCTCGAAAATATTCGATGCGAATACGTGTAGAAATGGTAGTTGAGGAGTAGGTGAATATTGCGTCCCACACGAAGGAGCTCGAAAATGCAACGGCTGCAACTACGACGAGTTGAAGCGATACTGTTTGCACCTCGCTCAGTATACCAGCGGTATCACCAGTCGCTGACCTCGACCCGACCTCGTCCATGAAGTCACCAATGAACAACGAGAAGGCGGGGAAGGCGGCACCGTTGATGGCTGCTGCTAAGAGGCCAATTGCCAGGAGGATAAAGTCAGATCTTGAGGCTAGACTGAATAGCTTCAAGAAGGATACGCTGATGGGCCTGTCGACAGCTGTTGAGCCACGACTTGTCTTGCAGCAGAGGGCCATACGACGAGGCCGATAACAACAAATTAATAACTGTTAAATGAGAGGGCAGGTAGGATGGACAGTGCTGGTACGTTGTGTCCCCACAGCTATGGGTGCTTCACATGCCAACACTACTAGCTCAGCCCCGCTGTCCTCACGTTAACTCCTCGTCGAGCTTCCATAAGAGGCAGTGCCCTTTATAGCACAGCGCCTTCAGAGCACAGAGGTATAGGAGACAATTTCAATCGAATCAGACAAGGAGTCTCATCGGAGTTCGGCAAGAGGGAAGTGTCGTTTCTGATTGGACGAGCTATCAACACAACGTCTGCATGGTGTTGAATCAGATGTTAATTACTCCAAGTCTAACGTGAAAATTGGCATCAGCAAAGCTACAGTACTCGAGGCTTCAATGCCCGTGCTGGGCTGGGGTCCGTCTTATTGTCTCCACCTCCACCGAATAGCTTCTTCATGCTGTAAACCTAGAGGAGACATACCCAACATTCAAGCTAATTTTGAAGAGCCTCACCAAGCCCCCGCCACCACCGTTCCGTTCACTCTTGATCCCATGCTTGCCATCCCTAGGCGTGGCAACGACAGGGCCATGCGCTTGTAGGCGAGGAGGAAGATCAGCTGGTCTACAATAACACTCAATTTCGCACGGCCGTTGCCGCCCCCAGTTCCACCTGTTAGGCTCACGATTCTCAGTAGACTCAGGTGCCTCGGTACGAGGCCTATATATGCGGGCAATTGGTTTCAATGCTTTTGGGTCGACCTCGGATACCTACAGCCAAACAGACCTCACTGAGGGCTCGGCATGGACCGTCGAAATATTAGTACCTTCATGTTGAGAACACTCTTGGGTAAATTTGATATTATACCCTCGTACTGCTGCTCGATTAGCGTCAGGTAACGCTCGAGGACCTAGCCGTCTTCGAGACACCGACTACCCTCCCTCAGCACTACCATGTCCGCCCTACGCCTGTCTTCCTCCGCATTCTCGAGCATCAACATTTTACATTTCTCGGCCCACTCATCAGACTGTCGAGGTGATCCTGCGACAACCTGCTGCTGCTGCTGCTTACTAGACGACGACGCCATAGCAACAAGGCTGACCCCGTCGACGACCCCTATGCCTTCCGCCTACCACCCCACGCCTTTGACCATCATCAACACAACAACTAGTCCGAGTAGCAGCAAGTAATACTCATAAGCTGAGCTGCAAATAAACCATCAGTAGCAGCCACGCTCCCCAACTCCGTAGCATATCGCCTCTACCATGGCAATCACTGATCAGGATTACCAAAGAAAATCCAATGGGGGATCAGATCCGGACAAGGGCAGCATACGTCCCGACAGATGATGACAAAATTGCGACCAGCATTAGTGACAAAAAGGGCAGGCTTGTGTGACCGGACTTGACCAAGCGACTGTAATAACATTCCAAAATAATGAGTCATTTCATACGGCAAGGAGGCCCTCGCCACAACGCCTAATAAGCCTCCGTAGAGTATCTCTTCTTAGCCTTTATATCCTCCTCAAACCACTTCTCCACTTCCTCCTCGCTCATCTTACCAACATCACCTACAGCCTTCTTCACCGCAGCCTCCACATCGGGCACAGCTATGGATGGTCCACAGAAATAGAAGTAGCCGCCTAGTTCCTGAATGTACTTATACAACAGCTCGGGGTTCTCAGCCATCTTATGCTGGACGAATATCATATACTCCTGGTCGTGAGAGAAGGCGTTGATAACCTTGGTGAGGACCCCAGCTTCCATGAACGCCTTCCACTCATCCCTATATAGGAACTCCTCCTTCTCATGACGACATCCATAGAACACTATCATAGGACCTGTATCCATTCCGAGCACCTTACGCTTGTACATACGGTCCTGGACGAAGGCACGCATAGGGGCAATACCAGTCCCCAAGGCCGACATGACCATAGGGGTACGCTCATCCTCGGGGAAGACGAATGTGCCGCTGGCAACAGAGACACACACCTCAGTGTCCTTGCCAAAGCCCAAATACTTAGTACTAGTACCAGTAATCAGCCTACCATCAGAGTTGGTCCACCTGTTGATGACAACAGTGAGCTCGACAATACCAGGCGAGTAGAAGGAGCTGTTAGCTATCGAATAGAGCCGAGGCTTGAGCAGAGGGATTATCTCCAAGAAGTTGACCAGAGTCATCAAATTAGCGGTCTTAGGGAACATCCTGAGGACCTCCGCATAGGAGACGCTTTTTGCGAGTAACTCCTTGAACTTGTCATCATCATCGGCAATATCAACGAGCTTCCGACGCTCCTTACTAGAGGCAATCCTAGCAAGCTGCTTATAGAAGCTGCGACTGGGCTTGCCAAAGATGTCCAGTAGCTCTACGAAGATCTGCCTCACGGGCACACGAGCCGTGAAGGCCGAGCGCAACCGGGCAGGTACATCCTCTGAGAGGCATTTCACAGAGACAACATCATTAGGGTCGTGATGAGTGAGTACTTCCTCGAAAAGTTTGTCAACGTCTTCCGTGAGGTTTTGTGGATATAGAGCAATAGCATCACCAAGCCTGAAGGGTAGGTCCACAGCGCTAGTGTCCAATACAATGTGACGGATATCACGCTCGTACTCCACTGGCGTCATACGACGGTTCTCCATAACTGGTACAGCATGAGAACCTGGAGGCACTATACGCTGATAAGGCAACTCCTTCTCAACCATAGTAACAGGGAGACTAGTGACCTCGAACAAGGCCTCATACTCCTCCTCATCCTCCGGCTTGGCACCAACTTCATCACAAACCCTCGGCAACCACTGATCGAAGGCTGTAGCCCAGCCGTCCTCATCTCGATCATCTCCCTTAGCAATGTCGAGCACTCGAGTGAAGCCGAGCTCTACCATACGCCTATCGATCTTCACAGCAGCTTCACAGAACTGCTCATAAGAACTATCCCCCATGCCAAACATACAGAAGCGACCAGCCAGTCTTCTACCCCCATGCTGGCAAGCAGCCATTTGTTCCCATAGAGCTTCGGCAGCAGTCGGCATATCACCATCACCACATGTAGATGTCAAAAGCACAATGAGGTCCTCAGTGGCTTCCTCCAGCATAAGCTCGTCCATACCAGTACAGAAGTTAACATGAACACCTCGGCGCTTGAGTATGCCAGAGAGGCGCTTCGCGAGCTGCTCAGTCGTACCAGTGTCCGAGCCGTAATAGATCCTGACGCCTGCCGATAGACCCGAGGCTAACACATCAGCTGATTGACTCTTCTCAATGGCAGCGTCCTTCAACCTCTTATGACGTTCCTCGATGTAGCGCTTCAGCTCCGACTGCAGATCAGCCGCATGGTGTGGCATTCGTCGGACCAACTGCTCGTATCGATTCTGGTTCTTTAGGAAGTTCGCCAACACATCGGGCTTGATGCTCTTACAGTCAAGCTGGAATGGATTCTTACCCACTTTGGCGAGCTCAGGGTCATAACGATACAGGGGATAGTAACCCGACTCGACTGCCGCCTTCTGATCCTCTGACATCCTAGTGAGACCAGTCTTAGTCCTGTGCTCGATGCAGGGTGCATAGCACATGACGAGGGAAGGTCCAACGTGCTTCTCAGCCTCATGGAAGGCCCGTACCGTCTGAGAGTAGTTGGCCCCCATAGAGCAGGAAGCGACATAGACGTTGGGGTATGTCATGGCCAGCTGCCCGAGATCCTTCTTTTGAAGGGCTCGGCCGTTCTGCATGAACTTAGCCACAGCCCCCATAGGAGTGGCCTTAGAGCCCTGACCGCCTGTGTTGGAGTACACCTCGGTATCCAACACGACTATATTAACATTCTCACCAAGTGCCAGCACATGATCTATACCGCCGAAGCCAATATCATTAGCCCAGCCATCACCACCAAGCATCCACATAGAGGTCTTCACAAATAGATCAGATAACCTCATACACTCCTCAAGACAGGCCGGCAGAGGCTCCATGTCGTTCATGATCTCAACGGCTCGTTCACCGTACTTAGAAGAGGCCTCAGGATGGTCTGCATTATCAAGCCACTGCTGCAGCATCAGCCTGAGCTCACCAGTGGCTATAGACTCTTGCTCCAATGCCTCCTGCACACGTAAGCGTAGCTGTTGGCGCCTATGATCCATAGTCACAGCCATGCCCATACCATACTCCGCATTATCCTCGAACAGGGAGTTACCCCAGGCCGGCCCCTTGCCCGTCTTCTTGTCTACAGTGTAGGGGATCCATCCAGCCGTGCCACCCCAAATAGAGCTGCACCCTGTAGCGTTGGCTATGACCATACGCTTGCCGAACATCTGGGTCAAGAGCTTGGCGTAAGGCGTCTCACCACAGCCCTCGCAAGCCCCTGAGAACTCCAATAGAGGCTGTTGGAACTGAGAACCCTTCAAAGTATGGGAGTCGAAACGATCCCCCCTAGACTCCAAAGTCATAGCATAATCCCAGTTGTTCTTATGACCCTCAGCCAAGGCATCGGGGAGAGGCTTCATCATTAAGGCGTTATCAGGGCATGCATTGACACACACCTCACAGCCAGTGCAGTCCAAAGGCGATGCTTGGATCCTAAAGGCCAGACCAGAGACCTGATTGCCACCAGTAGCTGGCTTGGTCAGGAAGGTATGAGGAGTAGTGGCATTGGCGAGCTCTTGAGGAGAGGCTAGGAATGGTCGGATAACACCATGAGGGCATATCGCCGAGCACTTGTTGCACTGAGTGCACTTGTCCATGTCCACAACAGGGATAGCTTGGGCCACCCCACGCTTACCCCACTGCGTCATCCCTAGTGGGACCGTACCACCAGGCTGAAAGGCAGACACCGCCAAGGAGTCGCCAAGGCGTGTATGGATCTTATCCAATACGTCACGGACAAAAGACGGCTCTTCACCATTCCGAGGCTTGATGTGGTCCGACCGCTCGCACTGCATCCACTTGGTCACCGGGACATCGATCTTGTGGAGATTGTCAATAGCATAGCCCACAGCCAAGATGTTCTTGCGCACTACATCAGCACCCTTATTCTTGTAAGTCTTCTCAATCGCCGCCTCGAACAACGGTAGCGCTTGCTCATAAGGCAGAACTCCAGAGAGACGGAAGAACACAGCTTGCATGATGTTGTTGATAAGCCTACCCATGCCCGACTCTTTAGCCACCAACGATGCGTTGATGACATACAGCTCCAAACGCTTCTCGGCTATCATCAACTTGAACTTCGAAGGGAGCTCTTCCTCGAGCTCATCCACAGTGATCCATGGGGCATTCAACACCACGATACTCCCAGGCTTACTAGCGCCTAGGATAAGAGAGGCATCGAACGCTCTCACGTACTCCTTCTTGTGCACAGCTACATATTCGCACCCACTCGCTATCTCATAGGGCGAGTCAATAGGCTCGGGACCAAACCGCAGGTGTGACACGGTGACACCGCCGGCCTTTAGAGCATCGTAGGCGAAGAAGCCCTGAGCATAGAGCTCAGTGTTGTCGGCAATAATCTTGATAGCATTCTTGTTAGCGCCAACCGTGCCATCAGAGCCGAAGCCCCAGAACATGCACTGAGTGGTAGCAGGATTGGACACGTCGATCTCCTCCGGGACAGGCAGAGATATGTTGTTGACATCATCATCAATACCAACAGTGAACGGCGACTTGGGCACCCGAGCATCAACGAGATTCCTCACGGCAGCGTAAACCTGGCCTGGGGTGAAATTCTTAGAGGCCAACCCGAAACGACCACCAATGACCTGAACCAAGCGTTAGTACCAATCGAAAATGACTGAGAATCAAGGCTGCTCACCAAAATATCCGGCCGCGTGGACTTCTGAATACTGGCGCAGACATCAACATAGAGCGGCTCTCCTATGGCGCCTGCTTCCTTGCAGTGGTCCAATACACAAATGCGCTGCACTGTGGCTGGCAGGGCGTTCAAAAAGTGCGGAATAGACCATGGCCTCAAGAGCCTCACACGAACCAGGCCGAGCTTATAACGAGGCTGTTTTCTTTCCAAATAATCAATCGTCTCGGCCACAGTAGACGAGCCAGCTCCCATAACCACAAAGACATGCGTCGCATTAGGATCGCCTTGGTAGTCAAATAGGTGGTACTCTCTACCAGTCAACGCTTTGATCATATCAAGGGCGCTACACATGTGCTCCGGCACTGCTTCATAATAGGGATTGGCAGCTTCAACATTCTGGAAGTAGATATCGGCCGACTGGGCAGTGCCCCTTAGAGTTGGATGATTCGGGTTAAGGGCCCGTGAACGATGTCTGTCAATCTCCTTGGACATAACGTGGACGATCAGCTTCATCTGCTCATCAGTAAGACCGTTTATCTTCTGGATCTCGTGGGACGTTCTAAAGCCGTCGAAAAAGTGGATGAATGGTACCGAGGACTTCAACGTAGCTATGTGAGCAGCTAGAGCCATGTCCATACATTCCTGGACATTACTGGCACATAGAAGGGCCCAACCAGTTTGACGTACAGCCATTATGTCAGAATGGTCCCCGAAGATCGATAGTGCCTGGCCAGCCAGAGTTCTTGCCGGCACATGGAAGACGCAGGGGATGAGTTCACCAGCAATCTTATAGAGGTTGGGGATCATCAACAAAAGCCCTTGAGATGCTGTGAAGGTAGAGGACATACCACCCACAGCGAGGGCTCCATGGACAGCCCCCGCAGCTCCGCCTTCACTCTGCATCTGCCTAACCACAGTAGACTGACCAAAAGCATTCCTGACGCCACTAGCAGACCACTGGTCACAATTCTCACCAAGAGGGGTTGAGGGCGTGATGGGGTAGATGAAGACAGAGTCGGAGAGATTATAGGCCACAAATGACGCCGCAGTGGCACCATCGTAAGGCTTCATGCATGTGTCACGGGCTCCTTCCAGTCTGGCCAAGACCATTGGATCTTCCTGTGAGGCTCGAGGGACCGGAGGGCCCAGCTTCCCACCAGACGACTTTGGTTTTCTATTTGTCAAAGCATAGGTAACCACTCCAGCCGCTGCCAATGCAGCAGCGCCACCAGCGATAGTCAGAGGAGTGATATTAAAAACTCCAAGTTCCTCAGACTCCTTGTTGGGCATCGGTGAGCGACACTGAACTGAAGAATATGAACGAATCCTACTGCGGCGAGCAGTGTTCTGAAGCCTGAGAAATCGTTCTGAAATGTAAAAAATCCAGAGACTAGAGTGATAGCAGAGACGCATAGTCGGACGTATGCCTATTTCGAAGATATTGCTTTAAAGAAATCGGCAGAGCACGCGTCACGGACCAAAGTTCTCTGTGTGCTAGATCAATTTGATAAAGCGCGCGCCCAAAATTAGTAGGCTGGGCTCGTAACACCATAATTGAGCGCAATCATGACCGAGCGCAACACAACTGAACGCAAAGAGTTATCTAAAAACTACAAGTGAGCGCGCGCTCACATCGTTAGACGGTACTACCGTCACTACCGTACAATACCGTCACGGTAGTGTAGGGGGGTTATTAACCCCCTCTATTTTCCTAAGAAAACGTTTGACTCCGGAGTAAACATTTTCTTCCCATCTAATCCTGGAACGTTAGAACGCAACATATTAACAATATAACATATTAGCATACGGGCTTTAGCACCTCTACCAGCGGCGTGACAACCAGGTCATCGGAGTAGGATACGGGATGGAAAAGGGGTTCGCAGACGCATCGATATGACCAACAAGAGGAACAGAAATTACGGCTCCCCGGAGGGAAACTCGCCAAAGAGCTCTCATCAATTCTCATCGAAATAATGGCTCTTTTCCCACCAAGTAAGTCTACTGCCAACACAACACCATGTTGAGCAAGATCACATGAGAACACAGCAACGCTTATGGGCAACAGCCTCAGGAGAAGCTGGCCTTGAAGCCGCTTCTTCACGCACTTTTTTACGAACCCCCTGGACAACATCCTTCTCTCGAGGGATGCGAACAATCTCCTCAGCTGCTGTTGTTGCTTCTGGTCGCTTCTCTCTCTTCTTTCGAGGAGGCACAGCACGAGAGCGGTATTCGAAGGGAACCTCAGCATCTGAGTACTCGACAGGTGGCAATGCTACTTCCAAGTGGATATCCGATAGGGAGGCATCCGACATCACACTGGCCTCTAGGGGACTTCCACTATAATGACTGGAGCACATCGACACTGCGTCATGTTCAGTCATCGTATCATGATGCTCACTAGAGACGTCGGAGTAATAACTGCTCTCTTCTAAGTCCGATGAACCATCGTAGACATCCAATACGGGTGCCTCGCGCTCACTCGAATAGCCACTCGAAGCATCATACTCGCCACACCCAAGGGCCACAGCTGGACCCTCTGATTCCGTGACGAAGCTGGTCGCTACACTGTCATCGACAGCTCGCTGGTCCCGACCTGCAGACCGACGATCGGCTACGGCAGAACCTTGCGGAGGTAGCTGTCGGTTGAGGGTTCCACCACTGCTGCTTCTCCGGGCTAGCTCATTGGCGCTGCCTATTGAGTCTGGGAGGGAACTCAGGAGGCTCGCCCGAGGGGATCCGTCCCCCAAGGGATCCTCCTCATCCCACAGAGCTAGAGTTGGATAAACCTTATCGAGAGTGTCGTCATACTCACTAACATCGCCCTGGGCAGCTGATGACGCAGCCAGTGATCGCGGTGTTCCCTCCCAGGACGTATCACCGGGCCACAACTCCGGCGGTAAGCCCCTCCTTTCCTCTTTTTCTTTCTCCCACATCCTCGCGGCCTGAGATCAACCCAATACCAAAAGATACGCAACTACCCACCGTGGCTCTCATCCCGAAAAGATCTCACCATTGCCCTGCAATCCTGTTTGCGCATCGCCTCGACCACAGCCTCCACTTCCCATTCCTTCGCCTCGACGACAGAGGTACGCCGCGTCAACTTCGTCGTGCTTGCATCTAGGTCGTCAGCCGAGTACGACAGCAAGTCACCATTGACGCCCTCAGCAGCAGGGATCGACTCTACAGAATATTCAAGCCGCACTCTGCTCGCCTTCCGTCTTGACTCCCCATTGGGACCAGTGGAGTACCTGCCCTCGCGGGGCATCCCAGCAGCCGAGAGGGTTTCCCTAGACTCCCTCAATGAAGCCCTGCCGACTCTGGTATCGACCGAACCATCACCACCCTCCGCCTCAGATGCCACACGACGGCTCCCGACATCATAAGAAGACCCTCCAAGGCTATTCCGAGATCGCCCCCCTAGACTCGCTCGAGTCGCGCTGGATCTCTGATGTCGAGCTCTGCGAGCTGTACGACTCGCCCAGCTCATCGAGCACTGCTCGCGTCCAAAGCCCTGGGCAAAGCAAAGTCAAGGCTCATGGAAAAGTCATCACGAATAGGAAACGCTCCGCTGTAATCGCTAGCCCCTCATGATGTAGAAACGCAACGATCTCTCCCATATATGAAAAATGAAACAATCACAACAACTTCGTCGTGCAGACAGGGCGATATCAAGTCTTGGCAGCTGAAGGCTCCTCCCCAGCGGCCTCGACAAGGGCCTGCATTATCGCCTCCAGGCTTGCAGGCTCGCCTTCGTCGTCCGATCTCCTGAGCCAGGGATACGAAATAGGAAGCCCAGAAAAAAGTAGGAAACAAGAACTGTATGAACCGCACTAAGCTGGAGGGCGAGTCTATCCCTATACTACTGGGAGTCTTCGCCTTCCCTCGTGCGGAAGTATATTATATCCGAAAATTCTTGGACGCATTCCAGTTGATTAAATTGCAACAAGTACACATTCGCCTCCGAGTTCACCAGGACGTTATTCTCGATGGCCTGAACACAGACGCCGGTTCGAATCCCGGGAGGAACAACCCCCTTTCTCCCATACCTTATTCACTAAGGGTATCGTCTTGGCTAAGGCAATGGTCGTATTGGTGCCATCCACCAAGGACATCCCCTCACAAAGATACTCCGTTACCCTCTCACACGCCCGGTCTGAGCAATAGAGCTTATCCGATTGACGAGCAAAGTGGTGCCAAGCCTTCCAGTACTCATGCTCTCCTTCAACAAGGCTTCATAGTGAGGAGAATCCACCAAGTCCATCGTCTCCGCCACTAAAACCTGTCCGCCGATTTCGGCCTCCTCCATTGGCGGCACTACCAACGCTGACTTGGGCGTCTCACTGCCAGTCTTGAAACTGACAACGACAACCTCGCCACCTCCCCATTGGCCCTCCGTCAATACAGCCCTTGCAATGCCGCTTCCACCACTGTCCGCAAGGTGGAGGCAATACCCGAGGCCGTCTCTCTACTGGTCGGAGATGGCAGCCTCAACCCACAGGCCTCCCTAGCGGCGTGGTCCACGAGACACAGTACCTACCATAGAAGAGTCTTGTCAACGCTATGAGCAACCCCACAATACCAACGGCGAGGTCAGGTGGTCGCCGATTGCCCTGAGGTAAGCCGCCAGCTCAGCGTTCATTTCAGAGGAGGTTCGCTCAGCATCTGAGATTCTGTACACTCCTTCATCATGGCAATCCAAGTACGTGGGTCTCCTCCAGTACTCCCCTCCGACTGCTTCTTAGGCTTCCTCCATTCACCACAACGATACTGTCGAGCTGTACCCGCTGACAGTGCCACCCGTTGTGTTAGTAGTATCAAGTGCAGGGTTATCAATGACGTGACCAAGCGGCTGAAACCTACCAATAGCGACGAACGTTTATGATCAGAAAAGTACAGTCTAGAGGGCATCCCGACTAGTACAAAGCTTCTGCAGCTCAGTGAACAGCCTTTGCTTTTCCTCTGCCATTCCAGGCCCCTTCAGTGCTTTCAATTTGCGTGGTATGTTCCTGTCTATATCCTCCTCATACGCCTGCTGTAGCCACACCCTCAGCCGATCTATGCTGTCACCAGTCAAAATGAGGTTATCTGCCACCACGACCAGGGATGGACAACTCCATGCAGCCATTACTATACCCGACTGATTGACAGGACTTCAGAATAGTACTTGCCATGGCCATGACCCTCGCATGGTGTTCCCTCTGACGTTTGCTGATCTTGGGTTCTCCCGGCTTCCCCTCGCCACCCTCCTCCATGATCCGATTGGCCTCCGACACTATACTCTGCAGCTCGCGAAACTGACCACACCATGTTGAACTTAGGCCTAGGTAATACCCCTGAATCCTATTACTTGCTGATAATACGGCCTGAGCCAATATACTGCCACCGCCCCTACAGCGACACCACCGATAATCCACCGCTTGTTCCGCCTCGACCAGTCCCAGGCCTTCCTGGGCATCCCCCTAACACTGTCCCAGTATGCACTCAACTGTGTAGTGTAGGCGGCCAGCCCACTAACAGGAGGGGATGTTGAAAGTTGATCGGGCGCGGCTACGGGGGATAGTTGAGATGCCATAGTCTGCGAACCCCTGCAAGGCTCCTCGCCCGTTTACATATAGGCCCACCCGTAATTTCAACGACCTCTTGAGCTGACCTTGGTTGGCCAAGCGTCGCCAGACATAGCCAGTGCTATTCCCTAGACTGATACTTCGTGCTGACCCTCAGAGAACACAACACTTGGAATTTATAACTTTTGGGACATCATATCAACATAGGTTCACACGAAAGGTTTTCCCATTCATCGCATACTCAGCGGGATCCAGATTGTGGAACCTCACCACGGCCTGAGGGAACGAAAAGGCGCAAAGCCGCAGAAGATACTCGCCTTACCTGCGCAGCCTCCACTCCAAACTCTGTGTGTAGGGTCTCATATATGGCATCGCACATCTTGCCTTTCAATCCTCCACCGATTGAGTAGATCTCCACTGAGACGCCATCAGCCACGTGTCCGCCAACAACAAAGCCAGCAGCAGAGACGACTTGGACCTGTACACTTTCATCATGTGCATCATTCTGGCCTTGAACCGCAACTCACAGTGATGAAATTCTTCGGCTTGCCGAGAGCATTCGCTACGACGTCAGTAAACACAATAGCAGCTTGTTCGGATCAGCCAGAATGGATTGGACGTTGGTGGTGACGGCTACGAAAGGCATGAACACACGCTAGTAGCAGTAAACTGTCCACGACGAACACATTTCCCCTATATGTCCGGAAGCTATCGACTAACGACTGAGAACGATATCAGATCACTTGGAATGCAACAACAATCAGCCGTCACCCGACTGGTATGGTCCTAGGACCTAACCTTGAGCCCTTTTCACGCCCATGGAACATTCCGGTACCAATTCACGATACTACTCTCGATATTCTTCCTCTAGTATTCAGGAGTCCTCGCAAACTGTGACACTTCCATTTAGAGTCGCGGGTGCTCCTGAGGCGAACCTTCAGACCTCTCCCGCCGCAACTGTCACATCCTTCCCCATGCCGATCCCCGACATGTAGTCCCCCATACAGTATTCAATGTCATTCCCAGTGTACCAACAATGAGATTGGCATTAACCAATACTAAATTTCATGACGAGTGCATATGCAGCCGCAGCTTCTACTAGTAGCCAGAGTACTGTAGCCAAGGACGCGGAACTTCCCTATCGGGAGTGGAAGCAACGGTGAGGACGCACCCAAAATCACCCGATACTTCCCTTAAATCAACGCAAGACCGGAGTGACTAGGAATAGTGCACAAGTCAGTCCTCAGGGCTGCCCAAATGTAGGGGCCTCTCCCGTAACGTGTCGAAGCCCCCTTGCCTCTCATTGTCCGCACTATGGACACTGGACGCACTACCCGCACCAGACTCGCTAGACGGCCCACTACTACTCCCTGTACTCCGCTGTGGGTGCCGACGACGTCCACCTCGTCTGGTCTTCTCATCTGGAGACCGCCCCGAATAATGCTCGCCATACCAATGACGTACCAGTGAAAACCAAGAACCCGATGAGAACGAACAACACGAAAATAACACTCATAAGAATTGGATGGGACGAGAGTAGATAGCGGATCCCCGACAATTGAGAATGGAATCTCAAGTCGGCTCCATACACCTGCAGAGGAGGGTTCATGCATACCGTAGCCGATAATAGTGGAAATGTGGAACTCTCGTAGACCTCCACATTGAGTTCTTCGAACAAAGGCACCGTTGCAGTGAACTCGTCGACTGTCCACCCTAGCAAGGCTGGTAGGACCATCAGCCACTCCCGCATCGTTCTCAACAAGGAAGAGTGGTAAGGCAGTAGAAGTGGCCGTCGGGAGCGGGCCGTAGGCGCATCTTGGCCCTTCATACCGTACAGAGTAACATCTACCATAACAGGACCCTTATCGAGGTTGTAGTGATTAGTAGGTAAATCCAGGGCCAAGGTCACATCATAGTCGACTGATGGGGCCGGCAGGTCCAATAACGGGGCAGCCAAAGCCTGTCGACTCGCTGTAGTATCGAACCATTGCCGGTTAGAGAAGGACACTGTAGCACAGGCAGGCGTGGCGCTATAGTCGAAGTAAACCGGGAAGGAATGGAGCTGCTTGGGTATGACCAACCAGTGTACGACCCAATAGAGAATCCATGCCGATATCGTCACTGATACTATGCTAAGTCCGACCAAGATTAGTTTGGACCATAGTAGTACTAGTCTCCATACAAAGGGGGATATGTGATGCGATAGGAAGACGAGGCCAGGCTGGATAGTATGCCAAGTCCCATACGAGGCCCGGGCCAATGCTGAGCCTTCAGCCTCACCATCCCTACTAGACTGTGAAGAGTTTGTAGGTGACGATATGTTAGAGGTCTGGTAGTTCTCGCTGTCTGAGGACGGGTCAACACCTTCTATAGGTAGTTGAGGTGCACCTCCAGCAGACCCAGTGCGCTCGAACATTTAAGAGGTGGATTGGAGATCGAATCTTGCTTCCTAACAACACTTGCTTTTACTCAATGGATGTTCATCATGCGGCGCAAGGGTGGTGGTCACCTTTGAACATGTGGTCGGACCACAGTACGAGTATCAACATGAACTACCAGAACGGACCTTGGTAGTGGTTGGCGAGAGTGATCTATTAATGCGGCAGCCCGGCCGTTTTGGTGCCTACCAAGGGTGGTGCGCCGATTGAGTAATCAACGATGACCAAGACATAGCGGTGCCCGAAGAGGAATAGAGCTGTTCCGAATTACAGCGGACTGTGGCGTCATGTTACGTCTCGTAGGACGGGCTGACGTGACCTCTTGTAACCGTCCGGAGCGCGAATGAATGCTGTTCCGCTGCTAATGCCAAGATCCTGCCCATAGGATCCTCTATTGGCCATAGCTTTTTGTCAGAGGAGGGCACCACCGGCAATTGGAGGGATTTTGGGTCCTCAGCTTGGGTTCGGAAAAATATCCAGGCCTCTTGTTTGGAAAGTCCAAGCGAGCAGTCACTCTAACGTGGCACATCGCAGCTCCTGACAGGGGAGTAAGGGTCTCTCCCAGGACGGTCCTTACGGGCAAGTTTCCTATAACATCAGAGACGCTAATTCCCACTGCTCAGCAACCAGCTTGCCAATGCACTCTTGAACAAGAGGAAATCTGCAACTTCAATGTACTTCTTTTCAAGTGCCAAGACTCTTCGGGAAGTGAATTCAAGCTCGGTGCACTCTCCCATGCTCTTGGGAATTTAACTCGACGACACCACTTCTACTCGAACGAAATTTGTATTTCCAGTTCAGTTCGGTAAGGTCGAGCTTCATCCGTTGGTCTTGACGTTTGCACGTTTTGTTTGCTGCTCCCATGGTCTTTCTAGTATGTACGACATTATGATTCTCAAATCAGTCTAAGAGCACATACTTGCGTTTGAACTTGTTTACGCAACTCGAGTTCGCCAATGGAAATGTGAAGGTGCGAGAGCCATGCATATGAATGAATGGTGATTAGTCCACTGCATCCGTCGTCAACTGTCACGAATGAGTTATCAGTTCTCACACGCTGAATCAATATCCGAGTCCCATTCCAGGGTCCCCACTCCTGAACCTGTGTCGGAGTGATCGCAACGACTAGGTTACTGCGATTCACGATGCACACCTGCTTTTTCGATTGCCTCTCCTTGGTGGTCGTAGTGAGAGTCATTCAAGTCATCATCAGAGCGGGACTGCCCGAGAAGGAAATACATATCACATTACGCTTTGCCCTACCTCCATTCGATCGATCCTCACTGTATCACTCGAGGCCAACAACTTGAGGCCAGGTGTAAGACCCTCGAGAGCAAGAATGAGACAGGAACGCCGATCTGCCTTCCGGAAGGCCGTTGGCGACATCAAGAACTCATCATTGTATAACCAACGATCGATATGGACCATACTACGTCGGGAGCTAGACGTCAAAGGATGTAAAACTGCTATACCGGATCACCTCAGAGCAGAGGATTTTGCCACCTACATGCAGAAACTCTACTCGGCAGAGAACGTTACTGTCTCTCACAGTGACGAGGACGTAAGAGATAAATCATATCCGTCAAGCAGCTCGACAACACCCGCCGGTCCGGACCATATCGCTGACTATGCGGATTGTAACCTCGACCCTCTACCGTTACCAGAGCCGATCACCTTCGACGAAGTACATCACGCAGCATCACGATTAAAAAAAGGGAGAAGCCCTGGAGTGGACGGCATCAGCAGCGACCTGATCCGTCAAAGCGAGGTGCTCCAACGGTGGGTATACGAGTTATGTTCGAAGTGTTTTGAGGTTGAAAGCCAACCCAGCGAGTGGCTAAGGAGCAAAGTGACGCTCACCAAGAAGGCTGGCAAACCCCCAAATGAGGTGGGCTCATATAGGACAGTCATGGCACAGGTATCGGCGGCAAAAGTGTACTCAGCGGTGGTATTAGAACGCATAAGTGAGCACCTGGATTCGCGGCTACATCACTCACAGTGCGGTTTCCGGAAATCCCGATCCACTACAGAAGTCATCCACGCAACAAACATTCTACGTGATGGTTGCCTGGCACACGGAAGGTCACTTTGCCTATTGGTGGCTGACTGGCAACGAGCTTTTGACAAGCTAGATCGCCAGTATATGATGAAATGCCTGCGAGCAGCCGACCTACACCCCAAATACTTGAGGATAATAGACCAGAGCTATAACGAAGCAGTTGCCTGTCTCACACTTGGCGGCGAAACATGTGAAGTAAAGCTATCCTCTGGGGTCAAGCAGGGAGATGTATGGAGCCCAATCATCTTCGTAACATCACTAGACGAAGTTCTCCGCCGTAGCATCATATCTGCTGGCCATGGATTTCGACTTACTAAGGAAGACTACCACCACCGCCGATATACTCGCTTCGCAGCGAGATCCGCCATATTACAGGAACCAATTGGATGTATATGCTTTGCAGATGACGTCACAGCTCCATCAGAAAGTATCGAAGACAGCGAAAAAGTCCTCAGGGCTCTTGAGATTGAAGGTCAGCCTGCCAACCTTACACTTGGTATTGGGAGCACCGGCTGTAAAACTAAGAGGCTCCTCATTAACTGCAAGCAACCGACATCCCATGGACGAGTCGATGTGGTTAAGAAGTTCCGGCAGCTGGGAGTCTTGATAACAGATGCGCCCGGATACGGAGGAGCGGTAAAAGACAGAATTCGTACTGCAGGTGCGGCCCTGCACAAACTCCGGGACATATGGAAGTCCCATGATATCGGACTGGATGGAAAGATGATAATCATGAGATCTGTGGTATTTGCTTCACTATTCTATGGTTCGGAAGCACTAGCGATCAATAAGGAAGAGGAACAGATGTACAGAACGTTTTACCATATATGTCTGAGGCGAGTATTGGGCGTGGCTCCAATGACCAGGCTATCATCACGTGAGCTCTATGTGAGGACACGTTCGCCTGCATGCGAAGACGTATTACGCGCGAGGAGATTGAGATGGCATGGTCACCTATTGAGAGCACCTGATGACCACATCGTCAACAGACTCTTGAACTGGAACCCGCGTATTCACTCAGGCAGCTCCAGAAGAGCCGGCAGGCCCCGACAGACATGGATCGAACTGGTGAAACAAGATATGAACGATGTAGGCCTGAGAGCCAGTGATGCTAAAAACCGGACAGTATGGGAGCGTCGGATTCGACTGGCCTGTGATGTACCGCCTCTCCGCGGCCGGAGGAAGTTGATGTAAAAAAAAACAAAAAAAAACAAAAAAAAAAGAAGAAAAAAAAAATAAAAAAAAAGAGAAAAACATTGTACTATTAGCTACTATTGTATTATCGAATAATGAAGACATTTTTACTCTGGTCCGACAATAACACTGATTGTCGTGTACTATGTATAGTTTGCAGACTAAGGCCTACTGGCCGTCACATTCCTTACCAAGGCCTGGTCAGCCTCTTTATACTTCCATTGTTGACCTTATAAACTCTGTCGAATCCTCCGAGGCTTTGCAGAGTCGCCTGGCCGAATAGCGGCCGTGAGCGAAAGAGAGAGAGAGAGAGAGCTCCCATGGTCTTTCTAGTATGTACGACATTATGATTCTCAAATCAGTCTAAGAGCACATACTTGCGTTTGAACTTGTTTACGCAACTCGAGTTCGCCAATGGAAATGTGAAGGTGCGAGAGCCATGCATATGAATGAATGGTGATTAGTCCACTGCATCCGTCGTCAACTGTCACGAATGAGTTATCAGTTCTCACACGCTGAATCAATATCCGAGTCCCATTCCAGGGTCCCCACTCCTGAACCTGTGTCGGAGTGATCGCAACGACTAGGTTACTGCGATTCACGATGCACACCTGCTTTTTCGATTGCCTCTCCTTGGTGGTCGTAGTGAGAGTCATTCAAGTCATCATCAGAGCGGGACTGCCCGAGAAGGAAATACATATATCCCATTACGCTTTGCCCTACTCCATTCGATCGATCCTCACTGTATCACTCGAGGCGTGAGGAGGAGTGAGGGCACCGCTGCTGGAAGGTGAACGAGATGAGGATATCTAACATGATTACACGCACACAACTTCTACGACGATACCGTTACATCTGAGAGTGGTCCAATGGATCCAGCCCGCCCTATTCTAAGGCTTGTTGTATCACTGATCACCAGCCGGTCTCGTAGTCGTCCCATATCGCCCCTCATAGCACGAACGTCTTGCGCAAGTGACAGAACTTGAGACTGAGACACTGTGGTTTCTCAATGACTTTCCTATCAGAAGTAGTAGCACTTGCAGTGTCATAGTTGTCTTGCCCATGTCATGAACCTCTGCCTCTCGGTTGTCGAGATCATCGAGTAACCTTGTCAAGCCTGCCGGGTCCAGCTGTGACTGGTGGAACTCCGATCTTAGATTCTGAAAATGCTACAGTTGATGGACTGATGTTCATCTCGCTGACAGACCTCCACCGCATTTCGTGTCTCCGCCTGAATAGTGTTGATTAGATCGCGCTGGTCCTTCAACTCTGCCCGAACTTCCTCCATGAATGTTTTCAATGAATTCACCGATTCCTTTTCCGACGTGCAACTACACGTCTGCGAGGATAACTATCATTATTATCAACACCGCAATCTGCACCTGCGTATGAACAGCAGTCCGACTGGGTTCGGCCTTTGTAGATTGTAGGAGACCCGTCTCGGGCCCACTTGCCTCCTGTGGGACTTCTACGATTTTGTGCTCATCGAGAGTGGCTCTGGCTACCTAACGGAACAGCAAAGACTGTACTAACAACGCTCCTGCACAACTGTTAAGGGGATTGACACCAGGACTGTCGAGCCGATCGTGAGGTACTATTGTAACGTGGACGATTACGGATGAGCTACATATTCCATCAACCGTTTCTGCCTGTGTACATCTCTTTCACCAAATGACACTAATATCCACATCAACAGCATAGAAGCATTGTCTCAGCTCCAGTTAAGTAGCCAACAGGAGTCGATGAGGATACATTCAAGTGAGGGGAGATCAGTGAGATGGTCAGAGAAGCACCTACTAGGGGCTCTGCCCATGAGTTCCTCCTGGTCTTAAGACCGTCGTCAACAGCATCTACGATGAGTGGTCCAGTGACCTCAGCACATCCCCCAGTAGGTGTTGACTGAGCCGTTGACATAGCCGTGGAAGGCACCTAGCACAACGAGATCTCATCGTCTCCTTGATGGACGCCATCCGACATGGCGGGTATTAGTGTCGTCATTGGAAGCGTCCCGACTCAGTAGTCTCTTCGGTTTGAGATCAACCGGAGTCACAGTGCTGGGGACCTGCGAGAATCCCTCACTTCGCCTTGCCATAGATACCGTAGGTGACCAACTTCAATTGATGGCCGCGATGGACGTCGTACAGTCTCGATAGAGCAGCTCTGCCGACGCTGGGGGGTAGAGTCTTCCGAGTGCCGTTTGATAGCAGGAGTGGGCGACGCTGCATGGAGTAAGTCTGGCGGGGTCGGTGACGAATTGCGCTGGTAGGAGCATGTCTCTCTGACGTGAATGAGGGGAGTAGTACATCAGAGTTTGAAGTCAATGAAGAATGCTCCCCAGGGTTTCGGATCCGCTGCCATGTGAACTGTTTGGGACCTCTCTGGTCGTCTGGAGGAAGGCACTTCTCCGATAGCGATGTGAGAGCTCACTTACTGCCCATCCAAACTACTCTGCCTCCGTCGGACCTCTCGAACTTCAGCGGTCCTGCCCACACCTGAGCCCATACCAATCACAGCTACACCAGAGGGTTGCTGACCTGTGCCTGTCCATCCGGCCCTCGTTCTACCCTCAGATGTATGCACCGTTCCTGTCTGATAAGTCTCTTAGAGCCGGCAGGCATGGCATCGCTCGTGGAGGAGGAGGACGAGGAGGGGGCCTTCTCTTGTCTGAATGGGATGCTGGTACTGGTCCATCCCATATAGGAATGCCGACTTATAACAATGAATGTTGCCATCGTGCGCTACGAAATAGTAGGTGCCACTGCCGGAGCCACTTATCCACCACCCTTGAAGCTTGCTCATCGCCCTAAGGCAAGCATGTCCCACCCCTCTGTGGCCCTCATGCTGGTGCTCACTCAGAGATCTCTCTTTGACTCAGAGCTGCTTGTGTGAAAGCATTGTGGATAGTATATGATGGTCGATGCAGACCGCTTCCAGACGACAACCCTCCCAAGGTCCCCAGCTGTTGAGGTATCATAGTTGTCTGAGGGACATGCTGCAGGGTAGGGCTACTTGACGGTTATGACTACCCGGCTGAGGAGACCCGTGGATGGGTTTGACGGAAGGGGGATCATAGTACTGCCGAGTATGGCACTTTGCATCGACACTCGAAAGGGAACCGAGCTTTCTGAAAGTCCCACTTGCCGCAGATTACTGCGTTATAACTAACTCCACACGTAAGGATCGACAAAGCCGCACTCATGGTATGGCGGGGAATGCCGCAATAAAAAAAAGACGACTCCACTGGCGAGGAACGAGAAGTTATACCACACGCTGGCTCGATGCGCATATTCAAACGTTGAATGCGGGGACGACGGACGGCCCATGATGACGATGATTAATAGCTTTGGGCAGCTTTGTCGGCTGATCATCCGTCGAGGCTCGATATGTTCCCCAGTCCTCCGCATCAGTACTACTACGCATACACTCAATACCTCTCACGACCTGGCCCTTCTCAACCCGAGGGAGAATAATCCTCTCCTTGGCGCCGATGGCTCTCTCAACTCAAGACTCCCTACCCGCGACAGTGGGCCGCTAGGACACCACTTCACTCAACCCACTACGGCAGCCAACACATCGCTGGCGACAGACTCATCGTCATCCATCGTATCAGACCGTACCAAACCGCGCCGATTCGGCAGGAGGCAAGGCGAGCATAACCTAATCCAATAGGTTCCTCAATCCCTGCCGTAAAAGTGTTAACTCACATTATTATCGGCAACAGCTAATTTACCCTAATGTAATATCTCTCCTCACCAGGGGGAGAACAAGTACAGTAGATATAACGAGTGGGAACATGCGTCGTTCGATCCTGTTAACCCGGCACTCTGCGCAACACGTGGGGATAGAGAATCTCAATCACTGAATCTCATGATTCACAACAGTCATGCAGCAATGTACGGCAACTTCCTCAACAAGGGATGAACACAAGCTTCATTATCCCTTGATTATGTCCATCAAGTGGCTCTCCTTGTCATCCTCCTCAGGTGTCTCCTCCTGCTTAGTAGCAGAGCCCGGTAGACTCCCGACAGAGCTCTGCTCGCCCACCCGGATGGTCTCCTCTTCCATGATAGCGTCCGGATCAAAGGCATCGGCATCATCCCTCGAAATATGCTTCACTGTTGTCGGTGTGCCAGCGTCAGGAATGACTTCCACAGATACACCCGAAGGCGTCTTCTGCTGGACCTCGCTACTCGGGTGAGTGATCACCTGCCAGGACGAATCACTACTGTACATATACAACGATGCACTGCCTTACTGTCTTAACACTCTGGGAAGCTGGCACATGATGACCAAGCTGTCCTGACTGGCGATGACCACGTAATACTGTCACTTCGGAATTCCTGAATACTACATTTCACTACAGTACGAGATTGCTTCCGAACTTACACTTCGTCAAACGGGTTGAGAGATGGAGATGGGAAGGGGTTGGCATCCATCCCTACTACATCCACATGGCCCGGCATCAACAGTAGCAATACCTTCACGATTCCTGCCATGGATTAGCTCAACCCTCTTATAGACGGCTCCCAGTGGCTTCGTGCACTCCTCCATCTCTCTTGTTATTGTGGCCAAGTACGAGCATAACTGACCACAGTGAGGTGATTCAATCATCATTCACCAAACCCATACTCTCCCTATAGCCTACCAGCCCCAGTAGAGTGGCGAACTCCTTATCACGAGTAGCTAGTACTCCGGACAACCTACTGTGTGCATCCTTATCTAACTCCTCGAATGAGTGCGTGGCAAAACTGTGCTTCAGTTGGTTCTGACGGTCGACTCCTCCCCAGATCCCCACGCTGTCTATTCCTACCCTATCCATCTTCTCGGCATGAGTTTTCTTGGAGCCCTTCAGCTTCTTAACTTTCACTTCGTAATGTGACATCAAATTATGAGCCCGGTCCCGGTCGCTGAAACAACCCTCTACAAGTCTTCAAGGCCGACAAGGATCGTATCAAGCGTTCCGAACTGCTCTTGCCCTATGCTGAATTTCATTGCAGGTCTGCGGCCGATGAAGCGAGCGTTTGAAGTTGATACGCAAGAGGTGTATCAACGAGCGTCATCATTGATTTGAGTGAACTCGTCCTCTCATACTATGCAAAACTCCGAATGCTCGCCCTATGCAATGGAATTCGGGTAAGTTGCGGTATGTACCTTGCTGGCCACTCGCCCCTTACGTGAGCATAGTGTTCATATCCAACCCTTGCTTCATCAGCTGCTCAGATGCATACTTCATGCCTTCCAGATTATTGCCTCGGCCCCGGATGGTGGTCTTGAGGTGCTCTAAAGCCTCGCTCATAGTAGCTCTTATGGGTGCGTACTAAACATATGAGAGACCGTTAGGGCAGCAGTTGCTACCGAGTATTAACCGGATTGTCATTAGGGTAGAAGGACTTAGTTGATTCTACCAACTCGTTGTTGACACTCGCTAGTTTCTCCATAACATTCGACAGAGTGCCAACAGTAGTGTTGAATATCTGAGCACGAGCATATGAATATTACTGCTTGGGGAGAGCAACTCAAGTCCTGGTCTATAGCTCAGCGCGGGCGAATCTGAAATACCTTGCAGCGGTCGAAGAAGTCCGAAGCAATGGCCCTCTCCCCCTCCAAAGGATCTTCCTTCATACGCCGCACTCCCCGAATCTGATGTATGCATACTCTAGGCATCGTCAACTAAGGTGTAGCTACTCTTTCCTTAATCCTACGAAGAGTCTTATAACCCTCGAAGAAAGGCATGGGGTAAAAGTAAATAATCAACTAGCGGTCGCTTCATGATATGCAACCAACTCCGTTGGATAGCTCCTCCTCTCCAGCGCAGAGAGAGCTCAGCGCAACCAACACAACTGAGGATGTATGCAGTGATACTAGCTCTCGTACGTTGAATGCATTTACTCAAAGGTATCGACACGAAGCTTGTCATCGGTGGGTATTATCGGATAATATTGAACGGAGAGACAATATGGTACATAACAATGCCATCAGATTCCTCGGCATCGGCATAAAATGGAAATCATGATACTACAGAAAATAATCACCAGCAGCGGTTACACCAGCATGAAGGGGGCCGAAGGGGCATCTCTCTTCTGTTCATTCATAGACATATCGTAACTGGCGACGCCAAGATAGACTGTAGCAGTACAGGGAATGCCCTCAGCTTACGTCGCTATTCCCGACATGGACTGGTTCATGATTGAGCCATTGGAATTCTGGTTGTGAAATGGGAAGGGGTCTTCATCCCGCTCGACCTGCTGCCTGACCATCGTCGGCACTTGGTCTGTGAATGTGGTGATGCCCTGCATCCCTGCTGATGCCGTTACTCCCAGATACCGAGAGTACTAGGAGAAGCCAGTACCACCCGTCCACTGTCCAGTTGTCTGCTTACCTCAGCGACGATCTTGGCGAAGTCAGCCTCCTTCCCTTCGAGTAGCTCGGACATTTCCGCTCTAACTTTGTTGTCCAACTTGATGAAAGACTCTGCGCCATACGATGCTTCTCGACATCTGACTTCTCCAAGTGATATGAAAACACGTTATTCGCCCCTACTCGTGAGAGCCTCTCCTCAGCATTAAGATCCTTCTTAGACCGCTTGGAAGCATCCGTCTTGAGGTCCTCTATCTTGTGATTATAATGGTCGAGGTCAGCATACGCCCTATCGCGGTCCTTCAGCTTCTGCTGTAAGTCGGCATTCCGCTGTACCAACTTATGTGCCTCCCCCACAGCAACCTGTAGCTGCGGTCTTGACGCCTGTGCAGACTGCTGACATCTCATCAGCTGGTCCGCGAAAAGGGATATCGCCGGAGAATACTGAAGCACAGTAATCAACCACAACAACAACCAGCAAGGAAATAAGCTTACTCCACTCTCCTGCGTAGAACTAGGTGTGGTATCAACAGGCGTAATAACATCCCTGGATTGCTTGGCAATATCCAACTGCGAGGCCGCCATCTGATCTGTCAGACTTAGAAGCTTCACCAACTGCTGGTGGAAAGCCTGACGACAACAAGCGTTAGTGACCGCTCTCCTAGACGGCGTACTTGAGCCTTTGCCGCATGGTCCAATAATGCGGCCCTCTGCTTCTCAAGAGGGTCCGATGATATCGCCTTCACACCAATAACCTGAGCCTCACAACAATACCCCCAAAGGCCAATTTACTGCGCTACCTTGTCGGTGAGATTCCGCCAGGTTTTACTCGCAAATACTACCATACACTACTACTGGACAGCAATGTATCACTGAAGATAGAACTGCTGAGTAGTTACCATTACCCAACTCAAAACTCAATAGTCGATGAACATCTCAATGAGAAGGGTCGTTTGCTACGACATGTGGGATGGATTCTGCCGAGTCCGCCACCAGCAACGCCTAGGTCGGACTTAGGCCAGAGAATCAACCAGAAAATGTAATTGCTGAGTGTTGGTACTATCAAGGGGTATTCCGAGTGCCTCTGTCGATAACCGTTATGTAAGCCTTGTGACGAGGGACGGGGACCAATTCGGCCCTACTACTGCTGAGAGATCAACGCTACGACTCTCGCTCAACAGCAGCCGCAGCATGATTGTCATGACGTTTCCTTTCATTCCAGGAGTATATAGAGATAAATGTGATAGAAAAAACCCAACCCCTCGAGGCTTCTTGAATATTGTAGTTCACTTGCAATAACTAACAACATCCAATATCGTCTCTAAGCATCATCGATGATGACGGATGAACTGGATTCGCATAGTAGGCCACTGCAACTCCACATGGTTAACAGCACATTAAGGTGTGAGGGGAACCTCCTCCGAGTGCAAGTTCATTGAAGAGCCGCGGCGACTACGATCAAAGTGTGGGTGCATATCTACGCCGATCCCAACGATTGGTCTACGAGCCGAGTGGTTCAAAGATAAGCAAACCATGCGCTCTCAACAAGGAAGGAAAAAGGTATTGATTATTACCTGGTCAGCACAGCACATCTTGGAAGTAGAGTGCAACGGAAGTAGCGGTTCCATAACTACACTGCTACCAAAATATGAGTTTCTGACTGGTCCTGCAACATAAGCGCAATTTAGTCTTAACATCCTAGTGACGCCTCAAGCGTGCCCCATCGCTTATTCGCCCACCAGGGATCGATCCTGGGACCTTTAGATCCGTGACGACGTGCTCTACCAACTTAGCTGTCAGACGTAAAACCTTCACGGAAGACTATTTTGGTGGCCTCAAATTTCGGAACGCCTTATGGAGCTCCAGAATATTATGCTAAGAGTTGACTGCTATTTGGGTTCACTCAAGTAAGGTCTCCAACTGCGCCCAAACTAAGGGCGCTCCAAAGTTGCGTATGGATATGTTATAGGCCCACACTAAATACTCTACGAAATTTGGACGAAGCAGATTTTGCGTTCTCAGCGGAACGATGCTCGTGTATTCGCACCGGAGCCTTCAATTTGTGACTAATAGTTCTACGTTGATCGGGCCCTGATGTCAACCCTAGGGGATCGAGTCAGGAAAGGCCCTCTTATTTTGAAGGGGGAGAAGCATAAGAAAAAGAAGAAGTCTAAGAAGCATCATCATCACCAACAGCACTCGGAAGATGACGGTACTATCTATACCTTCTCGGAGACCCTCTTATGGCGTTCCTACCCTAGGCCTGTTGTCTGATGGTAATGCAGAGGACGCCCCAGTAGAAGTACCTGTCCGTAAATGCACAGGGAGAATAGTGTGTACCAACAGCACAATACAGGTGAGTACGGTAGGCGTAGTAGTAGGAGTCGATGGAGGGTCCATCTTAGGGGATGAACACTAAGTTCATGGAAGAAATTGAGCAGGGAGATACGATCCTGGTACATCACCCACAGAGTTTACAAGTACGATGATGTCTGCACTGGATTGGAGAGAATGTTGGTTTCAGATCGAGGAGAGGCAGGTGGTCAGTGTTCTCTCCTCCCGATCATTGGTGGTGTCCGATCCCTTCAGCCAGGACTTCGTCACTACTACTGAGGTATGCTTCTGTTGTCTAGAATACGGACTGTAGACTATGTCCCTTCAGTTCCACGTTCGAAAGGATGGGGAGGTGCTCCGACGGAAGGTAGAGGCAAAGATGAAGATGAAGAAGGAAGAGATAGACGAGGAGGGAAACACTGAGGGCCACGGTAGTGTATATGGAATGAACTTGAGAGCATTCGAATAAACATTGAGTCTTGGAGTGTGGACTAGCAGTGGGGGAGATGTTGACCGACTTGTGGTATGGAATTCACCGTTTGTCAGGATCAGTAGAGGATCTCATTGATAAAGAGTTACAGAGGAAGTTCAAGAAGAAGCAGCAGAACTTATTCACGTGAGTCGACTCATGGTGTATCATAGGATAGGGGAGAATAGGTACGTTGAACGGCATGGGGCTTTCGGTTACAAGGCCCACTCTGAGAAGGTGGGCAAAGACGTGACTAAAGAGGATATGCTCGATATGAGGGTTAGGAAGGTCCACGATAAGTACTGCTAGGCTCACTCCTGTACATTGATCTACTATATCATCTCAATGCTCGGAGATCAACGCCGTGTTGGGTGCGCAGTGGGGTGATCATTGTACGTTAGTTTGACTGTCTCTATCGATACATGTCCAACGACGACTCTTCTTTCGGCGAGCTCGTCCTCCTCATAGGGGATATGTACATTCCTGAACGGGCCAGGGAGCTCCCCCTATGTTTTAGGGAATTACTGGTAGTAGTAAAGTGTAGGGCCCTTCTTTTCACACGGATGCAATTTCATCAGAATACAGACAAGATAAGCACTGTGCTGTGTACAGGGAACATAGGCTCTAGTAAGGAGATGCAGGAGAATGTCAGAGTCATGGGCCAGCAGTCCATCTACGTCGTGAGGCCTGACATCGACGGTGTTAGGAAGGATCTCGGGGATTAGGTTCGGGGGGAGCTCGAAGACGCGGATAGTGAGGATAAAGCTCTGCCGGAGTACATCACCTGTAAGGTTGGAGATTTCCGAGTTGGCTTGATCCATGGACACCAGATAACCCCTCAAGGGGATCTAGTAGGCTCCTGTTCCTACGTAGGCTCTTGAGTACCCCTCTACTTAGGAAGCATTGAGCATGTGGCAGAGGAAGCTCGATGTAGACATCTTAGTGTACGGCTCCCCTCATCTGCACGGTATCACTGAGCATCGGGTATTACAGTTTGCCTAACTGTACCATACAATGATGATACTCTATCACTTTCAGGGTAAATTCTTCATCAACCCGGGCTCAGCCACCGGTGCGTATGATCCTAATTTGCTAGGGTAGGTCTTTTGTGAGTGTATAGACTTAACAGCATGGTTCCTCAGGTCACAGGCCGCTGGGGTTCGTCCAGATGGCACCACTATTCCTGCGTTCATGCTCATGGCCGTGAGCTCACCGCCACCTATAGGGGTCTCTCTCATGCTTCAGTCAGGTACAAGGATCCAATGCTGTGGTTTATGTGTATCAAGAGATCGATGGGAAAGCTGATGTTGGTATGTCAGAGTTCAAGAAGTGCGTCGATAAAGATGTTTCCGCTGACCACCAGTGAACTATTGTCTAGACCAATGTAGTGTCGCGTTGTTACAACGACCAATTTAGTCAATTCTACTCAACAACTATATAATGAAAATTATGGCAGCATTTATGGTGACAATTCACCCATTATATATTCATCATCACTCAACTCTCCTAATACATAACCATGCGGTGGTGATGGAGGAAGGGGTACTATTGGAGGGCACAGCATGGGTTCTATAGTAGGATTCTCTCTGAGATAATAACACTTTTGATAAGCTACCGATATATAGGCACCTCAGTTGGATTGACACGTTAGCCACAGGGGAAGGTGTTCTCGTCCATGAGGGTATCATCTACTTCCCCAACCACCCTCATCCACTGTCTCGGTGAATACTGTCTTCAGAGGCTCTGATCTACGCTGCCGTTTGGTCATCAGCACAATGTTACTCCACAATAGGGGCATTTACAACAGTATAGTAACACCAAAATAGGGTAGCGAAAATTAGACATATTTTATACAAAGTGAATGATGCTACTCATCCTTCTGACCGCACAGCCACTTGAGGACCTTCGGAGTCTTCAACACTTGTAACCCGTGAGAGGTCGGCATCCTCGGATAAACGTCTGTGAAAAAGTAATAGATATGACCAGCCAGGATGCCCTGTATGTGATCAGCCAGTTGTCCTCCCATTATCTAAAGCAAGTGAATAATGGAGTGTCCTAGGTTGGAGCGTGGCCTACCAAAGATATCCCAGCGAGTATCCAAGGGAGATAAGGAGCCTTCACAGTGAAGGCGATAACATGTACTCGAGCACCTGGATTCCGCCGAGCCCATACGTACCTATGCGATGAGGAACTAAAAGGGCAGTGAGACGAGCGTTCCTTGTTCTACGTCATGACATCGATGATCGCGCCTGAGTAGAAGTTGGAGAAGTGGCCAGTGAGGAATGATAAGCCCAGGAGCATGGACATGGACACTAGCAACATGTATACGAAGTCTCCAGACCTGAACCAGTCATTAAGTAGGGAGGGTACGGTGGAGTTACCTCTGGCGGAAGACGACCTCTTCCAGTTGTGAACAGTAGAAATACATAACGTAGACATTCCACATGAAGCCTACTCCTAGGTCTCCATAGAAGAGGAAGCATGTGAATAGACGCCACCATTGGCCGTGCTCCCATACCATCTCCCTGAACGACGTGCAGTAGAACTATGTACGGCAAACCATACCCTTCCCAACAAGGCGTTACGTGGACGATATTAACAATATGGACTTCATCTAACTTAGCATCAGTAAAAAAGACTATGTGATAATCCTTATCAGTTCATACGAATGCACTGGGGCGTATCCCAGCGAATTATCGATGTTCCGAGAGAATGAATTATGGCTATCGTAGCAGGGTATACGATAAGCTTTGCTCCGCATCCCTCTGCCAATACTCGCGACCAGATAACAATGAACCTCCAATTCGAGCTGCTATCACAAATACTTGCTACAGAGATACCCTCAACAATGAACCCCACCCCTGATGATGATGGAGATAATACTACCAGTTGAAGTAGAGGGAGAATGGTGATATGAACTCGAGAGTACATGCCGCCATAAGGCCGAATGATATGCATAGCATGCCCTAAAGGGACTGTAATAGGAAGTCTCGACCTCCTTCTACTACCTTGGTCACTGGAGGTATGTTACCGATCAAATTATCCATTTCAAGGTGAAAAACTGAGAGCAGGGTTTATTCTCAAAGTAGAGGTGACTATTTAACTATTAACGCAAGGTTGATGATCCCCGAGAAATGTGAGAGGCAATACACATAAGTGCGGTAGTAAACGTTGTCACCTTGCTGCTGGCTCACATGAAGTCGTCCTCAATCTCGCGACAGGACTCAATAGTGCCATCACCTCCCAATTCTACATTGGAGGTCTTCAACTCGTCACACTCCTAACACGATATTCAATGAGAAAGATCGTAGCCTATCTGCATACACTTCGGCAAGCAGTAGAGAAACAAGTGCCTCTAATGTGCCCAACGTACTCTATAATACACTCCTTATGCTCTCTATTACATCAAATGCCTTGTAACTCCGTAGTTCCTTCTCCTTGATAGCTGCCTCCTTCTCAGCCTTCTCTCGAATAGCTCTCTCCTTAACAGCCTATGCCCCAGAGGTCACCATACACAGGTCCCTGCCCCCCTCGCGAATGGTATTACCTTCTTGCGTGCCAATCGCTCCTTACGGTCCCGTTCTTCCCTCTCAGCATAGAGGTCAACCTCGGCCTCCCGTTTAGTCTTCTCAATTCTCTTCACGATCTCTCTATCTCGATGGAGGTTACGAACGAACCTGTAGTGGGAAATACGCGGAAGCCGCTTACGTAAGAGTACTACTACTTGCACTTTTTGGTGTCATGGAAGCCCACTTGACCAGTGACCATATCAGCTCCCTTCCTAAGGTTTTTGAAACCCGTGTACCTGCCAGCGGACAGTCGTCCTTAGAAGCGTTACCGAGCTCCCTACACAATGTCGACCTTGGAAGCCTTACTCCCCTCAATGGAGTTGTTCTTTGTAAGTTGACACATTTCCTCCAACACCTCCTCAGGGATGTCATCTATCTTGGGGAGCTCCACTGGTCTTCGCAGGTAGACATGTGCAGAGGAATGGTCGTCAACCTACGTGTCACCATAGGGCATTAGCATCCCCCCTAGGGCTTACATGAAACCAGACGTCCTCGGGCCAGCCGTATTTGAGTAGCTCTTCGTTTTCGTATTTATCTCGGCCCATATAGACCTTGTAACGAGGGTCACAGCAGTCGTAGAAAAACACCATAGTTGTATCCGAGGACAAGAAGAAGAAGAAAAGAACACAAGAGAAACAACTGGGAGGATTCACTCACTGGGGAAGATGATGTAGCTTGAAATTATGGTCACCGTTCGATCACAGCGTCACGCGCCACGAAATTATTTCCTTCGTGTGGTGGTGTGAAGTAGATGAATCTCTTATCTTACTTTATTGGAGTAGGTCGAGTTCTAGAGCCAGATCGAAGAGAGTTATGCCATCCTCATTGAGGAGGCGTAAGGACTATGAGACGCTTTACGTGTATCCTGATGAGTGTCACTGAGGTGCGTTGCAAATGGGGATGTATGTGTATGAACTGATAGTACTACTTGGATATCTGCTTCACTGGTTAGTAATAGTTCACTTTTTCTATCGTGGATTCTCTTCTATCAAAATGATGAACTTACAGCAGCAGTTGCAGAACCTGGCCGGTGGTGGAGGGGCCGGGATGGGACGTGAGGATCAGACTCTTCCTGATACCAGTGAACAGGTACTAACAGCATATTGGCGCTTGCCAGCAGTGACTGTGGCTACGTTCAGGTATTCGTATCGAGTCTGGCACTCTTGAAGATGCTCAAGCATGGTAGTATTGGACGGCGATATGATGGAATAATCAAGAAGTTGGCGAGGTGTGGTATGATCAGGTCGTGCTGGTGTCCCTATGGAGGTCATGGGATTGCTATTGGGGGAGTTCATAGACGACTACACTGTAAAGGTGGTTGATGTATTCTCTATGCCCCAGTCGGGTAAGTCTGCCCATAGCCCTTACCGAGCCCATGCTCTCCCTCCTTCTCTGCAGGAAACACTGTATCAGTCGAGTCCATCGATGAGGTCTTCCAAGCTACCATGCTTGAGATGCTCAATCAGACAGGGAGGTGCTACCGAGGACCCTCTAGTCCTCCTTCCCATCCGTTCACCTCCTCAGGTCTGAGAATGTGGTGGGATGGTATCACTCCCATCCAGGCTTCGGTTGTTGGTTCTCTGGTACTGATATCAACACCCAGCAAGCCTTCGAGCAGCTCAACCCTCGTGCAGTGGGTATTGTCGTAGACCCAATCCAGGTAGTACTATTACATCATTGATATCGACACGTACTTGCCTTGAGGGGGTCTTCACGCCCTATATGCTGTATTCCCGTTTGCTATGGTTCTTGCTATTTCTACTGTATGTTTCAGTCTGTTAAAGGGAAGGTCGTCATTGACTGTTTCCGCCTTATCAACCCGCAAATGTTGATGCTGGGTCAAGAGCCCCGACAGACCACCTCCAACATAGGCCACCTCAACAGGCCATCGTTGTCAGCTCTGATCCACGGTCTCAATAGGCACTATTACAGTGAGCATACGCGGTGTAACATGCAGCTGAATGCACTCCGTCGCTGCTGTAGGTATTGCAATCAGCTACAAGAAGAACCCTCTCGAGCAGAGGATGTTACTCAACCTCCATAAGGAGAAGTGGCAGGAAGGCCTAAGGTACTCAACTCAGGGGTCGCTTCGCTCCGCTAGGTTATCTTATTCGTGGTAGACTGAGGAGCTACTCTGATCATGATAAGCGCAACTCTGAGCTGATGAGCAACATATTGAAGATGACCAAAGGGTGAGGTGAATGAACGAGGAGCTGGGTGGAAATGCTACTGGTAGATACAACGATCTGATCCAGGATGAAACCAAGCTTACAGAGGAGGAAATTATAGTGAAGAATGCTGGCAAGGTTGACCCTAAGAAGGGATTGGTAATAATCTTACCCTGCACTCTTTTTTTCTTTGAGATTGTTGTTCTTAGGAGCGCAACGTCGAGGAGTCGTTGGAGAATAACATCTTGCAGATCATGGGGAGTATGCTGGACTCAGCGGTGAGTTATGGAATCGATCATATTGCTTGTCATTGTCCTCTTGCAGACCTTCTGATGCTGACGCCACCTGTGGTCAATAAATACTGCGTGTTATCAAGATAGTTTCCTAAGTGCTCTGGTCCTCGTGTTGGTTGGGTAGCTAGTCATAGTAGTTATCATATCCTGTTGGTATGTTTAGCCCGAACAGTGGTGTGAAGGTAGTAGATACCACACCATCTAAGGGAGTAGGTATGGACTCCCCATCTATGATAAGTATCCCTATGCACAGTCCTCCTATAGAGCAGACCTTTGGGGCAGCAGCAGAAGGAGGAGGGGATCGTAGGTCTACCTTGCCTCCTATAGTGGTGATGGATATTCCAATAGAAGTGGATCGGTCGACTCCAGCAGTGGCAGGGAATGCTGCTATACCGTCAGTACTCTTCCACAATGCAGCATTCTCCTATCACTTCTATGCAGCCCATTGTGCTAGAGTTGATGATGGTATGGTATAGGTTGACACTACTCTATCGGCTCACACATGCACATAATAGATACTAACGATGTTACTGCAGCCGAGGATACCAACGTCTCGGTATGCCCTCGACCTCAGCTCATCGAGAGGTGGAAGAATACACTGCTCAACTTGACTGAGGTGACCATAGAAGTGGTGTTTAGAGCGGTTATTGATACGCCCGTTTAGGTCGATAACGATGACATGGACTTCCTTTCGTTCTGGAGAGCTATCGATAGAGCTGGGGATGTGGAGGAGACTAGTGGCGACGTCATTCTAGATGGTGAGACAAGGCTAGTACCCTGATGATGGACCTACAGGCATCCGCATCTTCCGAGATCGAGTGTTGGATGCATGCCAAGCCTCACGACCAGAGGTAGATGGAGTTAGGGCTGGTGAGGTAAGTGGTATAGTGGCTGAGGTGAAGAGGCAGTGTGACAATGAAGAAGCTGCCAATTACTGGGATAACGTATTGGCGTAGGAACCACTTCTGTATGTTCACGCATCGAATCGCTTGTTCTCAGGGCGATGCCGGAAGACCCAGCACAGCTGCTTACTACGGGGGAGATATCTGATGCCATCTATATGTTCCTGAGAGACTATATGGAGGAACAAAAGTCTACTCATGATTCCAATTCCAGTCAGCACTCGAGCTTTGGTTTGGTGACAGACCTGGTGGCTGTAGGTAATGCTAGCACGCCAATTCTGAGCGAGCGTAAGAGGCGACGACGATCAGGAAGGGGGTCTACTCCTCCCTCGGGGGCCTTGGTACATTCCCTTAGTCAAAAGGCTCTGCGGACTCACGAACAACAGATGTTGATGCGAATGAGTATCCCTGGGGCCTTGCAGGACATGGGTATGGTAGGAAGTAGAGTCGACCTCTCCTGAGTGCATCTTGTAGGTTGGCAACGCAATATAACTGAGTCACTAGAAAAGCAAGAGAGGCAAACGCAGGAGCTGACATCGATTATTAACCAACTCAAAGAGACTATTGAGAAAGATCAAGCCCCTTCTTCCCCTCGTGCTGCTGTGGTCGAGGCCATGGACAGGCCGTGCTGGTGGAGGTGTCTGCGTACTATGCTCTACAAAGGGGACTCCAAGACCTGCTCCCTGGCCCCTGATGCTTGCTTCCAACAATGATTAGGTAGTCGTCTGATAATTTATACCAGTACATATGTATTAGATAGTGCATGACGGCGATGTTCGTAGTATCATTTCCCTCGATACTTTAGCTATTGAGTTCAACTAGTGTTGAAGCATAACTATTCGTAGATTGATAGCGGTTGCAGCGGAAAACACGTTTGCCCAGATACATAGTTGTAGCGGGTGCCGTTACCTCTTTTTGATGGCCCATGAATAGCATTACCACTTGTATGGACACTAAATTGTAACAACGTGTGTACTCCTATTGTTTATTATAGTCAGCGCTCGCTTTCTACAATACTTATTGGCATAATGTCGACTCTGCAGGTGTATATCTGTATCTCATAAAGCCGCTGAATCGAGATGATGGCCCAACCCTGTGGGATTTGCGTTCGTTGAGGTTTGTCACGGAAAGAAAAGAGATTATAACGAAGTCGCTGCGATGGTCAAAGGGAGATCGACAATACTAGCCTTGAAGTCAAGCAACGCATTCGCCTCATTCTTCCACAAGCTCTCCAGTACATCTACAGCGACTGGTATATCGTATGCTCGTTGCACGCATATTCAACCTAAGGTCTTCCTGGTAGTGGTGTAGTTTCAAGCGGATACCTCACCCTTTGCGGGTAAACGATCGACTCTCCGATCTTGTGTGATGTTGGATACGCAAGTGGTAGCTCGAAAGGAGCTCCTCAGTTCATTGGTTTGGCTGACGAAGACGATATCAGCAGTACCGTTCATACTGAACACGGTAAGAGGACGGCCTCAGAAACCACTGTCTATTGGCATGTACCACGTCGGGCCATCCACCTCAATCCCCCTTAGCTGCCTGGCTCTTTGCTTGGGCAACTATCTGATTGTTCTTATTCTGTACTCTGAACTTCCATGCAATGAGCTTCTTGCGGTTTAGTACGGCCTCTCTGAAGAGGGCGAACCTCATCCGTTACCCCTTACCTTTGTAAATAGTATACTACCTCCCAGAGTAACGTCTTCTACACCGACTCTTGAACTTTTTCCATACGTTCCACTTGGGGTGTTGCCTCTGCTTAAATCGATGCTTCGTATAGAGCACCTAGTGAATACAGCATGGAGGCGTGCTGGCAGGAATCACAATGACGCTTACCTCGTTCACGAAGAGATCCAGTATAGGGAAGCTGCTTCCTCCACATAGGGGTAAGGGCCTCTCTGTTGTGACTGCATCATGGCAATGACACCAAATGGATGAGAGGAAGAGTAGGCTCACGATGATTGTTTGTCTTGGAAGGCCTGCAGCTTGCCCCCTCTACGCACCTTACCATGGTGCCATACCTAAGGACCATCTGAGCGGTTGAGATGCATTCGTGTGGCAATTACAGTTTCGAACTCCTCGCATAGCTGAGCTAGTTGCCTGTGTGGGAATAGCTCAGTAGAGACAGTGGCGAGATGGGACGACAGAGGAGTGTCTATCGAGTCATAGGCCTGTAGATATGATAAGGTCGACCTAAGATGCCCTCTACTACTAATCTCAAATGCTCCGGTACGTGGTCCTGTGTCAGGAGATACTGCCGTCCAACGTACTCAGGACTTCCCATGCTGAGAGCAGATGAGAGTACTAGGAGTGGTAGGAATGTGGTCTACCCGCTATAGGTCCTCGGCAATCTAGTCATGGGAGAGTGTGTTGGCTCGAGACCATTGAGGACCTATTACAGGGATCTTGTATGGCCTATAAGAGGTACTCTACAGAGGCTCTGAAAGCAGGATGTGCTCGGAGGCCTGGTTGCCAAAATACTCGTTCGTTCACTGTGAGCATGGGGGACTTCTTCCTGAACGCGCATGGCCCAGTGTTGTAGGTGTCCATAAACCCCTCTATCGATAGCCCTTACTACCTGACCTCATGCCCAAGTCTCTGCTTCCTAAACACCCATCGAGGTCTTAGATGATGATCTATCTTAAACCATGCTTGACACGCTGTAGTCCCCTGTCGCCGTCCATGCCTCCATGTCATGAAATTATGCTCTGTATCAACACCAGTCAAGTCGAAAAATGTGCTTCAATTGGCTCTGCCCGAATTTAGCCAAACCCGATTTTAACCAACTAAAAACCGCGCGCCATTATAATCTATTAATATATATATTAGCATTATTTTACCCAATCGCTTGGGGAACGTTTAAGCAATAACAGGTAGCAATGGAGAACACTTAAAAACTTTTTGTTATGTAGAGTGTATGGTTCAGTGGTTAAGTTTCGTGTTTGTGAGTGCAACGGTATAGGGTTCGAACCTAAGCAATATACTTTTAATTATTTCAGAGCTTAAATTGGGCTTTCCAGCCGCTGGGGGATTACTTTGGTTTCGATTTTAAGAGTTGGAATAGCGCGTTGGTTAGTCTTCGGTTCTGGGTAACCGGTGGCGCTGGTTCAAAATCTCGTAAGGACGTTTTTATTAGCTGTGTTCGATGCTTTTGTACCATTTTGAATAACTATATACAAGGCCCGATTTGGAGCTCGAAGCAATGAATCGTTTCAAACTAGATAACTACGTAAATGAATAATGAAATACTAGTCCACTCCTGCTGCAGGAGTCCTGGACCTATATTACAGCAATAATCTACTAGTTGGCAATTGGCAACTGCCCGGTAAGTCCGTCGCGCTAGCAATTCCCAAGATTATTCGCGTGTCTACTTCCAATAATTTTCGCTAGAGATTTGTGTGATGTGAACTTCACATTGTGAAGTAGGCGCATTGTCCCAGCGACGGTCGCTGAGGGACCTACCCGCGTTCTACGACACTGTCGTTACTGTCGTAGCGACAGTATTATGATAATGTGAACGTGTATTGTTAATAGCGCATTATTAATAAAGTATTTATTGACACTGTAAAAACGCGACTCGT